GACACAAAGTAGAGGAAGTAGGATGAAGAGGCCCAACACCTCTTCGTCCTACTTACCCTGGCTAAATACACTGGCAGAATCATATGCTCTACCAGAAGGATGAAGTAATCCTACTGGTATTCAAGTATATGAGAAAGCGAGTCTTAACAGATTTCCCAGTAGCTATTAATGGATGCATATTCAAACGTGTATCTATATCCTGATTTGAAAGCAATGCAAGGAAGACAAACAGACAAAGAGGTGTATAATTGGATACAAATCTGTATGAAGCCATGGTTCTTAACCCAGCAACTTATATGTAAAGGGAGAGTTGTTCCCAACTGCAGAACTCCCTGGATAGATTGGGTGACAAAGTCGGTGTTTCAATGCTGATGGGACACAAAGGTTAGAAGGTAAACATTCTCTTTTTCTCTTCCCTTTACAAAACTGCTGATACCCTCATGTGTATTCATATTCAGCACATCAAGCACAAGAGAATCCAGGAGAATCGAGAGAATTTAAGTAAAATCTAGATGGCAATCTAGGGGTGAATGGGGAGCACACCTTTTTAAAAGCAAAGTGAGAGCTTGAATGCACTGAGCTGCTGGAGCATTTGTTACCATTCTTCCTTCTTGCATCCTACATGGCCTTGCCAAGATGACACATTTGTTTTTTCATGTGTCTACATTTTCATATACCCTGCATTGCTATTGAGACTTATAGAAAGCTCACTGGCGCACTTGATGGAGTCCCTGCCCCCATTTCCTTTCAGACTATGTGTGTCACCGTGCAAGAAAACTTGCAGGTCTCAATACTGGCACTTCACTCACTGCCTTGATTCAGATGGCTTGATGGATCCAAGGGCATGTATTCACTGACTCCCCTTTTAATTTATCTCTTGTATGGCTTTCTGGTGAACCCAATAGGGCAAACCATGGCTCTTCAACCTTAGCTACTGAGCCCTGGTATGAGCTGGGAATTGGTGGAAGTTGGAGAGTGCCCCTACTCTCCAACTCTCCTCACTTGGTAAGGACATTTGGTACCTCTGTTTTCAGCTGCTTATAAAATATCACGGTTTCTCTCTCCTCCCACATTCTTCTTTAGCTTATGTCCATTGATGCAAACTGAATTTAAAGAGGTTACACTCAATTAACTCAGCAGTGGGGAAAGGAGTGGACAAAACCCTTTCCAAATAGGCTCAGGCAAAAGCAAACTGTTGCATCCTCTCCTAGCTTGTGTGTTCTTTATTAATAACCTTCCCTGACTTGACTCACGCTCTGATTTTGCTTGGCCATATGTATCCTGGCTTTCATTTGTGACATGTTCAAGAGTATGGTGTCCAAGCTTTAAAGGAAACTCCTATATGCAGACTATCTTCTTCCAACATTGCTCACCCACTACTTAGAAACCTGAAAAAGTACTAGTTTCCCAAGACTGCAATTGATGCCCTGCCAATCTTACTTCCTCACAGCCTTCAAGTCATGGAAGGAAGTTGATGGTAAAGAGAAGAGGATGGAGAGAGAAAGGGAATAGTATGCCAACTCTGGGTTCTGATTTTATCCACCAATAGTGTCATCTTAGCATACCACTCCCATATAGCCCCGGAGAAGGATTCTCCTCATTTCTTGTGGAGGGTGCAGCTGTGTGAAGAAACCATTATAGACTTTAGCCCTAAAGGAAAACAAAGATATTTTAGTAGCAGAGTGAAAAATGAAGCCTTGTGGTTTGTCTAAAACGAAAACAAGTGGTCAGGAGATCCAGTCAGAGGTTTCATCCATCATGCCTCTTTGGCCCAGAGCTACTTGATAATGTTGCTGTGGTTTATTTTATGGGGCATTTAAAAATAACTAGCTAATCCTCTTAAAACACTCTGTCTCAGTTAATCTTTAATGTATGTAAGGGGAAGGGGGAGAAAAAAAAGCTGCAAATCTTGGAAATCCCTTTGTTGATGTCTTGTTGTAGCTCCTAGTGAACTCGCCATATCATTATATCTCAGGTGTAGACCACAACTGTAGGAAACTTTTATGAAAATAGTACTTTTACTAATGAAAATGTAGACTCGTTGTGTTACTTCAACGTTCCATGATACCTTCATACAGACAAGATCAGAACCTGTTCAGCATCTGGTGTAAGCTTGGAGTCACAGAAGAGCACCAAGATGGTGGTGGTGGTGGGAAATCAGGTTCTGCCTGGTATAAGAAGAATCGGTAATAATTGACCTCTTTCCTCATTCGATCCCCAGTAGGGTCTTCCACTCTATGGAGTTGTGCACCAAATAGCTCTATTCAACAAACCAACTCAGATAACTTTTCTTTACGGAAACAAAACATGTTTGCACATTTAGCTCTCTGTAACCACAGATTCCACCATCCATAGAATTTAACATCCATGTATTTTTCCATCCATGGGAGTCCTGGAACTACAGCCCAGTAGATATTAAGGTCCCTTTATATACTTTCTTCACAAGTATTTCCTGAGTAATTTCTTAACTAACCAAAGAATGTTATGTAAGATGAAAGTGCTAAAGTAAAGAATGGCGACAAACTCCTTTTTTGAATCCATAGAACTATGGTAAAAACATTTGACAATCCAATAATCCAGGATTCCTTAATCCCATTTTAATAACTTTCTCACACTTCTTCTATATTCAATTTAAGAAAGCAATCATATTTTAAAGGATAGCTTGTGCTGCTGGGGCTACAGCACATATTCTGTTTATACAGATCTCATATGTCCTATCCATGCCAAAAAATTATGTATTGGGGCCAAAATGCATTAAAGATAGAACAATGTTTATGTCTTCACTTTTCTTTTAAATGGAAGACGTCTCTAAGGTCACATATTTCGTTAGAAAATAGCAGAAAATAAATTCAGTTTGCTACTCCCTTCTACCCATTTTCACTTCCAGAATTTTCCCAGTTACTTTTCTTCCTGTTGGTTAAATGATACAGGTAGACATGTTTTTCTATGAGAGAAGAAACAGCTGGTGCGGGGGTGATTTTAAGCCAAAAAACAGAAAGGGAAATAGCAAACCACCTCTTCTCTGTAGTTGCTTCACTAAAGCCCACAATCTTAGCTTGCTTTCGATTAAAATATATACACTCGGCCCTCCATATGCACAAGTTTTGCATGCTCGGATTTAACTATCCATGGCTTCAAAATATTTTTAAAATTAATTCAGGAAGCAAACCTTATATTTTTTATATAAGGGATGCCATTTTATTATACTATTTTATGTAATGGGACTTGAGCTTTCACAGGTTTTGGTATCCCTGAAGAGTCCTGGAAACAAACCCCAGCAGATACCGAGGACTCACTGTGTAAAACATTGGAAAAAAGTAATATGCAGTTGCCTTAAATATGTAACATGGCCTTTGCATTCATTCACTTTCAATGTCAACAACTATTGCACATTTAAAATGTGACTTCTAAGAATTCTGTAATAAAATAAAGGTAAAGGTAAAGGTCTCCCTCTTGACAGTAAGTCTAGTCGAGTCTCACTGGGGGGTGGTGCTCATCTCCATTTCTAAGCCGAAGAGCCGGCGTTGTCCGTAGATGCCTCCAAGGTCATGTGGCTGGCATTACTGCATGGAGTGGCATTACCTTCCTGCCAAACTAGTGACTATTGATCTACCCACATTTGCATGTTTTCAAACTGCTAGGTTGGCAGAAGCTGGGGATAACAATGGGAGTTCACCTCGTCCCATGGATTCAAACTGCCGATCTCCCAGTCAGCAAGTTCTGCACTTAAAGTCTGTGTGTCTCACTATAACTCACAATTTCCCAGCTGGGATGTTAATTGAGAGATCCGTTCCAAGAATGTAGCTTTTCTAGACTTTGTTTATAATATACCGTATATAGAGCTCTATAGCGATAGATGAAGTAGTGGTCACCAAAAGGTATCCATTTCCAGCAGATGAATCAGGTCTGTTCTGTACAAGACTCAACCAGCACAGCACTCTTGACTTTTATTCCAGGAGGACAGGTTTATACTAGCTTCACTAGCTCCGAGGTGCGAGTTAAGCATAATGGCAGACAAGTGAGCCATCCACATGCCTTACCACCCTAAACATGCCCCATCTTTGCCGTGTTTTATTCCACGTAAAGGCTTTGCATGATGACACTGCAACCCAACCTGTAAAGGCAAGTTTTCCCCACGTATCAAGAACCTTACTGCTTGGGAAATTACGTTTAAAAAGTACTTCTTTCTTGTTCATCAGGAGGGTTTATTGTTGTTATTTATTGTCATCTTTTTTAAAAAAAAACTTAATTGTATTACTCATGGTTACACTCAAAGCATCCCTGACAGATGGCCATCCAGCCTCTGCTTCAAAGACTCCAAAGAAGGAGCCTCCACCACACTCCAGGGCAGAGAGTTCCACTGCTGAACAGCTCTCATAGTCAGGAAGTTCTTCCTCATGTTCATGAAGTCGAACATGACCCCCTCCCCCCATAAGAGATAGTAACTTATAGTTTTGCTAAGGGCAAGGATGCCAGGCTGGATAATAAGGGGTAAGCCTTGGTCAGTTTGGTGTGTATCACTTAATCAAGGCTTTATGCTCTAGTTTCATATGTTTACAGCATAGAATCATAGAATAGAATCCTAGAATCAAAGAGTTGGAAGAGACCTCCTGGGCCATCATCCAGTCCAACCCCATTCTGCCAAGAAGCAGGAATATTGCATTCAAATCACCCCTGACAGATGGCCATCCAGCCTCTGTTTATTATTATTTATTTATTTATTTATTTATTTATTTATTTATTTATGTTTATTATTATTGGATCTTTAATGTTAGGTCCCAGAAATTCTGACCAAGATCACGGATTGTGGAGGTTGTAGTCCAAAACTGTTCCTCACCGAACTGCACCACATTTCAACCTCACTATTATTTATTTATTTACCAAGTTTGCAAAAATCTGTGTTTTTTTTAATCTGTTTGTTTGTTTTGTTCTGTTAGAAATGTAATACAATGTTCTGGTTGCGGATGACACGATAAATAAATAAAATAAAATAAAATAAATAAATTTACCAGATTTATACCCCGCCTCTCTCAACCCCGAAGGGGACTCGCTTTACACATAGGCAACTATTCCATGCCTTAAAAACAACATACAATTAAAATAAACATTAAAATTAATACACATTAAAACATTTAAAACTTTACATTCACTATTAAAACCACACATCCACAATCGTAATCTGGGGCCATTCCAATAGTCATTGCACATATTCTGTACCCATCTATTGCATTACAATTATTCTTTGATGGCTTGATCCCAAAGCCACGTTTTCACTTTTTTTCTGAAGGCCTGGAGGGAGGGGCTGATTTAATATCACTGTGGAGGGAGTTCCACAGCCAAGGGGCCACCACTGAGAAGGCCTTGCCTCTTGTCCCCACCTCCTTCATGCCTGTGAAGGAGGTGGGACCGAGAACAGGGCCTTCTCAGATTATCATAATCCCCGAAGTGGTTCATGAGGGTGGGGTGGAGTTGGGGGAGAAGGCTTGTTTCAGTTATTCCTACAAGGCCTGAAGGTTTTCCATGTATTCTTTGTATAAGGCTGGGGTCTGGAGCCATTTCCCCCATACCTTGTGATACCTTACCAATATTTCAGCTAGTGGTGTATACTTTTAAGGAATGATCACCACCATCCAACACAATCAGAGAGTTATCTGGTGTGAATGTTAATGCCAAGGGGTAAGAAAGACCCTGGGTGATTACAGGCTTACATACAGGGAATTCTTCAGGTTTTCCTAGGCAGAATACTGCTTGGTTGTAAGCATCACTTACTACTATAAGACCTTCTTTGTTAAAGGTCACACCACTGGCATAAATTTTGATAGGAAAAACTAGATTCAGACCAAAACTGTCCACCTGACCAAGGATTTGCATTTCTGCACTGAAAACTTTCACTCTTGTGCTGCCATAGCTTGGTCCTTTGGCCATCAAATGTTCTATGACCGCAATGGCACCAGAGGTCTGAGAAACAGCCACTTTTCTTGGGTTGCACAGGTTAGAATGCAGTTTTCTCACTCCCTTTAGTTCCCCTTTTTTGAAGTCAGCACTTAAGCAATACAGAGTACCTGCCTCTGAATCAGTCATGATAACATCATTCTGAGGTGTAGTGTCCAAACCCCAGGGCAAGCAAAAAGACTCTGAGATGACCAGCTTGCCCCTGCCATTAAAATCAAATACTTTGACCGAACCATCCCCGCTGTCTGTGATGACGATATGTCCATCCAATGTGGCTGTGATGTCATTTGGGTACCTGATGTCATTTCCTGCTTGTCCTCTTTCTCCAAATTGTTGCATGCAGTTCCCAGTGAAAGTGAACAGCTTGATCCTCTTTTTGCCATCGTGAACCACTGCTGCACAGCCAGACCTCTGGCACACGGCAATTCCTGTTGGATTGATCAGCGTCCCCCATCCTCCAAAGGAAAGAGAGAAGGTCAAAACCTGAGAAGCTGGTGTTGACACGTCCTCGGTTGTCCTCCCTATGCTGCTTCCTGGAACTGGAGCATTATTAAGAGGAAGGCTCAGGATTTCCATCAGGTGCAGCAACGGCAAACAGTCGCTGGTCTCAGATGATTTGCAGGCTCTGCGACAAAATGGGCACTCCAACTTAAAGGTCCGGGGGTGAGTCAAAGACATAACACACTCCAAGCACATCACATGCCCACATGGTAAGTTCCTTGGCCGGTGTTTTTTCTGCTGGTTGTATTTTTCAAAGCACACCTTGCATTCAAGCAGACAGTTCTCAGTCTGATCCACCAGCTCAGTCATTGTCTGTATTTTCTTAGAAGTCTTGCTGGACATTTGTCTATTGTTAAGAGGATTGTTGCTCTGTCGGTGGAGTGTGCGCTAGGCCATATGGTCACATTGGTATAGTCACAAGACCTCTTACATCAGAGGCCTCTTTATACAGCTTCCAGTGAACTCCAGCACTGGATTATACAAGGAATGTGTTGGTTGTCCTTTGCTGCCCTCCCAAGGAAACTCATAATAAAAGCAGCAGCTTCGTAAGAGCTCTTCCAATGCAGGTTCTAAGTTACTCTGCATTATTCATGCATTCCTCTGTTCCGTTTTGTGCTATTATTTTTAGCTTGAGAGAAAATTGGTATAATCATGATGCACCTGGATATCTGTAATTTGAAGCTAAAGATTAGTAATGTAGCCACATAACAGAAATTCAATCTGTCAAATCTGGGATCATGACTGCAGCAGCATTTCCACTAATCAACAATCTATGTAAGATTGTTGATTAAAACAAATAAAGGCAGGAGGGCATGGAGTTTGTGCTGATAATGCTCATAGGCGTTTACAAATACAAAGTAGCTAATATAGGAAATCGAATGACCTGACAATGGAATTGGACAATGCTTGAGAATAATGAGACGCTGATGATGTTGCTTTTATTGCTTTTGTGATATCTTATACTGTTTAATGTTTTTTGTCTATTATGTTTTATGTATACTGATTTGTTGGAAACCGCCTTGAGTCGCCAATTGGCTGAGATGGGCGGTATACAAATACAGTAAATAAATAAATAGGTGGCTTTAAAAAGCCCCAGTCTTCAGACAGATCTGAAATCAACCATTTTAGCACCTTTTAAAAAGTATAAAACGTGCCTAGCCAGTTAAAGGTTTTGTGGAGGAGCTGTGAAAAATGGAACTTTTCTAGCTCTGCACAATGTGTGGTAGGGTGGCTTGTTATTCTAGGCAATGAAAGATCAATCCAACAAAATATTCTTCACTATTGTACATAACTCTTAAAGGTATAAAAGTTTATAATGAAATGGGCAGCATATAAGTTTCTGGAACTAAATAAAATAAAAAAGTTTCAGTTGAGACAACCTTGTAATAGAAATTATGGCTATCAGAAAGGTAAAGTCTGTTGGAACAAAGGAGGGCCCTTCTGCACTATAATAAAACATGATAGGATTAAAACAACCTGCTTCCTCTTGGGTTGTAGTTCCCACCCCCAACCCAAATTCAGGGTTTCCTGGGAAGGGTGGCTAGATGGCATCCCAGGTCAACTTAAACWTACCTGAGAGGCTTGTCAGAAGTGCCAGGCCTCTACAGTCCTCTTCATGCTTGGAAGTGACATGTCAGGAGGGGGGGGGGAGGGGGGGAGGGAAATCTCTCCCCCCCCCCAACCTCCTCATTCGCCATTTTCTTGCACCAGGAGGGATGTAGAGAGAGGCCTGTGCTGCTGGTAGGCCTATTCAGTAAATTTGGGGGCCGAAATGAGGGGTTGAAGGGGAGGGAGTGGGCACCATCCTGTTCTTCCAGGCTTTTTGGCGCTCAAAGAAGTGGGATGGCTGTGGAGCTTGACCCTGGGACTGCAGAGGACAGTCCCAATAGGATCCTTAAAGTCTGGGTCTTTAGAGGTGTTTAATCAATGCAGAGTGAATTAGGAAAGCCTGGTTTACTCTGCATTAATTTGCTTTTAACTGAGGCATTGTTTGGAGACCTCAGGTAGAAAGGAAGACTGGTCCCACATTTTGGGCCTGCCTAGGAGAGCCCTGACTTCTCTTGCAATTTACGAAAGAGTTGCCCTGGAGAATCTAGAAGACTTCCTATAGAGGTCTCCTCCTTACAAATTTGGTAAGTTCCCCAGGGGGAATCTATAGTAAATTCTGGTGGAAGCATACCATAGAATTGCCAGGAAGGCGTACAAAAGTTCTTGAGGGGGCAGATGCCAGAAGGTGAAACCATGGGTACTGACCCTGTTGGTATGCATGTCATGTTGTACTCTTTATACTTATTTCCTCTGTATTATGAAAACAATCTTAAAGTTTTGACCACTATATTTATGTTCTATGTTGGGGAGTATGCTCTTTTTTATGAGAAGAGAAATGCTGGCACAACATATAGGGCATGACTGTGTGCTCATAAACAGCAATTTTGTTAGATTGCCATAACTATGAAGCTTGACTTGCTGTTTCTACGTGTTCTACTTTAAATTACCACCTAATTTTCCTTGTAATAATTCTATCCTGATGCTCAACTTTGCACATCCCATAAATATGTTCACATGTCTGCACTGAGAAACTAATAAATGTGACAGAGAAGATCCACCCAGACTATTATTCCCAACTTATAAAGTTTGGGGTGAGTGTGGCTCCTTATGTAGTGGAAACAGCATCACACAAGATGTCAACATCTTCCTTGGCTTCTGTAACAAAACAAAACTAATGAAGATGGAGTGATTTCCAAATCAACATGAACAGGCTTGAGAATGCACAGTGGTGAAAAATTCTTAAATAATGAAGAGAGAAGTTAGATATAGGTACGTATCTGGATCTGAAGAAGGAAATTTCTGTTCTGTTGATTCTGAAAAATGATTCTGTGAGAGTTGGTAAGGAAGGATGCCTAAACCATATTAATTGGTGTGATGATCTTGCACAATCTTGCTGAGGAATGTCTGAATCAAAGAGGGAGTGATGCTTTCAGTAATGACTTTGGCCATTTCAGATACCTAATAATTGATAAAAAAAAGAAATTACCTTTTCTCTTGTATGAGAAACTCATCCCTTGTGATGTGTTCTGGTCTGTGACAAAATCAATTAAGTTATCCCCTTTGAGCTTGGATCCTATCACCAATTAGATCTGCTCACTCCATTTTAGTAATCCTGTTGATCAGATCAAAGTTTTACCTAGCTCAGATGTCCCATTCAGAGCCGTAAAATTCTGTCCATTTTTTTTTTGGACAAGATTTCTATTTTCCTTCTTTTCTGCAGCCAGCCTCTTGAAAAAGCTGTATCACCTCACACAGCTCTTTAAAGGCTAATTAATACATTTTTCTATATCCTATTGCCTTCCATTCTATTCTCACAGTTTTGGAATTATATATATAAACCTGTGGCTTTAATATCTCTCTAGCAGTACATCTGAGGAAGTAGATTGATATCCGTGAAAGCTTATGCAAAAATACAAACCAGTTAAGTCTTCAAGGTGCTGCTGGATTCCCTTCCCCACCTTTAAAGATGAGACATGTTTCTTGCTACACATAACCACCAGTTATGTTTCAGTTTCCCTGTCTGCATAGATAGAAACCTCTTGTTGCAGCAACTGTTTCCTCAGCTGCTGTATTTTCTTCTTGTTACAAAAAAGATTTCCAAAAGAGTGACAGAAACAGAGGGAACAGCTGCTTCAACATGAGGAAGAATTAAGATACTGTATGTAGGAGACCATGCCAAGACAACAGCCAATGAGTCATACTAACTCTTCTGATATAAGAAACCATTTAACCAACTGACTCTCATTTGTCCACATGAATATTTACATTTTGCAAGGATGCTAATTTCAGTGATGACCGAGTAGTTCTGTGGCAAACATTTTATGTTGCGTTAAGCACCATTTCTAGGTAGAGAGGAGATAGATAGCTTCAGCCATCCCCCCTTTAACTGATCGAGATATAAGATCAGGGAAAGGCCATGTTGTTAGTCAGCTGCAACCTCCAGCATTCCTTCAATTATTCTGGGATCTGCAATCAAACAACTTCTAGGAAGTTGCACTATTTCCTTCTTGCTGGGAGTCTAGCTCCAAGGGACTACTTTTCTCTCTGTGTGTCAGAAGTATTTCCATTCTAATTGATCATTACCATAGCTCTGTAACTTTCAGAGCTGTTGACTGAATTTGTTTTCCTTTTGCCCTTTCCAATTGTAAGCTAATGGACAGTACTTGTTTTGTCGATTCTGGAACCTCTAGGGCTAAGAATGCTTTGAGCAAACAAATATGAGTCTATCCTTAGGTTGTGGGGGGAACATTAGTCTAGTTGTGCAAATACTATTGATGGAATGCAGCTATCAAGCATTAACTTACTTTCAGAAATTACTGAGCTGTAAATTTTCCTACTGCTTTGCCATTACTTTACCTCCAAAATGTTCTTCACTGTTGGTGATTTTTCTGTCCCTAGCAATGACTCAAAGAGTCTAGGAATTTCTCAAATATGTTTGGGGAACTCATAGTGTCCCCAAACAAATATCATCTGTCTGGGTGCTAATTGCTTTCTTCTCTTAAACAATACATAAAATAAGAAGGCAATATAAACATAGATGCATCAAACAAGCTCCAAACCCCATTGTAAAACTTCAGTAGACTTTTCTGCAAAAGAAGCAGATCCTTTGAAATGTACCATGAAATTAGAAACTGGCATTACACTCTTTTCTGCCTTGGGCTGAGATGACATCCCTTATTTCACAAACAGAAGCTGATTGGATATGAAAATGGAGCAGTTCAGCATTGCTGAAGGAAAACTAACCTAAAGGCAACTGGATACTTTAAGAGATGCAGAAGACACTGTGAAGGGCACAGAACTATCCTAAAATAGAGAGGAACACCTAGGGGAATCTACTATTCCTTCTACACTGCCCATCATTTGTCATCTGATGTGGATATCTCACTCTGCCCGACTAGAATTTGGCCTTGAAGACTGGACAAAATGTGAAATGGTTTTATTTCCCAACATGTCTTCTTTGAAGAACCTCTAGGCTGATCACTGATATACTCTCAGAAATCCCACCCAGCTTACCAGCTGTTAGGAACTGTGGGAGCTGAAGTCCAAAACACCTGGCGGCCCAAAGGTTGGGAACCACTGCTCTAGGCTGACCACTTAGCTGGGCAAAGACACTCAAAATTAGAAGGAACAAAAACAACAACAACAAAAAACCCCACAACACTTTTAGATTTGATGAACCTTGATTAGCTTGAGTACCGTCAGGTTTGTTCGTCCCCATACATTTGGTTATTACAATATGTGAATATGTCCATGTCTCTCATAAGGGGTAGCAAACCTCTGGTTTGCTAGTAAAACTGAATTACTGTGTCATGAAATGATACATGTTTAGAACCTGTGTCTCCAGGTTAAAATGTTTGGAAAGCTCTGTTCTAGTGGAACACTATGCTAAGATTTCCCTTGTGCTTTGTCTACACACTGAGCTTGTTTGTATATTATTTCCTATTTTGTTTGTATATTATTTTCTATTTTACTTTGTTGTTTGTATTTGTTCTTGAATCTGAAATAAATATGAATTTTAAAAATAATGACAAATATGCAGCTGGAAAAGAAAAGTAAATCTACTGCCACTCCCTTGGCCTAGCCCTCAGGCAGTGTTTGAAAATCCTGACTCGGCTGGCATCCTGCCTGTAGTAGGGCGTTTCCATCCTCTTTTGTATATGTGCCTTCAAGTTGCCTGCTGACTTAGAGAAACTCCATGAATTTCATCATCTTAAGATGATGCTCACAAAGCAGCATCTGAAAGGACATGCAGAAAGTGTAATCCTGTATGTTGTCAGCTGAGAAAGGCAATTTGCATGTATCCACCTCCTTCTTATTGCCCCATCTGCCTAAAGAAAATAGTGGGTATGTCACAAGCAGTGGCAGGCACTTTCTTGCCAAATCTATAATCATAAAAGACCTTTGGCCTGCATACGAGGCATTGAAGGTTGCAGCAAATGATTGTTTTAATGCCACCATTGCATCACTTAAGTCACTTCTAATGACACCATTAGCAAATGGGACACATCCCATAATGATTTTTTTGTTTAATCACATTGATTCCTCCCTGACATAGACAGTGAAGTCCACTAGAAGTTTCAAAGTCTTCGTGGATAACTACAATGAGCAAACCCCTTAGGTAATGCACCGAGTGTGATAATTTGGCTACTATATGTAATTTCAGGAAAACTTGAGAGGCTGTAGATGTTGGGAGTCAAACACAGCACTTCTTTTCTCCAACTCTTTGGAAATAGAATATCAACTGGAAAAAGTCACTCCTGGAACTAAGAAGTGGAACAAAAATGTGATCAAACTGCCCCTTTTTGCCATGTATGCGGCATATTTGAGGCAAACAATTTAAATGGAGTGGGGGTTATAGCCTTTTGCTTCATTTTTGTCATCCTCATCTAATACAGGCATTCCCCAAGTTACAAATAAGTTAGATTCTGTAGATTTGTTCCTAAGTTGAATTCGTATTTAAGTCAGAACAAGAATATTTTTAAAGTGTAACTCTGGCTAAAAATAGATATATTTTAGCTGTGGATAGCACAGGGAAGGGTTAACATCCTTGCACTGCTTGTTTTGCTGTCTGTTCAGAAGATTTCATCTCACTTTCTGTTCCTGGTATGGAAAAAAATGGCTTGATGTGGAAACAAGGATTAGTGATAAAGCTTCAGCGGAGACACGTTTTCCCCTGTAGACTCTTTCAGGGATGAATTTGCCTTCCAAGGGGTAGCTTTCTCACTTCCTGTTGTCTGACCTCAGTTCTTAACAATGAGCCCTATGTAAGTTGGATGTTTGTTATATACTCAGGAAAAAGCTTTTCAGAAATGCCCCAGCATTGTGGACTGAAGGTCTTTGGAAACATATATTTCACAGGAAGTCTTCTGAAACTTTTTTTAAAAAATATTTTTTATTACTAACACACACGGGTATTTTTCACTATATTAAAAGACAAGAGGTAAATTGGATAGACCATAAGGGGAGAAGGAATGGCTTTCAGAATGGTTAGAGTCATATCTTTCTTTTAGAAAGATGTTTGTAGCCAAAATAGGAGGGCTTAAAATTTCGTATGCATATGGGTTTATTTTTTCTCAACTTGTGTGTGGTTTTTATTAATAAAGGGACTACAATTTTGATCATTCCTTATAAATCCTTCAGTAATGACCACATGATCCAAGAGATACAGAAACATTTTAACTGAAAATAGGGGAAAGTATCTTTCACAGTGCTGGTGAAATGTAATCGACAATGAGCTTCCCTCAAACACACTCATTGGGAGGCAAACCTAAGCAAACTCAGAATAATTTTTATTGAAATCTGCAAAAATTACAATTTAAAACACACACAATATTCACATCAAAGCGTGTTTTACTGAAGGTTAATGTCATTCAGTTGTTTTGCAATCAAGCTGTCATTCCCTGAGATTCTTTAACAATTCTGATATTATCTTGACTATTTTAAAGTGACCACATGCAGTACCTCAAAGAAATAATCTAATCCCCACTTCTTTGGTCGATTTGATAAACTGTCGATTTTTTCTAGAAACTTAATATCACAGTATTTGCCTGAAAAAAGAAATGTAAAAAAAGAGATTAAAGTTGCCTTTTTGCATTTGCCAGAGATTTATTCTGTACTCTGTAATTCATTGATCAAAATAAGAAACTAACATTTGCTCATATATGCTGTTAAATAAGTAGTTCTGACTATGTATTGCAGGAATAAATTACGTAATCTATGTGCAGATCTACACTGGCAATAAATAAAGGTAAAGGTTTCCTCTTGACATTAAGTCTAGTTGAGTCCGACTCTGAGGAGTGGTGCACATCTTGTCCATAGACATCTCCAAGGTCATGACTGCATGGAGTGCCGTTACCTTCCTGCCGAAGCGGTACCTATTGATCTGCTCACATTCACATGTTTTTGAACTGCTAGGTTGGCAGATGTTGGGGCTAATAATGGGAGCTCAGTCAGCAAGTTCCGCAGCTTAGCGGATTAACCTGCTCCACCACCACAGCCCCTTCAGCAATAATTACAACTGTAAATATTTGGTATCTATATCATTTAGCTGATTTATGGAACTGGGAGGAAGTTTCGAAGTTTTGAAGGTAGTAAGAATGGATCCAAAAACTGTAGATTAAATTATAGGGACTCAGCACTGAAAATATCTTCCTACCGCAAGGTGACAGGATCTGTTTGGTAGAAATGTGGATTCAGGTTTCTTGTCTTTAGCACAAAACAATAATCTGTTCTACTTTTTAGGGAAGTAATGATTTCTGAGAAGTTTGATACATTTCTCGTTTCTATTTTCAGACTGCACGTGCTTCTAAATCCTGCTTACAAAGTAAATATAGTGCTGTCTGCTTTCAGTGGAGGACGTGTCAAGTTTGTTCCTGTTACCATGAATATGCATTTAGTCTGTTAAATGCACTCTGATCAAGATTAAAAGTTCTAGGGTTTTTAGCTGACTCACCGTATAAAGTTTTCACCTCAGAATCAGGAACATAGAATGGTGGACCTGTAAAGGAAATGGAAAAATGTGATAAGGAAAAGCTGAAATACTAAACTAGGTACATCACTAAGCTAACTGAGAACCACAATATAGTTTCTTTTCTAAGTGAGTGCAATGATGCAACCAAATTAATTTTAATGTAGTTTGATAATGGTTTGCGCACACTCTCAAAACTAGACAAGCAGATGTGGGGTACTGGGCTTTTTGGAAACATTACATGAGATTTTACTCTTGGTACCTAAACTTAACTCCAATTTTAGGTCTGAACTAAACTTTTAAGGATTTGAGATGGATTTCATGATTATGTTTTTCTACTGAATAACAGAATTCTCCCTTTTTTGTAGTCTGCTTTAAGTGAAGATTCATTTGGTGTTCATCTATTCAGTAATTTAATAATTAACGGTTTAGTCTGTTTTAATTATATTTTTAGCACTGAATTTTAATTTTTTTCTGGAATTTTTATTAACTATTAGCTTGGGTACCTGACTTTGCCCGGGTTACTTGAAAAAGTCATTTTTTATTTTACAAAATGCATAAGGTTCTGGGTGAACTACAACTCACATCATGCCAGGTTAAACCCCTGAAACTCCATCAGTAGTTTGTCATGTTGGGCAAGTTTGCTCTAGATGCATCATCGGTGGGGTTAGTGTGATCTCTAGCTGCAGGATAAACTACAGCTCCCACCATGGTGGATCAGTCCCCTCAAATCTTTCCAGTAGATTCAGTTGGTCATAGGGGTTCTGTGTGCCAAGTTTGATCTAGATCCATCATCAGTGGTGGTCACAGTGTCCCTGGAACTGCAACTTCCAGAAATGAAGGACAGTTTTCCCAAACCCTCCAGTATTTTCAGTTGGTCATGGTAGTTCAGTGTGCCAAGTTAGGCCCAGGGCTATTGTTGCTGGGGTTCAGAGTGCTCGTTGATTGCAGGTGAACTATAAATCCCAGGACCTACAATGGCTATAAATCAAGGTGAATCCCCCCCCCCCGACCTTTCCAGTATTTTTTTTAGTTCATGGTGGTTCTGTGTGACAAATGTGGTCCAGGGTGAAATATAGGTTGCTTACCTGTAACCGTATTTCTTCGAGTGTCAATCTGTGAAATTCGCACCTATGGGTTTTCCTGTGCGCCTGCGCAGCAATCCGGAACATTCTAGAGTTTTAATCAATTTTTAATGATTATTTTAAGAATATATGTAAGCCCCGCCCATCCCCCGCCCCCCCAGTATATATGCCGCCAAATGCGGCTTGGCCGGTAGTTCCCCGGCGCTAAACAGCAGCCAGGTTAGAGGCATGACAAGTGGGGAGGACGGGCGGGTTGTGCGAATTTCACAGATTGACACTCGAAGAAATACGGTTACAGGTAAGCAACCTATATTTCCTCGTCGTGTCATCTGTGAAATGCGCACCTATGGGTGACTTAGCAAGCTACTGGCCTGGAGGCGGGTCATGCCACACAGGAAAAGAGAACAGCTCTGCCAAAGGCGGCGTCCTTTTTCGCTTGTATGTCCAACTTGTAGTGAGAAGGAAAAATAGATGGTGTAGACCAGGTAGCTGCTTTGCAGATCTGTTCACGAGACACTCATCACCAAAAAGCCTGGGAGGTGGACACAGAGCAAGTTGAATGGGCCACCAGGTGAGTAGGTGGATCTTTGCCTGTCAATTGGTAGGCTAGGCGGAATGTTGAGACACTCCAAGGGGCTGACCCTTGAGAGGTAACAGGGTAGCCTAATTTGTCTTTCCTGTATTTTAAAAAGAGCTTAGGGGATTTTCTATATGTAGATGTCCTATGGAAATAAAAGGAGAGAGCTCTTTTGACATCTAAGGAGTGAAGGGCAGTTTCTAGGGGAGATGATGGGTTAAGAAAAAAGGCTGGGAGAGTTATGTCTCGTGACATATGAAAAAAGGAGACTACTTTCGGGAGAAAGGTAACATCGGTATGGAGAACAACTTTGTCCTCGTGAAACCTAATATAAGGTGGGTCAGACCGGAAGGCTGTAAGCTCGCTAACCCTCCTGGTGGAAGTGACGGCCACCAGGAATGCCGTCTTCCACGAAAGGTGAGAATATGATTGGAGGCCATGGGTTCAAAAGGTGGTTTGATAGTTGTGACAAACTTAATTACAGACTCCACTGGGGGGAGGGAAAGGAGGTAGGAGGGTGGATGTTTTTATAACCTTTGAGAAACAATTGAATTAAGTGGTTTTGAAAAAGGGACGGTAAACCCAATTTCCTTCTAAACGATGAGATGGCTGATAGGTAACATTTTAGAGAGGAGAGTGAGGAGCACTTATCAGAGAGGTGGACTAGAAAATCTAATATCATGGGTATTGGGCCTGTATTTGGGTCATGCCCAGATGTTTCTGTGAATGGCTTGAAGAGGGACCATTTATAGTTATAGGACTTTTTGGTTGCTGGTTTGTGGGCAGCGAGGAGTATACGTGATACTTCCTCGGATTGGTTTAATGCGGTCTGATCATCCACGCCGTCAGGCGGAGGGATTGGAGGTCTGGGTGAAGTACCAGTCCATTCTCTACAGTGAGAAGGTCCGGAGTTGGTTTGAAGTGGAGAAACTCCCTGTTGGAGATTTGGAGGAGTGGTGCAAACCAGTGTTGCCGGGGCCACCAAGGGGTGATTAGCATGCAATCCGAGTTGTCCTGGATTATTTTGGCTATGACTGGGGATAGGAGAGGGGGTGGGGGAGGTAGAGTAGACCTGGAGTCCAGTGGAGTAGGAAGATGTCTCCGAGACAGCCTGGGGGTGCATGGGGGCGGAGTCTTGTGCAGTAAAAGGGCAGTGTTTGTTTAGTGGTGATGTAAAGAGATCTATTTTGGGTTTGCCCCATTGAGTGTGATGGTTTGAATTGTTTGGAGTGTAGGTGCCACTCGTGATTGTTTTTGGATGATCTGCTCAGGGAGTCTGGTAGTGTATTGTCCTGTCCTGGGAGGTGAATGGCCGTGAGAAGGACATTTCTCTGAATGCACCATTCCCATAAGCGTGTCGAAATGCAGAGTAGTGTTTGTGAGCGTGTTCCCTCTTGTTTGTTGATATAATATTTGACCGCAGTGTTGTCGGTTACAATTTGGACCATGCGGTTGGATATAATGCGGGTGAAAGCATGAAGAGCTTCTCCACCGCCATCAGCTCAAGGGTATTGATGTGGAAAATGGCGGTCCTGAGGGGACCAATGGACACTGACTTTGAAGTCCTTGAGTGAGTTGGAAGCCTGAGTTGGAAGCGTCTGTTGTGAGGGACATAGAAGGACGGGGTTGGATGAATGGCATCCCCGATTGAACATTGTACTCTTTTGTCCACCATGATAGGGACTGGAGGACACTGTGTGGGGAGTGTAGGACCCGGGACTGGGGGTCGCTGAGAGGATCAAATGTTTTGGGACCCCATCCAAAAAGGGGTGTATGGAGTGACGTTGGTAGTAAAAGACATGTGGCCAAGGATAGACTGGATGGCCCAAGGAGCTTGGGAGCGTTGGAGGTTGAAGATGGCTCATTGTAGGTTGGAGAGGCAGTCTTCTGGGGGGAAGGCTCTCTGCATCCTGGAGTCTATGACAGCTCGTATGAATTGGATGTGTTGTGTTGGGCAGAGAAGAGATTTTTCTTGGTTTATGACCAGGCCAAGGTCCTTGTGATAAGCGAAATGGAAGAGAATTGAATGGAAAATTGTTATGTTGAACTGTAAAAGTTAGGAATCTGAGTGTGATTGTCTATTTGTGATGCGAAAGTAAGCATCCTTGAAATGCACCGTTGCTAGGCAAGACTCCTCTGGATTGAAGGGGAGTATGTTGGGAAGAGTGACCATGCGGAATTTACGTGGTGTTTCCCAAGGTCGAAAATGGGACGTAGTCCTCCATCTCTTTTGTCTACTAGAAAGTAGCGAGAGAAGAAACAAGAGGTGGCTTCATGTGATGGTATGGGGGAAAAAGCTCCTTTGTGAAGTAGAGAGTTAATTTCTTTCCAGATGGTATGGGAAGGTTGGATGAGGAGGATGTTTCCTACAGGGGGGTAGGTATCAAATTGTATAGCATATCCCCTGTCAATTATGTCCAGGACCTAGGTGTCTGTAGTAATAGTCTGTCAAGCCGGTAGGAAGTAATGTAGTCTGTCTAAATATGTAAGTGGTTGAGTTGGAGTGGGGAAGGGGGGTGGTTAACGGTATAGTAAAAATGATGTTTATTGTTGTTAGTGGGTCTGATACCACGGTACTGACCTCTGGAGGGAAGAAGGGGTCGTGTCAAAGTTGTAGAGGGGGCATATGGTGTTTGCCATCCTCTATAGAAGGAAGTGTTGAAAGGTCTGTTGTAGTATTGGGGACGGTGAAAATAAGAGCCCCAGCGTTGGCCTTGGTAGGTGTATGGCTGCTGGTCATACTTGTAGACTATTTGTTTCATCTTGTGTTAGTGTTGTAGTTGTGAGTCAGTTTCAGGATTAAAGAGTCCTGCTTCATCCATTGGGAAGTCTCCAATAAGTGTGTATTGAGATAGGGAAAAAATAGCAGCTCGAAACCAGGCATGGCGACGAAGGGCCACTGAGCCTGCTATGAGTTTGACTAAGGTGTCAGCTGTGTGCTTTGCAAGGTCTTTTGAAGGCCAGATAACAGGAGAGCTTCCTGTTTAAAGGCTTTAGCCAAAGGTTGTTCAGATGGAGATAGTAAGTCTAGATAAGGAGAGGTTTTGTTCAATAGAAAAGTTTATAGACACTCATATAGGCTCCATAATGGGCTATGCATGCAAAAAGGCATGCTGAGGAATAAATATTTTTATTTATTTGTTTATTTGCCATGGAGTGCAATTTTTTCTTTTTCTTTTCTTTTTTCTTTATTAGAAGGGAAAGTCTGGTTTTTCTGTATAGGCTTTGGTTGAGCATCAGTTAGTATAGAGTTTGCTTGGGCATCTTAGATAGCCATGAAGCTGAAGAGAGATCAATACAATAAAAAAAAATTTTTTTTTAATTTAAATTTTATTTCATTATTATTATTTTTGTTCCTTTAGGAGTTGCTGGAACCATAGGCACAGCAGCTCCTGTATTCTTAAAAATTTTGAGAAGATAGGGCAAGGTGGGCAACACAGTGGATGTGGGGGTTTGTTGCTCAATAGAGGAGAGACATGGGTCTGCAATTGTATCTGATGGTTTCTAGTGTAGAAAGGTTGAGGGCTCTGGCAAGTCTTATTAGGAGGGCTGAGAATTTTTGAAATCCTCTTAACTGTTGGGGAGAGGGGTCAGGGTCTGGGAGGGGATCCTGAATAAATGGCTGAGGTTCTGGTTCAGTTTGTTCTTCTGGAGGATGAGAGAGTGTGGCAGTAGGAGGTGCATGTGGGGGCTGTGGGTATTTATCCAGTGGATGAGCACTGAAGCCTTTGTTGTGGTATATAGTGATCAGGGGAGAGAGAATGAGCCCTCTTGGGAGGAGGGATGGGGGAAGTTTTAAACAGAGGCTGGATGGCCATCTGTCAGGGGTGATTTGAATGTAATATTACATTTGAATGTAATATTCTTGCTTCTTGGCAGGGGATGGCCCATGAGGTCCCTTCCAACTCTTTGATTCTATGATTCTATGGGGGATGGTTTGCCAAAGGAGAGGGAGAGCAATAGCGGTGCCGGGAGGGCTGTGCTGATGAAATGGGATGGATGGAGGGAGGAGTCTCCCGCGGTACCGGGGACTCTGGCAAGTCTGGGAAAAGCGGTGGGGAGGGCTGAGAGGCAGGAAGGGGAGGGGGGGAAATGGAGGGATCGGCTGTAGGTTGAGTTTCTAGCTCAAGATGAGAAGCCAAGAGTTCAAGGGGGAGGAGGGGGGAGGGATCCTCCATTTGGAGGATAGTTGGGGGAGGCTCCTGTAACTGGAGCATGGAACCGGGAAGCTGGGGCATCGGTTCCAGTGCAGGGGGACTCAAGGGCTGAGTGCCAGTGAGTTGCCATCCCTTTTTTGATTTATTTGCTTTTTCCTTTGATTTAGCAGACCTCATGGATAGTTGGGGGAGGCTCCTGTAACTGGAGCATGGAACCGGGAAGCTGGGGCATCAGTTTCAGTGCAGGGGGACTCAAGGGCTGAGTGCCAGTGAGTTGCCATCCCTTTTTTGATTTATTTGCTTTTTCCTTTGATTTAGCAGACCTCATGGTTTGTTTGAGGTTTTTGTTTTTCTTTCTTTCTTTCGGCAGCTCCGCTAGGGAAGTACTTGCCGTAGTTGAGTCACGCCTATCCCCAGCATGTGGGGAGGGAGGCTGAAAAGGCTCTTGCAAAGGGGAGGACTGGGTGAGGAAGGGAGCCGTTTGCAGCGGCAAAGCACATTCATACAGGAGGGCTTTAGCAGAGTCTCTCCCAAACAAAAGGAGGCATTTAGTATGCCTATCAGCCTCCGGGAGATTACCTCCACAGGCTGAGCACTTTCTTTCTTTCTTTCTTTCTTTCTTTCTTTCTTTCTTTCTTTCTTTCTTTCTTTCTTTCTTTCTTTCTTTTTAAATAAAATAAAGGGAAGATATTCTAGCCTGAAAAGAGTCGTCAGCCGGTCCGTGGTCGGAGTGGAGAAGGTAGGCAATAGAGGAAGAACAGTCCAATAGGTGAAATAAGTCAGAGAAGAAGTTCATAGATGCTGCAAGTTTAGCGCGGAAAAAGGAACTACCGGCCAAGCCGCATTTGGCGGCATATATACTGGGGGGGGGCGGGGGATGGGCGGGGCTTACATATATTCTTAAAATAATCATTAAAAATTGATTAAAACTCTAGAATGTTCCGGATTGCTGCGCAGGCGCACAGGAAAACCCACAGGTGCGCATTTCACAGATGACACGACGAGGAATTACTACTTCCATCATGTGGAGCCAATTTCTCTAGTATGTTTAGTCGCTTATTAGTTCTGCTCTGTTTGTTGTGCAGAAAGAGTTGAAAAGAGTAGGACAAGGTTAAGGGAGAGGCAGTGGGAGGGTGCATGCAAATTCCACACCAATGGAGGGAGAAAGAAACACTGGGATGTCTCTGTGGTGCAGGAAACATGTAAAATTTAGAATGAAATTTGCCCTGAATTAAAGCATTCCTTGGGTGGTGGGCAGTATGGTGTTTGGAGAGGATATTGGTTGGGGTTGGGCTATATGTTCATGGTGCTCGCTATAGCCTGAAATGTCATTGGGGGGAGGGCTTTTGGTGGCTCCTCAGCACTGTGAGTTAAAACTGTTTGTGGAAGTGGGAGTCTATCTGTCGAAGTAGGCACCCCAGCCACATGCACACATACATATTTTCACTTTTATTATGAATATAGATAATGGGAACCACATTTTAAGCTAAAAAGAGCAGAGGCGAAGGCACACAATTGAAAATATACAATAAAACAACAGGAAACCGAAAATATGCTTGGCTCATAGGTCAACATACATTTTTGAACTCGGACATGGTTTGGCCTTCTGTTCTGTAATCCCTTGCTGGACTTATCTGTTGACCCAATTTCTTGCTCATCTCTAGTTGTAAAAGGTCACCTCTTGATGGGAATTTAAATACAATACTATGCCACAGTGTTAAAGCTACAGAATATATAGCTATGCCTTCATCCAGACTATCCTTACCTTTATGTTTTCTTGGATCATATTCACAAGTAACTAGAAGACAACTACACTTCTTGTTCATCAGAGATAAGATTAACTGGGCATACCTAAGAAGAAAAACAAAACAGTCATTGGTGTATATAAATAAAGCATGGCAATGTACAACTGAATCAAATACATCAGTGCATAGGAGCCGCTGGTGGTGCAATGGGTTAAACCTTGTGTCGGCAGGACTGAAGACTGACAGGTTGGAGGTTAGAATCTGGGGAGAGCATAGATGAGCTCCCACTGTCAGCTCCAGCTCCCCATGTGGGGACATGAGAGAAGCCTCCCACAGGATGGTAAAACATAAAAAAATTTCGGGTGTCCCTTGAGCAATGTCCTTGCAGATGATCAATTCTCTCACATCTGAAGTGACTTGTAGTTTCTCAAGTTGCTCCTCTCTCTCTCTCTCACACACACACAAATCAGTGCACAGAAATGTAAAAATCTGATAAAAATAGAATGGGCACAATAGACACCTGCATTGAGGAACAAACCATGAGAAATTTTAGTTGGCTTTAGCTTCTCTGAAAAAGCGCAGCATTTGAAGCTTATGGCCTTTTTGTAATATGTGTTCCCCTTGCTGGCTTAGATCCAATATTGGGAGAAAGGTGAGATATAAATAAAAAATAAACAAGGAATATAGAAGTAGAGCATAAGCAGAGGCAAACAGTATGAACAATCATGTGAAGCAGCAAATCTGCCCCCATACATCAGTTCCCCAGAGACAGAAAGAGAAAGAGACCTGCACTTATTCTGTTACTGCTGAAAGCGGTAATTTTTCAGTAAAGGTGCTTCAGTGGCATGAAACTGCTAAATTAGAGTTTATCAGGCAGTTCAGTTCTAGGATCAAGATAATATGTTTGTGTCCCACTACATATTCTGAGACAGTGTGGTATAGTGGTTTAAATGTTGGACTAAGACTCTAGGCAACCAGTTTGAATCTCTCTTCAGCCATGGAAACACATTGGGTGACACTCTCTCAGCCTCAAAGGGAGGCACCTGCAGGCTTCCACTGAAGAAACCTTGCTAAGAAAACACTATGAGAGGGTCACCAGAAGTCAAGAGTTGATGTGAAGGCAGAGAACAACAAATGTATCCTAATTAGCTCACAAATGGCAGGACATAGAATCATAGAGTTGGAAGAGACCTCATGGGCCATCCAGTCCAACCCCCTGCCAAGAAGCAGGAAAATTGCATTCAAAGCACCCCCGACAGATGGCCATCCAGCCTGTTTAAAAGCCTCCCCCATACTCCGGGGCAGAGAGTTCCACTGCTGAACAGCTCTCACAGCCAGGGAGTTCTTCCTAATGTTCAGATGGAATCTCCTTTCTTGTAGTTTGATGCCATTGTTCCATGTATTAGTCTCCAGGGCAGCAGAAAACAAGCTTGCTCCCTCCCTCCTTATGACTTCCTCTCACATACTTATCCATGGCTATCATGTCTCCTCTCAGCCTTCTCTTCTTCAGGCTAAACATGCCCAGCTCTTTAAGCCATTCCTCATAGGGCTTGTTCTCCAGACCCTTGATCATTTTAGTTGCCCTCCTCTGGGCACATTCTAGCTTATCAACATCTCCGTTCAGCTGTGGTGCCCAATTTGGGATGTGAATACTCTGTAACAATATGGCCACAATTATCTGCCTCCATTTAACTCTAACCTCACTGCTTTGTCTTTCCCCACCTCTGCTAAGAGGTGAATATACAGTTGCCATCTTGGGTTAGCGTTTCATGCATTTGGTTAAGTAAATTCTACTAGAGATACATTTACGCCATGTTAAGCTTTAGGGTACACAAGATGACTGCTTCATCATTCTTCTTTTTCTATCGTTATCAGTCTTTGTTTGCCTCTGGCGACTGGGTTTCTGTGTGAACAACTCAGACCTCCTTTTGTATTCATGTGTTCGTGGGGGATATACCACTCTTCCCATGTTTCAATACATTATTCCTTCCAGATACTTCAGAGAGTTCTCAGCATGTCTCCGAAACATTTGTTCCCACTATGTAAGGCACTGTTACAAAGTACTCTGATGAGCAGCAAAGCAGGAGGCCAATATTGTCTGACCGGAGAGACACAATGAACTGGGATCCCTTTGAAATGAACAGTGCTGCTGTAATGCAGATTCCATTCATTGTGTTTCATGATCATTAGTGAGTCTCTGTGGGGCATTGAGGGAAGAAAGGGACATTTCTGGCTCAGGTTCCAAACTATTGTATGCCAGTCCAGAATGGTTCAAAGCATAAAGGTCCTGTTCGGATCACAGGAGAAATCTAGACATCCTCTTTACATAACTCTCAAGGACTCTGGAGTCACATCCCTGTTCCCAGCAATCGACTGTGGGGGGCAATAATAACTTTTAGAGGCTAGAGATCAGTGACACAGTATACAATGATGGTGGTGGATGATAATGTTTTTATTGTTGTGTGTCTTGAAATAATTTGTATGGGAGAAGACGATCCTATAGGTAGTGTGGACCCAAACCATGTAGGGCTTTAAAGGTCAAAACCAACACCTTGTACTTTACCCAAAAACTAATTGGCAGCCACTGGAGTGACTTTAGTACAGGTGTAATATGTTGAATCCTGGATGTTCCTGGAACCAATCTGGATGTTGCGTTTTGAAGCAGCTGGAGATTCCAAACTTGGTATAGAGATAGCCCAATGTAAAACGCATTGCAGAAGTCCAACCTTGAGGTTCCAGCATGTGCACAACCATCTTAAGGACCTCCAAATCTAGGATGGAGCGCAGTTGGTGTATCAGCCAAAGCTGATACTAAGCACTCTGACAATCGCATCTACCTGGACTGACATTTGAAGAGATGGGTCCGGGACAACTCTCAAGCTACAAAATCAGTCTTCCAGGGGGAGTGTAACCCTATCTAGAATTGATTGACACACTTCCATTATACTTTTCTATAATATGTTATGATGTTAACTGTTTTTTATACCGTGTTATGGTAGCATTGAATTTTTGCTGTTCTTGTTGTTAACCGCTGTGAGTCGCCTAAGGGCTGAGAACAGCGGTATACAAATAAAGTAAATAAATAAATAAATAAATCTCCAGGTTAGGATTCTTAATGAAAAGCCTCTTTGTCTTATAGGGATTCAGTTTTGATTCATTTTTCTTCATCCCATTACCTCCTCCAGGCATTCAATCAGAGGAGACACACTATCTTTAGCTAACACTATTTTTGACACATGGAGAAACAGAAGGCTCAGGACCTTATTTTAGTGTGGGAGGACTTCTTAATTTGCTCTTCTCAAGTGGTCTACCTGCCGTTTCTGGTTTTGAAAAACAGTATTTTGGGGATTTTTTTGATGGGTCTAAAGCTGGTCCCCAGGAGGGGGTGAGATTGACTACTGGATGTGGCAAAAATCCCTGTTCCACAGGACAAGAGATCTATGCCTCCTGTAGATAAACAGTGAACAGTCCTGGCCAGAAGGTTGCTCCGTGTGAGAAACTATGGTTGAAGAATCCATTATACAAGGCCACTAAAATCCCTCTAGGCTTCCCAAAACACTTGACCCAGCTGAATTGATAAGCTGTTGAACCCTTTTGAACCCTTTTCCAAGTGGTGCTACACAGGATGTGTCAAAAGGAGAACCAAAGCCTTGTTATGATGGTGTAACAGAACAATTTTAATATTAACATAAAATATGCTATCATGTTAAAAAGGTTGGGTGAGAGGATGCAGCCTTGCCGTACGCCTTTCCCAATCTTGAACCAGTCTGTTGTTCCGTGGTCAGTTCTGACTGTTGCTACTTGGTCCTTGTACAGATTCCTCAGGAGAGAGACACGGTGGCTTGGTATGCCCATCCCACCAAGAACTTGCCACAATTTATTATGATCCACACAGTCAAAGGCTTTAGAATAGTCAATGAAGCAGAAGTAGATGTTTTTCTGAAACTCCCTGCCTTTCTCCATTATCCAGCGGATATTGGCAATCTGGTCTCTCGTTCCTCTGCCTTTTCTGAACCCAGCTTGAACATCTGGCAACTCTCGCTCCATGTATTGCTGGATTCTTCCTTGAAGGATCTTGAGCATTACCTTACTGGCATGAGAAATAAGGGCCACTGTACGGAAGTTGGAGCAGTCTTTCGCATTTCCCTTTTTTGGTATGGGGATATAAGTTGATTTTTTCCAGTCTGATGGCCATTCTTGTGTTTTCCATATTTGCTGGCATATGGCATGCATCACCTTGACAGCATCATCTTTTAAGATTTTAAACAGTTCAGCTGGGATCTTGTCGTCTCCTGCTGCCTTGTTGTTAGCAATGCTTCTTAAGGCCCATTCAACCTCACTCCTCAGGATGTCTGGTTCTAATTCACTCACCACACCGTCAAACTATCCTCAATATTATTATCCTTCCTATACAGATCTTCTGTATAGTCTCGCCACCTTCTCTTGATCTCTTCAGCTTCTGTTAGGTCCCTGCCATCTTTGTTTCTTATCATACCAATTTTTGCCTGAAATTTACCTCCAGTGTTTCTAATTTTCTGGAAGAGGTCTCTTGTCCTTCCTATTCTGTTGTCTTCTTCCACTTCCATGCATTGCTTATTTAAAAATAGTTCCTTATCTCTTCTGGCTAACCTCTGGAATTGCGCATTTAACTGGGCATATCTCCCCTTATCCCTGTTTCCTTTTGCTTTCCTCCTTTCTTGGGCTACTTCCAGTGTCTCAGCAGACAACCATTTTGCCTTCTTGGTTTTCTTTTTCTTTGGGACGTACTTTGTTGCCGCCTCCTGAACAATGTCGGACTTCTGTCCATAGTTCTTCTGGGACTCTGTTTACTAAATCTAGTCCTTCAAATCTGTTCTTCACTTCCACTGTATATTCGCTAGGAATGTTAGTGAGATCATATCTAACTGGTCTGTGTATTTTCCCTGATCTCTTTAGTTTTATTCTAAACTGAGCAATAAGAAGTTCGTGATCTGAGCTACAGTCAGCCCCAGGTCTTGTTTTCACCGACTGGATGGATGTCCGCCACCTTTGGCTGCAAAGGATGTAGTCAATCTGATTTCGGTGTTGACCGTCTGGTGAGGTCCATGTATAGAGCCGTCTTTTAGGTTGTTGGAAGAGAGTATTCGTTATACACAGCGAGTTTTCCTGGCAAAATTCTATCCGCCTGCGTCCCGCTTCATTTTGTTCTCCCAGACCATGCTTGCCTGTGATCCCAGTTGTCATTTGACTTCCCACCTTGGCATTCCAGTCTCCTGTAATGAAAATAATGTCTCTTTTTGGTGTATTATCCAGTAGTTCCTGCAGATCCTCATAGAACTGATCTACTTCTGCTTCTTCAGCAGCTGTGGTTGGGGCGTATATTTGGATCACTGTAATGTTGAAAGGCTTTCCTTGCACTCGAATTGAGATCATTCTGTCATTTTTTGGGTTGTATCCAAGCACCGCTTTAGCGAATTTCTTATTAATTATGAAGGCTACTCCATTTCTTCGATGTTCCTCTTGTCCGCAGTAGTAGATCTGGTGGTCATCTGATGTGAAGTGGCCCATTCCAGTCCATTTCAGTTCGCTGACCCCCAGAATGTCTATCTTTAGTCTTGACATCTCACCACTAACAACATCCAATTTGCCCTGGCTCATAGATCTTACATTCCAGGTTCCTATGGTGTGTTGATCTTTAGAGCATCGGATTCGTCGTTCACCTCCAGTACCGTCGGCCGCTAGCCTTCCTTTCGGCTTTGAGCTAGCTGCGTCATCACATCTGGGGCTAGTTGAACTTATCCTCTGCTCCTCCCCAGTAGCATTTTGGCCATCTTCCGACCTGGGAGTCCCATCTTCCAATGGCATACCGACATATCTCTGGTTGTACTGGTCCATTTAGTTTTCTTGGCAAGGATACTGGAGTGGTTTGCCATTGCCTTCCCCATGGATCACGCTTGGTCTGACCTCTCTGCCACAACCGTCCCGTCTTGGGTGGCCCTTCACGGTTTCGCTCATGACATCATTGAGGTGCTCAAGCTCCAGCGCCCCGACAAGGCGGAGCAAAGGATAACCCAACCTATTCAACTTGTATGCAGAACACATCATGTGATGTGCAGGACTTGATGAATGCAAGTCTGGGGTGAAAATTGCTGGAAGAAACATTAACAACCTCAGATATGCAGATGACACCACTCTGATGGCCGAAAGCGAGGAGGAGCTGAGGAGCCTTCTAATCAAGGTGAAGAAGAAAGCGCAAAAGCCGGGTTGCAGCTAAACGTCAAAAAACCAAGATTATGGCAACAAGAATGATTGACAACTGGAAAATAGAGGGAGAAACCGTGGAGGCCGTGACAGACTTTGTATTTCTAGGTGCAAAGATTACTGCAGATGCAGACTGTAGCCAGGAAATCAGAAGACGCTTACTTCTTGGGAGGAGAGCAATGTCCAGTCTCGATAAAATAGTGAAGAGTAGAGACATCAGACTGGCAACAAAGATCCGCCTAGTCAAAGCCATGGTATTCCCTGTAGTCACCTACGGATGTTAGAGCTGGACCTTAGGGAAGGCTGAGCGAAGGAAGATCGATGCTTTTGATCTGTGGTGTTGGAGGAAAGTGCTGAGAGTGCCTTGGACTGCGAGAAGATCCAACCAGTCCATCCTCCAGGAAATAAAGCCCGACTGCTCACTGGAGGGAAGATACTAGAGACAAAGTTGAAGTACTTTGGCCACATCATGAGGAGACAGGAAAGCCTAGAGAAGACAATTATGCTGGGGAAAGTGGAAGGCAAAAGGAAGAGGGGCCGACCAAGGGCAAGATGGATGGATGGCATCCTTGAGGTGACTGGACTGACCTTGAGGGAGCTGGGGGTGGTAACGGCCGACAGGGAGCTCTGGCGTGGGCTGGTCCATGAGGTCACGAAGAGTCGGAGACGACTGAACGAATGAACAACAACAACAATGCTACCATGTACTGACCTTTCTCTTTCGGAAGGGTTAACAGCCACTAGAGAGCCCCTGTCCCAAATCCCATCAAACTTGCCAGTGACTGTGCTAAAAGGAGGGAAGATAAAGTTGCATATCAGAAATTGTACAATTGTGCAATAGGAAAAACATACTGCAAAGAAGAGTAGGTCTTAAAGAGTACTTCTGAGAGCACGCCAAATCTCCAAGAGGAAAACCATGCAAATTTATTTATTTATTTATTTAACACACATATATCCTGCCATTCTCAATCCTGAAGGAGACTCAGGGTGGCCTTACAAAGGCAACAATTTGATGCCGCATATACAATACATTGGTAAAGCCAATTAAAACATAACATTGAAGCATCAATTAAAATCATATAATCCAGATCATATGAAACCTAAGGAATGTTGTGCAGAGTAGAACAAAATACATTTATTGGATTATGATGAATGTAGCACAAGCTTTCCTTACGCTGTAAGGATATGGCTCTTGTGTTAAATTCAAATTCATGGTATGAAAAATATAGCATACATTATATAAATATTATATATTATTTAAAGCCTAGGACCCAAAACATTGTGAAACATGTCAAGTTGTTCTCAATGCACAACACATCAATGCACAAAATAATAGGAACTAACAGATTAAAATTAATTAAATTCTGAATGAAGTTGGACATTTGCTAATCAAAAGAGGCAGCTTAATTATATTTTTCCAACCAAGGGGACCAATTTAATTTCAGCATTAGCATTTCTACATAATTAAACTAGTAATTATGGTATTAAGGAAATGACGCACAATTCTAAAAAGCCAATGAATTTTATTTCGTATGTTGGTTCTTTACCAACCTAACTCTTTTGAAGTTTTGCAAAACTACTAGTTCTTTGCTTGTACCTTAGCATGAGGAACTCACATAACTGAAAGCATTTATTCAAGAGCAGTTTTAGTGAAATGGTTTAAAGGACTGATTGAGTTAGCTACATTTTGACATTCACGTCACCATAAGCATTATAATAGATGGGGAACATAAAAAGCACCATTTAATTCTTACCTGGTCAAATCATATATACTGCAACAGTACAAAGAAATATTTCCAGTTGTGCTCTGTTATTAAAAAAAGAAAAGAGAATTTAAAAAAACCACAATAGTGGATTTCGACAAACATTATATCAAAGCATTATATTTTATTTCAGCATTTTAAACCGACACATGCATCCTAACTTGGAAGGGCTCTTGTGTCTTAAACACATGAGCTCCCCAACAATCTCCTGAACTCACAGGAACTTCAATGCAAAAACTTAGTGTAAAATTGCTGAATTAATATTTTTCAAGAAATTTACTTCTACTATTTGGGACTTCCATGAATTATGAGTATGAGGTCACTTCTTGATACTTGGAGAATGGCCACAAAATAATTTTACAGAGTCTATACTTTTAACATCATTATTATTGGTAGTATATTTTTGATATCCATTCTGAGATCATTGCTAACTTAGGTTTTGTTACTCCTACAACCATGCATGCATATCTACCTAGGTATGCGTATCTATGTGTATGTATATTACACATTTTATAAATGTAGACACCCAGGAAAAATATTTTATGCATCCAAAAAAGTGGATATTCTGGTCCAAGAAAGCTCACGGCTTGTGTTATAATAGATCCATCACAGTGCTGCAGGATTCTTGGCTGTTTCTTCTATAGACTGGACTTTCTTCTAGAAAGGTATGTGCAAAATATAATTACGTAAATCTAACGTGCCTTCTCACTGTGTGTATAAGACAGTATAATAAAGGTCTTTCAATTTATTAACACTCAATATAATGTTAATAATATATAAAGGGACACTTTATATAATTTGCAGGAAAGCTCCTACAGAGAAATACATAGCAGATTCATCGTTCAGGTCCTGAACCGGTGCCTGTCATCACTGATGGACTGGATGAGGACCAACAAATTTAAAATTAAATCCAGACAAGACAGAGGTAGTCCTGGTCAGTCGGAAGACAGAGCAGGGTGTGGAGTTTCAGCCTGTGCTGGACGGGGTCACACTCTCCTGAAGACATAGGCTTGCAGTCTGGGGGTGCTCTTGGATTCATCGCTGACCCTGGAACACCAGGTGTCGGCAGTGGCCAGGAGTGCTTTGGCACAATTAAAACTTATGCACCAGCTGCGATCATACCTTGAGACTCCAGACTTGGCCATGGTAGTCCACGCTCTAGTTACATCCCCGATTGGACTACTGCAACACTCTCTATGTGGGGCTGCCTTTAAAAATAGTTTGGAAGATTCAACTGGTTCAGAGATGGGCAGCCAGATTGCTAACTGGGGACAACTCCCCTGTTAAGGCAGCTCTACTGGCTGCTGGTCTGCTTCCAGGCCAAATACAAAGTGCTAATTATCACCTACAAAGTCCTTAAGGGTTCAGGCCCAGACTGTTTGAGAACTCGCATCCCCATTTACAAATCCATCTCGCCACTGCGATCATCGGAGGGGGCCCTCCTCTTGGTCCCACTCCCCGACCCAAGCAGGGCTGGTGGACATGAGAGAGAGGGCCTTCTCCATGGTCACTCCTTCTCTCTGGAAACTCCCTCCCCATCTAAGCTAGAACAGCCCGCTCCCTCCCTTCCTTCAAAAACACCTATAAACTCATCTATGCTCCAGAGCTTATGGAGAGGTTGATGAGTAATAAAACCCCATTCCTTCCCCTCTTTTGCATTTATATATTTTTGGATTCTACACTGAAACTGTAGTTATTGCTATTTTGCTTTATGAAGCCTGATTGTTTACCCTCCCTATAGAGTCAATTTTATATGTGTTTTTAAACCATGATTTATCTGTTATTTTATTGTGCTGTGTTTTTATGATTGTATATGGCATTGAATATTTGCCTTTGTATTTTGAAGCCACCCTGAGTCCCTTTGGGGAGAGAGGGCAGGTTAGAAATAAAATAATAATAATAATATTATATAATAATAATAATAATAATAATAATAATAATAATTATTATTATTATTATTATTATACTACAGTCCACAGGAATCAAGGCTAAAGCAAAGTGGTTTCAAAATCTTCAGCACAATTCTGTCACTTGACTATTTTGCTGCAGAAGGTGCATTAGGAAAGGTGAAATAAAAAAGCTAGTTAGCTTGACTGGTTCAGAGGTTACACTGACTCCTGGAAAACCATGTTTTGCAAACCAGGAATTAGCACTAATGCTTCCTTCCCTCGACAAAGCAATCTCTCCGTTTACTTTTAATTTTATACTTTTAACTGTATACTATACTACATTACTTACTATTAACTATACCATTCCATTACAAGTACACCACTACCATCAACAAAAAGGTCACTTTTACCTAAGTTTCCTTGTAAGCATGATTTCATATTTATGCAAAACCTCGGTTCCAGTCTTCAGATTATAGTGGAATCAGAGTTTATATTAGGAATAGACAACATTTGGCCTGTTACCTGTATTAGGACCCTCAAAGTACTTCTTTGTGACTTCTGCTACTAAAACCACAAAATGGCTCCAATTACTATTGTTAAAATAATTACAGTTTCAATCCAATTTTACTAGAGAGGAAATGAGCCTGTCAGTTGATGTGCAAATATGTCTTATAGGAGTCACATTGATATCATGTAAATGTTAAATGTGTCTAGTTACACATATCTTTTCAAATATATATATGAAGGATCCAATACAAACCTTAAACAATTTAGCACCCGGGATTTCTGCAACTGTTTCTTCTGTAAAGGAAAGGTTTTGTTCAGCGAAAAACTCTTTCAGTGCACTTTCACTAATTTCCACACCTATGACATGGTGACCGAGGTCAGACAACCTAATGGAACAACAAAAGTTAAACCCAATTACTTATGGCTTTTCACTGTGTCTTCCAAAAACATTTTTTAAATAATCAAAATCCACATAGGCCAGGGCCAGCCTCAATTCTCTGTGTCCGAGAATTGGCAAAGCATGCAAGAGAACCCATAAATACTTTTGGAAGCAGGGAATCTCAAGTCAAAAAATAGGAGGGGCAGGAAGAGATGCCTAAGTTTTTATTGATCAAAGTTGTTCAGGGAGGATTGATTTCCTTGAGATTTTTATCCATGGCATTCAAAGTACAAGTCACACATTTTCTTTTATGCATTTGCCTATCACGTGTAGCTGGCCTCCAGAAAATCAGTAACATGAAAGCAGTACTGCATATGTCTACAATTAGGAGAAGACACGGAGGATATTGAGAATTTTGAACACAGGGATTTCTTTGGGATGATTTCAGTGGGAATAAGGTTCCATATGTCCAAGGATACAAGGCATGGTACAAGTCAATATCATCTTTAAAAATAAAATTTGGCAAGATTATTGCTTTTTAAAATTTAAAAGCCTTTTCTGAGACTAAATCAAGCTAAACACCATGAGTTTTGACATGTGCTCAAGCATAGATTTGTTGTTGTGTGTCTTCAATAATTTCTGACTTATGGTGACAAACCTAATGCAGAGTTTTCTTGACAAGATTTGTTCAGACTTTGCTTTTCTCTGAGGCTGACAGAGGAGGACTTGCCCAAGATCACCCAGGGTGCATCTACACTTCAGATGTAATGCAGTTTGATACTAGTTTAACTACCATGGCTCAGTACTATGGAATCATCAGAGTTATCATTTTACAAGGTCTTGAGCCTTCTCTGACAAACAGCACCTCACCAAACTGCAACTCCAATGATTCCATAGCACTCAACCATAGCATTGAGTCATGGCAGTTAAAGTGATGTCAAACTGCATTATTCTACAGTGTAGATGCACCCCCAGTAGGTTTTCATTGTTGAGCAGGAATTTGAACTCAGATCTCCAGAGATGTAATCAAGGCTCATCATACTATTCTAGCTCTCCACTTTTACCTTAATCCCAACATTATAGATTTTTCTTCCCAAACCTTTATTGTGAAGCAAGATGCAAACCAAGCTGCACTCATTTCTGTGGCTTCTAACAAACAAACGAGCCATGAGAAGATGCACCATGTTGCAAATTTGATGGTGAATGCAGTGCATATTATAGTCAACTATCCCAAAATTCATTTGCATCTGTATGGATTGAATGGTTATGAACTACAATACTAGTCAATACTCAGACATGAAATTTTTGAGCATGTCAATTATTTTGAACACTAGGGACCTTCACTTTCTACTTTGGTACTTGATTATTTCAGTTCTGGTCAAATATTATTTATTTATTTACAGTATTTATATTCCGCCCTTCTCACCCTGAAGGGGGCTCAGAGCGGATCACAGAACACATATACGGCAAACATTCAATGCCATTATACATTGACAAAACCCAACTGTACATAGATATATATATAGGCTTTCCCATCTTTGGCATCTTAGAGGCTGTGCATGTTTCTGGCCATGGTGTGTGTGTGCATGTGTGCTGTCACTCCACTTTCCCTGTTGAAGAACTCGTTGGTAAACTTCCACCTTGATTTAATTTAAACAGTACCTATTTATCTGTGCATATTTCTGGTTTTGGGACTACTAGGTAGGCAGAAGCGGGGCTAAAGGTCAGGAGCTCACCCTGATCTGGGCTTTGAACTGTCAAAATATACTGCAGCTGGTGGTTAACCTGTTGTGTTAAAGCCCAGTTCTTACAGTATGCACACATTTCCTATTCCATTTAGTGAGGAATGCACATGAAACTACCCTTGTGGATTGTGAGGCATTTCAAACTGAAATACAGCGTCTTCCCAAACCAGGTGCTATTAGGATGTTTTGGACTACAAGTCACTATAGCAACAGGCAGAAGGGCCCGTGGTCAGGGGTGACAGGCTTTGTAGTCTAACATATCTGGTTTAGGAAGGCTAACTTCATTTTTTGAACTGAGAAGGATTCTGCCGTACATGAGTGATCAAGGTTACTTTTCAGAAAATCAGAGCAAAGTTGTGTCTTGTGAGTCAGATTAATATTTCACAAGAATACTTTCAATACAAAGTACATCTGGGCAAACTGATAATATTGCACAATCTTCTCTTTTACCATGGGTTTTTTTTTTTTGCATTGGCCTGTGTTTTATAGTTCCCACCCACAGAGCTGTAAAGTGATGTCAAAACAGAGGAAAGAGCTGTGCTTCTTCATTCCCCCCATTTCCATCAAACACATATTTACCATTTCATTTCAATGGTTTTGCCACAAAGTGGAAAAAATATTTTCAGTCCATTCCTGCCATTCAGAAGGAGATCCAGGTATTTCTTGAAAGAGCTGCAGGAGAAAAGAACATTGTTGTTGGTAAACAGGTCAACTGAGTTTTACTGTCTGGTCCTATAAGCAGGATATAATTAATTTTAAATTACTGATGCCCTTCCCCACAGCTGAATAAAATCCCACAATTTCTTTTTTGAACTGGAATATATGGCAGCGTGGATTCAGATAAACCAGTTCAAAGCAGATATTGTGGGGTTTTCTACCTTGATATTCTGGGTTATATGGCTGTGTGGAAGGCCCCTGAGACTATGTTCACATTTCAGAATGGCTCTTAATATACAAACACATCCCAAAGTGATCGTGTCATTGGTGGCAGTATAAGGGACCATATTGTAATTGAACAAGGACAAGTTCGCCTTTTACAGAATGAGACCTGACAAAAAAGAGGCTCTGGAATATGTTCCTCAAATTTCCAAAGATGTAGCTGTGTTAGTCTCTTGGAGCATAAAAGAGAAGAGAGGAGGGGAAAAATATAGGGGTTTATATCCAAAGAAGGGGTGTGTGTGTTATATTTGTGAAATCTCACACAAAAATAATAACCACTTAAACTTAAAGGTGCTGTTGTGTTACTTTCCTTTCCTTTCCTTCCCTCTTCAAATTTCCAAGATAGAAATGAGAAGTGAAATATAGTAAGACTTTTGTAACACATCCCATGTTTTCACTTATCCACATCCAGAATATTTCTAGGAAATTGCTAGGTATTTCATATGAATCTATGTCATTTTTTCCCAGAGGCTACTGTGGAATTCCATTGGAGGACCTAGAAAATTTGCAGAGAGAATAACTCTAGGCATTTCTAGATCCTCCAACACAAATCTGTGATATGCTAGGACCAAAGTTCAGGTAATTTAATGGGATTTGGTCGCATCGACAGCTTCAGGTAACAATGATCCAGCTGGGAATGTATGCCCTATGGATACAGAGATTTTACTGGATACCACCTTTATATTGAACTGCTGCAAGATTATACTTGGACTACACAGACATTTTGTTTGCTGTAGCCAGAAAGTTCTCATATACTATATAAAGCAGCCTCTAATTTCTCAGAGGTTTAATACAAAAAGCCCAGAGATTTTCATTCTTTATTTCATGAAGTTCCCATAATCCACAGGCATCCTAATTGGGCCAGTGGGCTTATTAACAAAAGACCCTCCTCATAAACCTATAGCAGAGTAACTTATTAGCAGCAGTGTGACACAGCACCAGTAGCCAAAAGTAATAAAAAACACACAGACCAATGTTCTCTCTTCCTTAGGAGGCTTTTCCTTATAACAAAATAATATGGTTGGACTATATACAAGAACAAGGTTTCTATAACACAAATAAAGTTCTTTATACTTCCTTCTTTGCTTCCATGCTGGGCTTCTTTCTCATGCAGATAAAAAGCTTAGTTCTCACTGAGCTTCTTCTCACACAACTTACATAGGAAATTCATACTGTAGCCTTTTACACACAGCAGCCTTCACACTGGAGCTTTACACATGAGGCCTTCAACCTGGGGCTTCTCTCACCAAAGCTTCTCACACCAGGCCTTCTCACACACGGAAGCCTACGAAATCTGAGGCCTACCTCACACTGAGGCCAACTAACACTGAGGTTTACCTCACACTGAGGCCTCTCTCAGACTGAAGCCTCTTCATATTGAAGGCAACTAACACTGAGGTGACTAAGCTACAGGTACACCTACTTATATTGAACTACAGCGTTTGCTGAGTCTTTGCATCCATTAAATCCTTTCAGTGCTTGACTCACATTTTTGTAATTAAAAATATCTAGTTAATTTTTAATATTTCTGACAATCCTAGCTATTGGTTAAGATGGCCAGTGATGACAGAAGTTGTACTCAAACTCTGTATGGCACCAGATCAGGGATGATGGCATTTGTGGAACACAAAAATACATACCAGTGTCCTTCTTCATTATGAAACCCGATGTTTTTTGTTTCCCATTTCTGAAGCCATTCTTCCTCAGGTACCACTCGGTCTGCTTGTAACTTGGCGTCATCACATTTTTCATTGTTGGCTGCAGTTGGGGAATTTTCCATGGCCTGTGAAACCTTTGTACAGAGAAAAAAGTCCAATACGTACTTGTGATTCGTCCATTAAATTTCCTATCTTGTTACTATGTTTCTGCCACACCTTTCCTTCAATAAAGTTTACGGCAATATTTGTATCTGCCGCTTCGTCGTGTGTTAGGACCAACGGTCTGCTTGACGTTTTCTCCTGGGCCTAGAAGCAAAATGCCATTCAGAATGCAATAGAGGTCCTATAAGCAAAGCCTGGGGAAAGTGAAAATATTGAGCTCCTGATGTTATGTACTTCTGTGTGAAAGTGACTGTGTTTCCTGTGGCTGTACTGATAGATGGATATGCATCTATACTCTGAATGAGAGTGTAAACCGCATATGTATGGGCCTTCTCAGTCCGAATATTGATCCTGTATAGGCAAATACTGGAACACTGCACTGTATTATTAAATTGAAGGAGGAGTTATTTGACACAACCTCAGTGCCTGATCATGTGTCGGGGTTTCCATGACAGAACAAGGAATCCGATTCCGGTCTCCATGGTAGTAGTAGCACAATGACCAAACCAATACATCATGCTGGCTCCATTTCTATATACAGTGGACTCTCAGGCCCCTTCCATACAGCTGAATAAAATCCCACATTATCTGGTTTGAACTGGGATATATGGAACTGTGGACTCAGATATTCCAGTTCAAAGCAGATATTGTGGTTATTCTGTCTTGAAATTCTGGGTTATATGGCTGTGTGGAAGGGCCCTTGTTTTAAAGCAAGGTTTAAGCAAATCTGATTAAAACCAGCCAACCCTGCTCCTCAGATTGCTTTCTGAAAGCGAATCTGTGTTTCATCAATGATGTGCAAAATTCTAAATATTTTAAGCCATGGATGGTGGAATCCACAGATGCAGAATTTGTGGGAAATGGTGGAATGTTTGTATTCAATGAGAATCTGCCCCTAAAATATCCATAATTTCTCTTATTTGGAAATACAGGGCTAATACATACCCAAGAAGCAATATAGGTTGAGTATCTTTTATCCAAAATATCTGGGTGGGTGGGGGTAAGAAATGATCTCAATTTTGGATTTTTATTTTGGAATATGTTCATTTACATAATGAGATATAAAAACAAAAGCTATGCACTAATAAAAATATATATTTCCTTGGGTTTGGAGCTTTTGATGCCCTCGAAGAAGTGGCACAAGAGATGCGTGTCATCCCAAAATCGACCGGATTGTTATCATCGTTAAGAACTATCATGGTTAAGAACTTCCTAACTATGAGAGCTGTTCAGCAGTGGAACTCTCTGCCCCAGAGTGTGGTGGAGGCTCCTTCTTTGGAGGCTTTGAAGCAAAGGCTGGATGGCCATCTGTCGTGGGTGCTTTGAATGCGATTTTCCTGCTGCTTGGCAGGGGTTGGACTGGATGGTCCACAAGGTCTCTTCCAACTCTAGGCTTCTATTATACATGCATATCATTTTATGCACAGTATCTTTAAAGCTTGAAGTAGTAATTTGAGCACTGGACTATGATCCTGGAGTCCAAGTTTGGATTCATCCAGACACCGGCCATATAAGATCCAGATTATCTTCTTTGATAGTCTGGATTATATGGCAGTATAGACTCATATAATCCAGTTCAAAGCAGATAATGTGTATGATCTGCTTTGATTGTTGGGATTATATGGCAGTGTAGAAGGGGCCACCATTTTACCTGCCATGGAAGGAAATGCACTGGGGGGGTAGATCTATACAGTAAAATCAGTGCAGTTTTGCACTACTTGGTTTGCCATGTCTCAATGCTATGGAAACATGGGAGTCGTCATTTGGCGAATGTCTTAACACTTTTGCAGAAAAAGGCTAAAGACCTTTTAAAATGACAATCCCCAGGACTGCACTACACTGAGTCAAGGCAGATATGGTGGTGCCAAACTGCAGTGTTGCTGCACTCCATAGCAGACAAAGTGGTGCCAAAACTGCTTTAATTCTAACGTGGACACATTTTGGCCCATCTGGGTGAGTCACAGGCCCTTTCCATACAGCTGAATAAAATTCCACATGATCTGCTTTGAATTGGGATATATGGCAGTGTGGATGCAGACAAGCCAGTTCAAAGCAGATATTGTGGGATTTTCTGCCTTGATATTCTGGGTTATACAGCTTTGTGAAAAGGCCCTGAGCCAGACTTTTTCAGGCTGGATCTATATTGCCATGTCATGCACAGAGACCTACAACGTCTGAGGTCCTCACAACCTCTGAAGATGCTTGCTATAGATGCAGGTGAAACGTCAGGAGAGAATGCTTCTAGAACATAGCCATATAGCCCAAAAAACTTACAACAATCCAGTGATTCCAGCTGGAATCACTGGATTGTTGTAAGTTTTTCGGGCTATATGGAATCTCTTTTCTTGTAGTTTGAAGCCATTACTCCGCGTCCTAGTCTCCAGGGCAGCAGAAAACAAGTTCACTCCCTCCTCCCTATGACTTCCTCTCACATATTTATACATGGCTATCATGTCTCCTCTCATATTGTGTCCAATTCTGGGCACCACAATTGAAGAGAAGTATTGACAAGCTGGAATGTGTCCAGAGGAGGGCGACTAAAATGATCAAGGGTCTGGAGAACAAGCCCTATGAGGAGTGGCTTAAAGAGCTGGGCATGTTTAACCTGAAGAAGAGAAGGCTGAGAGAGACATGATAGCCATGTATAAGTATGTGAGAGGAAGTCATAGGGAGGAGGGAGCAAGCTTGTTTTCTGCTGCCCTGGAGACTAGGCCGTGAAACAATGGCTTCAAACTACAAGAAAGGAGATTCCATCTGAACATTAGGAAGAACTTCCTGACTGTGAGAGCTGTTCAGCAGTGGAACTCTCTGCCCCGAGTGTGGTGGAGGCTCCTTCTTTGGAGGCTTTTAAACAGAGGCTGGATGGCCATCTGTCAGGGGTGCTTTGAATGCAATTTTCCTGCTTATTGGCAGGGGGTTGGACTGGATGGCCCATGAGGTCTCTTCCAACTCTATGATTATAGACACTGTCATTGAACATCGAGAAAACCAAAGTGCTGTTCCAGCAGACACCAGCCAACCCCTCTCCAATGCCAGAGATCCAGCTCAATGGTGTAAAATTAGAAAATGTTGACCATTTTCGCTACCTTGGCAGCCACCTCTCCACCAAAGTCAACATCGACACCGAAATACAACACCGCCTGAGCTCTGCGAGTGCAGCATTTTTCCGAATAAAGCAGAGAGTGTTTGAGGACCAGAACATCCATAGAGATAGCAAGGTGCTTGTTTATAAAGCAGTTGTCCTCCCAACCCTGCTATACGCCTGCGAGACGTGGACTGTCTACAGATGTCACATGCAACTCCTGGAACGATTCCATCAGCGCTGCCTCCGGAAAATCCTGCAAATCTCTTGGGAAGACAAGCGGACAAATGTCAGCATGCTGGAAGAAGCAAAGACCACCAGCATTGAAGCGATGGTCCTCCGCCATCAACTCTGCTGGACCGGCCACGTTGTCCGGATGCCTGACCACTGTCTCCCAAAGCAGTTGCTCTACTCCGAACTCAAGAACGGAAAACGGAATGTTGGAGGACAGGAAAAGAGATTTAAAGATGGGCTCAAAGCCAACCTTAAAAACTCTGGCATAGACACTGAGAACTGGGAAGCCCTGGCCCTTGAGGGCTCCAGGTCATCTGTGACCAGCAGTGCTGCAGAATTTGAATGGAGGGTGAAAAAGGGAAACGTGCCAAGAGGAAGGCACGTCAAGCCAACCCCGACCGAGACCAGGTTCCACCTGGAAACCAATGCCCTCACTGCAGAAGAACATGCAGGTCAAGAAGTGACCCACCAGAATTAGGTGATCCCTCGTTGGACGAGTAAGATGGTCTTCCATTATGCGTTTCCTTGTGGGTTCGTAGGTGGCTGTGGAGCCCTATTCTTGACCCACATCTTCTCCCACAGTGAGGGCATTGGTTTCCAGGTGGAAGGCGGTCCCGGTCGGGGTTGGCTTGATGCGCCTTCCTCCTGGCACGTTTCTCTCTTTCACCCTCCACTCGTGCCTCCTCGAATTCTGCAGCACTGCTGGTCACAGCTGACCTCCAGCTGGAGCGCTCAAGGGCCAGGGCTTCCCAGTTCTCAGTGTCTATGCCAGAGATTTTAAGGTTGGCTTTGAGCCCATCTTTAAATCTCTTTTCCTGTCTTCCCAGAAGACATCACGGCGCTGTTTCACCATTGCCTCACCACCAGCTATTTTCAGTGGGACAATGAATTCTACGAACAGAAAGATGAGTAGCTATGGGGAGCCCTCTCAGCCCAGTCATAGCTAACTTCTACATGGAACAATTTGAAAAACAAGCTCTTGAAACAGCAACCAAAAAGCCCACTATATGGTTCAGATATGTGGATGACACTTTCACCATTTGGAGCCATGGAGAAGAAGAACTCAACAGGTTCCTGGACCATCTTAACAGCATCCACCCTAACATCCAGTTCACTATGGAAAAAGAAAAGGAAGGAAGACTGCCTTTTCTAGACGTCCTAGTCATCCGCAAACCAGATCAACAATTGGGTCACACCGTTTACAGAAAACCCACACACACAGATAGATATCTACATAAAAACTCCAACCATCACCCAAGTCAAAAAAGAAGCACCATCAAAGCCTTGGCAGACCGTGCAAAAAGAATCTGTGAACCCCACCTCCTCCAAGATGAACTGAATCACCTCAACTGGGCTCTCCAGGCCAATGGATATTCCACCTCAGACATCAGAAGAGCTGCAAGACCAAGAACAAGCCACGAGAGTAAAGATGAAGATCCACCCAGAGGAAAAGTGTTCCTGCCATACATCAAGGGAACCACTGATCGCATAGGGAAGCTGATGAGGAAACACAACATACAAACAATCTACAAACCCACCAAGAAAATCCAACAAATGCTACGTTCAGCAAAGGACAAGAGGGATCCTCTCACCTCTGCCGGAGTCTACCGTATACCATGCAGCTGTGGACAAGTCTACATAGGGACCACCAAACGCAGCACCCAATACATGAATCAAGGAACATGAAAGGCACTGCAGACTACTCCAACCAGAGAAGTCAGCCATAGCAGAGCACCTGATGAACCAACCTGGACACAGCATATTATTTGAGAACACAGAAATGCTGGACCACTCTCACAACCACCATGTCAGGCTACACAGAGAAGCCATTGAAATCCACAAGAAGCATGTGGACAATTTCAACAGAAAGGAAGAAACCATGAAAATGAACAAAATCTGGCTACCAGTATTAAAAAAACTCTAAAATTACAACAGCACAACAGCAGAGGGAAAACAAGCAGGGACATCTAATCACCTCTCAACAAAAGATTTCTCCAGGCACTGCCAGGCCATCAAATGCTAATCAAGGTGGTCAGTTGAAAAGATTCACACCTAGCCCAACTTACAAAAGCCTTTTGTCTCACCCTGGTCTTTCCACAGATATATAAACCCCTTTTTTCCCAGCTCCAGCAGACCTCACCTCTGAGGAAGCTTGCCATAGATGCAGGCGAAACGTCAGGAGAAATGCCTCTAGAACATGGCCATATAGCCCGAAAAAACCCACAAGAACTGAATGTAACAGTAGTTTCCCTTTCCTTTTATCTTTCCTTCCATTGCAAGCTTACTAGGTGCGCTCACTCGCTCACGTGTCCCTTAATTCAGACCCGCGTTGCGCAATCAGCGTAGCGTTGGGTCCCAGCTATCATACTACTGCCACCCTCCCAAAGCCAAGGGCATCCCAACACTCCTTCCGCTCCCAATGTAGGTACATTTCAGACTATGATGATAAGAACAATAAAGGTCACCTGTAGAGGAAGTGTGATGGGCGAGAGGCGTCAGCGTCTGGCTCAGCGTAGGGCAGCTTTCACTCGGGAAGAATAAGCTTTGCTCCTGGGCCTTTGTCTCCTCCTCCTTCTCCTCCTCCTCCTCGTCCGTGGAGCGCAGGCCCAGGAGGCGGAGGGCAGAGGGAAGGAGAAGCGGAGAGGAAAGGGCGTGCTTCTTGCCAGCGCCTCCTCCCCGTTGAGGGCAGCGGAAGCCCGAGAGGCAGCGGCTGAAGAGAAGGCGGCGGCGGTGGTTGGAAGGAGAGAGCAAGAGGGCCACGAGGGCTGGGCTCTGGGGCCGAGGATCCGGAAGCCCAGAGAGGTAAGGGCGGTGCAGAGGCCTCCTTCATTCCACCTTCACTCGGGCGACACAGCGCTAGCTAGGGCAACCAGTCCATTGTCACCCACCACGGTGCCTTCCTTGCATTCAGAGAGCAGGGAAGAAGGCAAGGCTCTTTAGCAGCAGGAGCTCCAGTGCTGCCCAGCTTGAGCACAGGATGCAGCCATGGCTGTTCCATTGGAGGAACAGGGCTATCATTGTCTCCTGTGAAGAGGCTTGGTTGGACCAAAGAGACCTTTCACTTGTGGAGCATTTCTTAAAATGTTTGCATACATTTGCTAGCTTGTGTCTGCCTGTGTTTGTGGGTAGGGTGGATATTTCTAGGGGCCCTTCCACACAGCTCTGTATCCCAGAATATCAAGGCAGAAAATCCCACAATATCTGCTTTGAACTGGATTATCTGAGCCTACACTGCCATATATTCCAATTCAAAGCAGTTAATGTGGGATTTTATTCAGCTGTGTGAAAGGGCCCCCAGAATATCAAGGATATCCCGTATTATCTGAATGTGTACTCAGGTCCCTTCCACACAGCCAAATAAAAATCCCACATTTTCTGCTTTGAACTGGAATATATGGCAGTGAGGACTCAAATAACCCAGTTCAAAGCGGATATTGTGGGATTTTCTGCCTTGATATTCTGGGTTATACGGCTGTGTGGAAAGGTCCTCAGATAACCCAGGGGCAGGGACTTTCCCCACAGCCCTATATCCCAGAATATCAAGGCAGAATACCCCACAAAATCTGCTTTGAATGGAGGCCCCTTTCACATAGCTTAATAAAATTTCATATTATCTGCTTTAAACTGGAATATATGGCAGTATGGCCTCAGATAAACCAGTTCAAAGCAAAAATTGTGGGATTTTTTTTTGCTTTGATATTTTGAGATATAGGGCTGTATGGAAAGGCCCTGAGTCCGCACTTAGGGCCCTTCCACACAGTCCTATATCCCAGAATATCAAGGCAGAAAATCCCACAATATCTCCTTTGAACTGGGTTATCTGAGGCCATACTCAGATAACGTGGGATTTTCTGCCTTGATATTCTGGGATATAGGGTTGTATGAAAGGGCCCTAAGAGCAACATGGAATGTGTTTAGTCTTATGTCTGCATTTAAATACATGTCTGTCATTTAATGTGTTTTAATCTTATGTCAGCCTTGTAATGCATGCATTTTAATGTCATATATGTATTTTCACTTATACCCCTTGAGATGTGGATAACAAAGATTTTTTGAAAATGTTGTTGTTGTTGTTGTTATTGTTTATCCCAGTTTTCTCCCACGGGTGGGACTCAAAGTGGCGAATGAAGGTAAAAGACAAAACTACATGATACAAGAACACAACATCCCCCAACCCAAGCATATCAACAATAAACCAACACATTGTATAAACACATTGTATAAACAAATTGTATAAATCATATAAACAGACTTAAAATAACTATTATTGTTATTACTATTATTTTGTTGTTGTTGTTGGACAACACACATATTGATGCCTCAAATGTTAGCCCTGTTTCTGGGCATAGTAAAAAAATAGCACCAGTTTCCCCATATAGATCGTATGCTGCCTCCCAGTCACCATCTAAACTCATAGTCACCATATCTTAAGACATGAGCTGATGTGGTCTGTCCAATGCATTTGTCTGAAACCGCACCCCAGATAATCCCAGGAACAGGTCTCAAAACCAAGACACTAAGAGCCCCTCCACACAGCCATATAACCCAGAAAATCAAGGCAGAATAACCTACAATATCTGCTTTGAACTGGTTTATTTGAGTCCACACTGTTATATATCCCAGTTCAAAACTGATAATGTGATATTTTATTCAGATGTGGAAGGGATCTAAAATTGTTTTCTTGGACTGTGTTATTGTTACAGATTGTGGACTTACAGGAAATTGGACAAGTCATTTATTTGTCTCCTGTGTTTTTCAAGCGAAGGTAGAACAGCTCTGTTCTGTGCTGTCCTCTAACTCTATGGTTCTACTGGTGTCACAAATGATCACACTGAGCATGCCTCTGAGCCATAAGCAGAGGGCTTTTGCCATATTAGTGAAGGGTAAAAAAATGTGAAGTATATATATGCCAAAAATAACCCTGCTTTCCTTTCCCTGGCCTGTTTGGGTCAGAAGGGACTTCAAGGTAGGCCTGAGCCCATACATCACTTTTGAGAACCTGTGGCTCTTTCACATTATACACTTATAGCATTATAATTCTAATTTAATGGTCCTGGTTCCATCCAACGGGGGTTTTGAGAAACAGAAGGAGCTCTTTCAGATGGTAAAATTATAGCACCATGATCCCACCAATTGTCCTGGTTCCCTCCTATGGGATCCTGAATATATATTTTTTTTAGTTCTGAGAGGCTCTTAAAATATGCTAGAGAGCCACCTCAGATATAAACCCTGGGATGTAGCCAGGGAAGTTAAAGTGGGCTCAATTCAAGGTGCAGATTATTATCTACAAAGCCCTATATGCTTTGGGTCCGACCTGTCTTCGAGACTGCATCTCTTTCTATGAACTGGCATAGCACAGGCTTTGAGATCAGCAGGGGAGGCCCTTCTCTCGGTCCCACCACTGTCTCAAGCACGGTTGGTGGGGACAAGAGAGAGGGACTTCCCTGTGGTGGCTCCCCAGCTCTGGAATAGCCTCTCAAAAGAGATTAGAATCCTGATCCAGCCTAAAACATGGAATTTTAAGCAGGCTTTTGGCCTTGAGTAGGCTGAAATGGACCCATATGAGGTTGACACTTTGGCACTTTAGTTTTGAATTGATGGCAGCTAGTTTTAATTACAGATTGTCTGCATTTTTAAAATTGTGTTATTTTACTTTTTTATATGTTTTGATAGTGGTTGTTTTTATCATTTTGTGAGATACTATTTTATACTCATATACCGTTTTTGTTATGCTTCACTTGGGTACCTTGTAAACCACCCTGAGTCCCTTTTGGGAGATGGTGGCAAGATATAAATAATAATCTTTATTTATAACTTGCCACCATCTCCCAAAAGGGACTTGGGGCAGCTTACAAGGCACCTCAAGTGCAGCATAACAAAAATGGTTATTATAGTGTCACAAAATTATAGTGTGAAAAGGCCCAAAGACATTGCTTCTAAGTAACTTTGAGACTCTTCCTTAGAATTTGTCTTTGATTTGTTGCTGCCTTTGGTGCCTTGTTCTGGGTTTGTAGGCAGTTCCTGAATGGAACTCGGCGGAACCTTTGGATACATTTGTGGTAGTAGATTAGGTGCTTTTCATGTTGGAAGGTGCTTGTCCAGAAAATTATAGTGCTTTGAGTCCACGTTGTACTAGGCAGTTACAGTGTTTTGATTCCGCACTAACTGCCATGATTCTTTGTTCAAACATGCCGTCTTATCACTCTCCTGGCTTTTACCTTGCAGCACCATGTCAAGCAGCAGAGTCCGAACAAAGAAAAAAACACTGGTGGTGGACCAGTCTAATGATAACCTTCCTCTGAGAAGTTCGGGAAGACAGGTACTTCATCTCATTTGAAGTGGGTAAAAGAAATTAAAACAGTTACCTGTTCTGGTCCTCATGTGATGCAGAGAAAGTCTTGAATGCATTGTTAGCCCTACTACCTCCATTGTACTTTTTTTGCCTGATCCCACAACCCTCGTTGTCTTGTAATTTTAGAGCTCAGAGCAGGGCTAGGAATCATGTGGCACCATGGATGTTGCTGGACTTCAGCTCCCAGCATTTCTCACCACTGGTTATGCTGGCCAGCAGCAATGGGACTTGTAGTCTGGCAACATCTAGGCGGCTTTGGGGTTTCCACCTCTGATTCAGATGGTTTTTAACCACACAAGGAGTCTACATTGGTTGGAGAGGCTCCATACTGAGAGTGTTAATTAATTAATATCAATCAATAATTTACTATATTTATACCCTGCCCTCTCTCACCCTGAAGGGAACTCAGAGCGGCTTACGAGTTATATGTATATAAAATATATAATATTATTAGCATAGCACAATATTAGAATTATATATTACTATATTGTACTATACCACTATACTTCACAATTATTAGTAATATTACATATAATTATAATCTAAACAAATATTATATTGTATTATTATTAGTATTATATTGTATGACACTATATTATCATGATGAATGTTATAAGTACATACAATATATTATATTATTAGCATAGCACAATATTAGTATTATATATTACGATATTGTACTGTATCACTGTACTGCAATATTATTAATATTACATGTAATATATTAAAATTGTGTTATTTTACTTTTTTATATGTTTTGATAGTGGTTGTTTTTATCATTTTGTGAGATACTATTTTATACTCATATACCGTTTTTGTTATGCTTCACTTGGGTACCTTGTAAACCACCCTGAGTCCCTTTTGGGAGATGGTGGCAAGATATAAATAATAATCTTTATTTATAACTTGCCACCATCTCCCAAAAGGGACTTGGGGCAGCTTACAAGGCACCTCAAGTGCAGCATAACAAAAATGGTTATTATAGTGTCACAAAATTATAGTGTGAAAAGGCCCAAAGACATTGCTTCTAAGTAACTTTGAGACTCTTCCTTAGAATTTGTCTTTGATTTGTTGCTGCCTTTGGTGCCTTGTTCTGGGTTTGTAGGCAGGGCAAGGGCAAGATGGATGGATGGCATCCTTGAAGTGACTGGACTGACCTTGAGGGAGCTGGGGGTGGTAACGGCCGACAGGGAGCTCTGGCGTGGGCTGGTCCATGAGGTCACGAAGAGTCGGAGACGACTGAACGAATGAACAACAACACATGTAATATATAATATACAATTATTATATTGTATTATTATTATGAGTATTATATTGTATTACATTATTATAATATTATTATCAATATTATATGTATATACAATATATTATATTGTTAGTCTTATTATACAAGACTGAAGACTGACAGGTTGCAGGTTTGAATCCGGGGAGAGCGCGGATGAGCTTCCTCTATCAGCTCGAGCTCCTCATGCGGGGACATGAGAGAAGCCTCCCACAAGGATGATAAAACATCAAAACATCCAGGCGTCCCCTGGGCAATGTCTTTGCAGATGGACAATTCTCTCACACCAGAAGCGGCTTGCAGTTTCTCAAGTCGCTCCTGACACGACAAAAAAAGTATTATTATTATTTTGCTTGTAAAGTTTACTTTTATGCACCACAACTTCCAAAATAGTTGGACTAGCCAGGGAATTTTGGGAGTTCTTGTCCAAAAAATAACTTTTCCAAGCTCTGGTCTTCCATATATAGAGGGCAGCATTATTTCAGGATGGGGTGATGGCTAGAACACTTGAATATGTATATTAAGGGAAGGCTGAGAACAGTACTGCAAAATGTCTACATTGCTTAAGGCCTAGGACGATGCAACTAGAAGGTAGTTAGTTGTGTGATTTGATTTAAGAAAAATTGTTTATTTGTATTTTTAAAGTCTTTTCAATCCAAGGCATGCCAAACCAAGGGAAATTACATTGTAAACTCCTGCCTGAAAATAATAAAAGCAACTAAATAATAAAAGCAACAGAATTGCAGACTAAGACTGTATTACCAAAAACTGGCAGAAACAAAAACATTGTTGCTACCTGTTAAAAGAAAAGGAGCAAGCATGTGATTTATCATAACTGAAATTAATAGAACTGACAGTAGAACTAATATTTGGCTGAACTATTTAATAATCTTGTTCACAAGGCAACAGGACATGTTCTCTCTAGCTTGTAACTGCAGAATGTTATACTCTGATGTTCCATTGCTCTGACATTGAAGAATTTGTCTTACCTTTAAGTCGTTGTGCTTGAAATTTTAGTTTTAGCCTCAAAGATGCCACAAATTTCTCCTAAATTCTGTACTCATCTCAGTATTGTCACATTAACATGGAATACAGTTATTTTGGACTGTTCCTTATTGGATCTGAACTTTAGTTCTAATTGCTGTATGGCACACTGAGTACTGTTATTTTAGACTACTGGTGCTCAGATATTTTGGCCTTCAATTCCCAGAAATCCTAACAGCTGGTAAACTAGCTTGGATTTCTGGAAGTTGTAGACCAAAGCACCTACAGGTTGAGAACCACTGTTTTAGATTGTTTTCTGTTGTGTTGAAGAGCTGGCCCTTTCTCCAATTCACTTATATTTCCCCTGTATTTCAATGTGACAAAGTGCGTACAATGAAACCAGTTCTTTTTAGTTTTTTTTTTTAAAACTAGTTTTATGTATAAGATTACTTTTTAGCTGGAATACCTGCATATTAATACAGATTGTTGTAGTAAGAAGCAGTGTCTTGCTAGGTAAGGAAGAAGGCTGCAGAGACTGTTGAAGATGATGAAGATACATCAGAGAAGAAGTATCGGAAGTGTGAAAAAGCAGGATGTACTGCAACATGCCCAGTTTGCTTTGCCAGTGCTGCAGAAAGGTTTGGGTTTATCTTTCGCCTCCTTCTGAATCTGGGTTGGGTTGATCAGCTTAGGAGAGACTTCTGTGACTTTAGTCTTATTAGTAGTACAACTTCTGACAGAGTAGACTCGCTGTATTAAATGTTGAATCGTGAGTCAACTCATCTACAATTGTCCCTGATTTTGTGGGTCTTGATTTTGTGAGGACTATGACTCAGATTCAAACTTTAATTTTCCAAATTCCTAATTCTGCAAATAAATCGAAAATAAAAGTACAGACAGCTACTTACCTTGTTTTGGTAAGCAGGAAATTATAATCAAAGTTACAACTCCCAGGTGCTGATTTGTCTGAAAATTTGCAAGTTTAATTCACCCCTACTATCCTTACAGTTTTTCTTTATTTATTTCATGTCAAAAGCATTGCATAAATAAGTATAAAACTGATAAAATAGAAGAAGCACAAGTGGCTAAATAATTTTAGACCAAAAACAGGCAACAGCGACCGCATTGTCTGTAGCTTTAAACAATTCTTCTTCTGTGCATGAGACAGGACATTGTGGGCAAGCATACAGATGTGTAGTTGTTTGTTCTGCTCCACAGTCACACAAGGTGGAGGATTCTTCTAGGTAGTGCCATTTTGGCAGGTTGTCTTTTGATCTGCCAAGTCCACTTCTGAGTCTGTTCAGGGACTTCCAAGTTGCCCATTCTTGGTTTTCCCTTGGAGGAAGACCCTCGTGGGGGAAGGGGCATCCAATTGAGATTTCCTGTACAGAGGTACAGAGCCAATCTACAGAAATGGGGCTATAAAGTGGAGTCCACGACATGCGAGTGTGGAGAAGAGCAAACCACAGACCACTTACTTCAATTCAGTCTGAGCCCTGCTACATGTACAATGGAGGACCTTCTTGCAGCTACATTAGAGGCACTCCAAGTGGCCAGCTTCTGGTCAAAGGACATTTAGTATAATGCCAAGTTTTTAACTTTGTTTGTGTTTTTAAATACATTATAACTGTACCCTCAGTTCGCTTCGGACTTGATAAATAAATAGGACAAAACATAGCCACTATTAAAGTGATCCATGATTTCACTATCCTCTATTTTAAATAGCATTCATCACTTCTGTCAGGGATCTTTTGCACAACAGGAATAATAAGAACAGATTGAATGTCTCTGTAGAAGTGGCAATGTAATAGGACATGGCTGGCAGTTTCCACTTCCTTCAAACTGCATGAGTCTGAAAATGGAACTAGGTTTTAAGCTGTGTAGGGCCTAAATAAAATAAGGCGCTATATTCTGTCTGATTTTGGAGGATAAGTAGGATCAGCCCTGATTTGTATTTGGATGAGAGATCACCAACAAATATTTGATGCTGTAGGCTGTATTTCAGAGGAACAAATTGACAAAACCACCTCTGAGTCTTCCTTGCCCAAGAAAACTCCATTAAATTAATGGTGTCATTATAAGTCAACAAGTATTTATTTGGCACAGCATTGCAAGTGTTCCTATCCTTCCCTTTCCCTCTTACCATTCTCTCCTTTCCAGGTGAAGGAAGATCAGAAATGTAACAGCCATCTTGTGTAGAATTTTTAATAGATGGTGTGAGATGAGATGTTCCAACATCTTTTCAAATTGCAGGACACATGCAATAGTTTTAATTAATTGACTCCTGTCATTTTTTATTTTTTTAGGTGTGCTAAAAATGGATATACCTCAAGATGGTATCATCTTTCCTGCGGAGAACACTTCTGTAATGAGTGCTTTGATCATTACTACCGAAGGTATTTTATGCTCTTTAGATTCTATGGCTATTTTTCACATGATGTGCATTGGAAATGTTTTCAGGCCATGGCTAAGCTTGCAAATAATCATCTGCTAAAACCTATAAAGCTATGCAAGACTTACAGCACACTAAGTTCACTGGATTGTACTTGCTAGAATATGTGCTGGTCCTTCTGATTTAATTTTAGCATAAGGTCTAAAATGACAGTGCAAAATAAATGGCAAGAATTAAGCAAGATATAGTAACAAGGAAATTGATGCTGCTATTCTCTGATCGGTAGATTCACTATTGCACAATTACTGGAAAGCAACTTCTTTAAAATAACTGTAGTAAATGGCAGCAAATACTTTTTAAAAGCCAACAGCACATTTGTATTATTTAATAAATAAATATTGGTAGCTTGTTAGAACCTTGTGAAGCTCCACATGGAGCTTGGAATTTTTGGGGCAATAATACTCAGAAGAGTCATTGGCCATTTTGGTTGGGAGATACTTGGAAGAGTAACTTTTCCAAATCCCCACTCCCAGGGCAGCAATGGAAACTGTAATGTAAAATGCTCTTGGTTAGAAAATATGTGGCATTAGTGGAGTGTCTGGGGCCTAGGTAGTGCAGTGGGTTAAACTGCTAATCTGCAGAACTTGCTGATCAGAAGATCGGCAGTTGGCATCCATGGACAGGGTGAGCTCCCATTGTTAGCCTCAGTTTCTGCCAACCTAGCAGTTCGAAAACATGCAAATGTGAATAGATCAATAGGTACCACTCCAGCAGGAAGGTAACGATGCTCCATACAGTCATGCTGGCCACAGGACCTAGGAGGCATCTATGGACAACGCCGGCTCTTTGGCTTAGAAATTGAGATGAGCACCACCCCCCAGAGTCAGACACGACTACACTTAATGTCACTTTTACCTTTACTTAGTCTTCTTGAATTATCTGCTAAAGGCTGTCTGTTTTGGAAAAACCAGTCTGGGTGGACGGAAGAGATTCTGACATTGAAAACATTGTATAGATTTGGGTGTCCATAACTGGGATGGACATTGGGAAATCATTAAATGCATTCTTCATTTAATCTATACTATGTATATTCATCCTGTGATTACCATAATAGACACTATTACAATCATATATATGGTCATCTCTGAGTTGATTGTAGGAATCGATGCATGTTTAAGGAAAAAAACGAACAAACAAAACCTCTTGTTCTCTTAATGCTTATCTGTTTTTCTAAAATTATAACCATGCAGTATTAAAATAATATTGCTCAGCTTCATGTTTCTTCTGTTTACTATTTCCTTTGGAACTCTTCTTAGCCATAAGGATGGCTATGAGAAATACACTGCCTGGAAAAGGATTTGGACCAGCAATGGAAAAAGTGAACCCAGCCCTAAAGCTTTTATGGCTGACCAACAGCTCCCTTACTGGGTAAGGTCATCATAGATACTGGCATACTCCTGTGAAAAGAGCACCTGGAGAGTTTTCCTTGCCAGTAATTGCACTGGAAGGAAATGCTAAGCGGTACATCTATGGAAGATGTATCCTTTTGTAATTTTAACTTCTGTCTTTGTTAGCAATTATAAGACTATCATAGAACTTAGCCGATGGGTAGATATGTCTACTACAATGTTCTGTAATATTTTATTTCAACTGTATAGGCTAAGTGTGGTCCTGAAGATTGTATGTGGCCCCCAAGACTGTTCTTTTGTCCTTTGACTTCTTCAGATTCTAGACTGGCCAGTAAGAGGAGAAGGAAGGAGGAAAGGAAAGAGGGCAAAATGCTACTCATGAAAACCCCCCAAAGCAGCACTTTACCTTTGAATGTTCCAGCCCCAGAGCCCCAGTTTACAGCTAAAATACTTCCTTTTGAAAATTACAGGTGGATTTCAGGCTACTTTCCATTCCTTTGTTGGGAGTTTGTGGCACCTGGAGGATCCCAGTGGCAGGAAACCAGTCCCCAACAAAAGCCCCAGTGGTTCATCTCTAGCCTATAGAACAATTAGAATTCGTTTTCCATCAAGATAATTACTTTATCTAGTTTGGTATTATCTATACTTGCAAGCAGAACTCTTTCTCTGCCTTTCTCATAAATGGCAGGCACTCAACTTGGAACTCCCTGGGTTCAAAGCATGTCTTTTACCACTGTTGTTCTTCCATTCCAAGGTAGTCTCCAACAATGTCTCCGAACATCAGTTGCTACATTTAATTAAAGTTAATCTCTTGAATTAATTAAACTAATTCAAATCTTCTGCAGAGAAGAAGGTGGTTAGAATGGCCATCTCAACCATGAGGTATCTCTGTGTGTCTAACCAGGTAGCAGTGTCTCCTTCTGAAAGAGTCATTCTGAATGTTTAAGAATCCTATCTCTTATCCATTCTGTCAGTTTTTGCTCCTAAATACATATGAACAAATACTATTTTAAAATTGTATTTCTAGGTCCAGTGCACAAAGCCAGAGTGTGGGAAGTGGCGTCAGTTGACAAAGGAAATCCAGCTTACCTCACAGATGGCCGAAACCTACCGATGTGGCACAAAACTGAACAATTCCACCAAGGTATTTTCCATGCCAAGCTGTATTGCAGTGGTCCTCAACCTGTGGGTCGCTAGGTGTTTTGGCCTACAACTCCCAGAAATCCCAGATAGTTTACCAGTGTTAGAATTCTGGGAGCTGAAGGCCAAAATATCTGGGGACCCACAGGTTGAGAACCACTGTTGTATTGCAAAAAAAGGCTCCTTCGCTGTTTGCATGAGGTTGACATTCTCTGCAAATATATGATCTGTGTTTTCTATTGGCACCCTTCTGTTGTGTCAGTATATTATCATGCTGACCAACTTTGTTTTGGGTATATTTTGACTTGCTGATTAAAAAAATGGGACCAAGTTTCCTCCATCTATTTTTTGAGATGTAGATCATATGCTATATACCAATTGCTGTCTATTTGCCCATAGAAAACCAGGATAAACTAGGCTTTCTTAAACAGGAATATGCATATTCCTTAAACAGGAATATGCATATTCCTTAAACAGGAACTAAGAGGACATCAGCTATGCTGGTTAAACTGGAAGGCGGGCAGGGGAGCAAAGTGTTTTCCCTTGCAAACTTCACTGTAAATTATTCTCTTTCCAGACTGCCTGTTGGGGCTCAGCAGCAATCCTCAGAGGATGTGGGAAATGATGGTTTTCTCACTGAGTCTGTGTGTGATCAGGCTGAATCACAAGCTGAATTGCAGGCCTTAGATCAGAAAGTTGCAGAGGAAACAGAGGATGTTTGGGATTCAGTTTCTCTTGGGAATCGGCCTTCAGGAGATGAGGAGTTTTCCTGCGATATAGGCCTCCGCAGGGAGGGAGTGAAGGATAGATTAATTAGATGGTTAGAAAGACTCCATGAGAAGTCATTGAAACTCCATGAGAATTTTTTGAAACCCAGGTGTCACAGACATGACCTCATAGCTTCTTGGTAGGCCCTGAGCTTAAATTAAATTATGTTTTCTTGCAGTCTCCAGAGCAGACAACATTGCCATAGAATCAAGTTCCTGTATCAGCTCTCATGCTCATGAATCTAGTGTCTTGTGTTTGTCTATGTTCCTATAAGAGCTTTTGCCTTGGAAAAGCTACTATTTTCATTCTTTTGGACTTATGCATATGATCTTGATTTCCTGGATTCCATGTACTTTGCCTTATGGTCTACTGAACTTTGTATATATGGACTACTGCTCTTTTATAGCACCTTTTCTACTGCCTTTTCCCCCTTTGCACATGTTTTTCTAAATAAACTGCTGTGGTTAGATACTACTAGACTCTGGTGTGATGCTGGGTGAAAAGGGCGACCTCAAGGCTAGAGTGCAACACTAGACTTTCTGAGAAAATTCTGCTGTATTTTAGCACACAGGTTTGAGTGTAATACATTAATTTGCCTCTCATCTTTCATGGTATGCTATAAAAGACCTTGCTACTGTTTCTGTCACAAAAATATCCTTAAGAGAACTGACCCAGCTTACTGATATAATGTTTTGTGGCTATGACTATCAGGGGACTGTTCTGTTTTCTGACCCAGTTATGCTCTTTCCAGGTAGAAGGATCAGATCAGTGCGCCATGCCTGAGGATCTGGTAAGCATGTGGTATTGGGAAAACAGAGGTGATGTGCTTCAAAGTATGTATGTAACATTGTTAAATATTTCTGTCTTGGCATTTTCTTAGAGATCTTAGCTGGTGCCTGAAGCAGAAGATCCAAGACCTCTGAAGCTATCTAATTGAACACAAATCTTGTGATTGGAGCGGGGGGGGGGGGGGTAGGCTATCTTTTTTGGGAGTACAATTCCTATATTGCCAATTGGAATAGTCACTGGCTATGTTGACTTAGAGCCCCAAAACAGTAACAGAGTCACCATGGATGACCTAGAGGTTTCCTAGACAGAGCATATTAATAAAATCAAATCTGTGAATAAGTAAATACTCGGATATTAAACCTACAAATGTGGAGGGCTGACTGTCCTAGTTTGCCATATTGCACTTTGTGATGTTTGTGCTTCTGCTGTTCTTGCCCTGAGTACACACCCCACGATATAATCTATGCATTACTTTTGTTTGTTTGGAAGATTTCAAAAGGTGAAGAAGAGCCATGTCACTCAGTCACCTGATTAAACTCTAAATTAAAACATCTATTTCCGGTATAATTTTTTTTCTGAGACTTCTCCTTGGGCTTTTGACAGAGCACCCCAAAATGGCAATTCTTCCTTTTGAGAGCTCAGTGGTTTCATTCAGCTGCTTCATACTGGTCCAAAACCAGGGATCTGGGGATGCAGCAATGAGCCCCCCCCCCCCATCTAGTGTGGTTGTTAGAGAAGCATATACATATGTGTGTGTGAATCCATGTGTCAATTATCTTTTGAATAACGCGTAACCTGGTTACATGTGTCATTATTCTTTCTTTATCCCTTTCCTACACTCTGTTCCTAGAGGGTTGCTGAGGTTTCCGATCCCTGGTGGTATTCCATGCTCATCCTCCCACCGTTGCTGAAGGACAGTGTGGCGGCTCCTTGGCTCTCAGCGTACTACCCAGACTGTGTGGGCATGAGTCCTTCTTGTACAAGTACCCACCGTTTGATAGGTGAATCTAATGCTGTGAAAATGGAGCATTTAAAGACTCCCCCTACTATAGCTGGTGAGCCAAGCATGCATTCCTATCGCCATGGGAATATTCTGCTCTTAGCTGTGATTTAAGCATTGCCATTTTGAATGGATAGCTTGTATACCTGGCAAATTGCCATGCCTTTTTAATTTTGTCTTGTTCACTCTCTTCTTGAGAATGAGATGTCAAATCCAGGAAAAAGAAATAGGAAAGTCTTGAAAGATACTATTCCCAAACCTTTTAATTAAAAACAAATAGTTTCATTTGCCTCAATACATAGTATTGTTATGTAGTGGACACAAATTAATTCAATAGGAGGGATATAGGAAATAATGGCTAGATGATGGGCAGACATTTTCCAAATAATTTAGAACCCTTTTCCTCACTTAACCAATTTACACTTGGATGTAAGCTAATAGTATTTTATAGATAACCCATGGATCAACATAAATTCAGTATGATTAATAATATGGTGTTTCACTGTGTCACAGTGTCACTGTAAGGATAGCTAGTTTTGGCTAATGCATAATTCCTTGTCACTTATTTTTAATTCTGTAGACTTAACCTTTGTGATCTTTCCCTTTACTACAAAAATAGCTAGTTTTGGCTTAACCATAATACCACATAACTTGCTTTTTGTCTTGTTGGTCCTTCTACATATGTACACTTTTTCTTATAAGCAATTTCCCAAGTGATCAAGCAACATATCAGGCATATAAAAAAAGGTCTAGTCATCTATACGTCTACTTGGGAGTAAGTCCCCTTGCAAACATAGTTGAGATACACGTACCTCCTCCCTGGTGAGTATAGTTCATCTATTGTCATACAGGGACAGTGGCCTGTAAATATAATAAGCAATAATTTCTTTTATAAGCAAATGAGCGCGCTTCCTTACTTAGGATTAAGATCCACTTGCAGGAGTTTTTATATTTGTACTCTCTCACGGACTGCAACATCATGGCCAGTGGTGGGAACGCAGGGAGGTGTAGCTAAATTTATAGGTAAAGGTAAAGTTTTCCCCTGACATTAAGTTTAGTTATGTCCAATACGGGTGGTGCTCATCTCCATTTCTAAGCTGAAGAGCAAGCATTGTCCGTAGACACCTGCAAGGTCATATGGCCAGCCTGACTGCATGGAGCGTTATTATCTTCTTGCAGAAGCGGTACCTATTGATCTACTCACATTTGCATGTTGTTGGCAGAAGCTGGGACTAGCAGTAGGAGCTCACCCTGCTTCCCAGATTTGAACCGCCAACCTTTTTGTCAACAAGTTCAGCAGTTCAGCCGTTAAATCTGCTGCACCACCAGGGGCCCCCTAGCTAAATTTATACAATATGTTTTATTGCTTTCCAGGGATGAACAAATACTTCCAGCCTTTCTATCAGCCAAATGAATGCGGCAAAGCCCTGTGTGTAAGGCCAGATGTAATGGAACTGGATGAACTCTATGATTTTCCAGAATATTCACGAGACCCTACCATGTACCTCGCACTGAGAAACCTCATCCTGGCTCTGTGGTACACCAACTGCAAAGTAAGCAAAACTGCAAGAGTGACCTCTTTAAAGAAAATAAAAAAACACCCTCATTTTTATACTATAACTCCCAATCTATGAATATGACATCCACAATTTTGCTTACCCATCTCCAAAAAATATCTTCTTCATTTGCACAGTAATTTCATGTCTTTGGGTATACATATGAATGCCATTGAGTGACTGCATTGTTATTTTATTATATTACCTTCAGAGACACAGATAATAAGGAGTGGTTCCCGGGAAATGAAGCACATTTTGCTTTATAGCTGAAGCAGGGCCTCATTAATCTATGACTGCCATTCATGCAGTGTGTCCTTTTTTGGTGTTCAATATACAGGAACCTTTAACTCCTCAGAAGTGTACCCATCACATCATTGTCCGTGGCCTTGTGCGCATTCGCTGTGTCAGAGAAACAGAGCGCATCCTTCATTTTATGACCAGGAAAGGTCTGATTAATACGGGGGTTTTGGCAGTCAATCGAGACCAGCCTCTTCTTCCCAAGGACTACCACAATGTAAGTATCTTAAAATTCAGTATATTATTCAATTTTTAAAAGTTCTGATGAACAGGATAATGGGATGGTGAAATGAAAAAAAACTTTGAGCTTCTAGAAATTCTTGCCAAATGTCCAAACTGAGCTCCAGCTTTGCTGTATATCGGGGAAGCAAAATTATTTTACATACTAATCTTGGTCTCAAACTAGGACTTTCTTTTCAACATCCACCTTCCTGTGCACTCTCATCACATCTTTAATGACTAAAGACAATATACATTCATCAGTTGCAGGGGAAAAACAGTGCCAGAGCTGGGGACTTTCAGCAGATGTATTTATTTTTAAAAAAACGTCATTGATATCCAGCCAGCCGCCCTATTTACCCCAGTGCAGGGGTAAATTAAACCTATACAATCCTTTTTCTCCTCTATCGTTGTTTTACTTATTTTAGTAGCACACTCTTGTTGAACAGTTTTAATTATTTACGAAGTGATATTTATAGCCGCTATTAATGTGGTCTCACATTTATGCATACAGAGTGACTGCTGTATTTGTGTATTACTTTTTTGGTTATCATGTTATATAACCAGATATTTATATATTATGAATATCTGTACTCATCCATGAGGTATATCCCTGTCCAAATTATTCTAGTGTGTGAAATTGCTTAAGGAATCCTTTAGAAAGAAAAGTAATTTCTCTGTGCCGTCACCTGTTTTGTTTATAGACCTCTAAAACTGTGCTATTAGTAATAGAGGAATGATACAGCATCTTTCTCTTCTTCCTTCAAGAAATCTGTAATTGTGGTTGGGGCTGGTCCAGCAGGAATAGCTGCTGCAAGGCAACTTCAGAACTTTGGCATTAAGGTAGGACATGTTCATATAAAAATGACATTTTAATACTTCTGCCTTCATAAGTAAATAGACACCTTGAAGGCACATATATCACCTCCACCTTGAACTCAAGAATGAACCCAAGGGAAGGGAGAGAGATGCCTAACAAGGTTAGCTCTGATTTTATTCTTCCCCTTCTGCTAAAACACCTTCGCTTTGGGCTGAACTTACCACACACCTTCCTTCTCTTAGTCACTGGCAGAGTTCCCAATCTTTGGTCCTCCAGATGTTTTGGACTCAGAAATACCAGCCAGCTTACCAGCTGTTAGGAACTGTGGGAGCGGAAGTCCAAAACACTAAGACCCAAAGGTTGGGAACCACTGCTATAGAGGAAGGAATATTTAAAGCAGTCTATTTCTGCTCCAAAAAGTTTTGGGCAGAAAGACCTGTTTGCAAATGAGGGGATGGGGAAAATAAAATAGAAGTCAGGAAAAAGAGGACCAGGAAATGAGAAACAAAGAATGGGGGCACAATCATGCAATTACTGCACAATAACAGGCTGGTGTGATAGTTCTTAGTTTGTAGTAGTCTTCTCTACCTCTAGTCAGCTTCTCCTAACAGGGCAATCTCCTCATATGTTGGTGAATAACTGCCATCACCTGTAACCAGAATGGCCATAGTAGTCTCATGCAATAGCAGGGATGACTTATGGCAAGGAATAAAACATAACCGCTGATACCAGAGGAAAAAAAGGCTGATTCTTGATATTGCAATGGAGGATAGAATTGGTCACATGACAATAATGATTCTGCCTTTCTGTTTGGCTTTTCAGCTTACAGTTATTGTCTTTTATCAAGGACAGAGTATCCATATTGGTTGACCTGATATGTACATGACAGTCCAAAGTCTTAGGTTGATGATTTGCTGCAGGTTTCAGTGTTTATAATTATCTCTCAGACTGGGCAGACTCTTCGATCAACGAGATTACACAATCCTTTTTACCCTCTTGACTGTTGGAAGAGCTACTATTTATTGCAATGTTTCTCATTGAACTGTCCTTTTGTTCCATTTTGTTGTTGTTGTTGCAGGTCACGGTACTTGAAGCAAAGGACAGAATAGGAGGAAGAGTATGGGATGACAAGACTTTCAAGGGAGTGACTGTAGGAAAAGGAGCACAGATTGTTAATGGCTGCGTCAACAGTCCGGTAGCACTAATGTGTGAGCAAGTGGGTTTGCATTTTTATTGGAGAAAACATATGGCTATGTAGATCCCTTTAATCATAAACTTCTGTTCACTTCAAAGAACTATTTTTAAGAGACTTGGGACCTTCTTTCAGCTGAAGGGCCTAATTCAATTTAGGAGGAGTTTGGGATGAGCACATTCTAGTGGCAGAAGAAGGGCCGGGTCTAAAAGAATCGGAACCAAAAATATCAACATAGTTTAGTGTAATGCTTTTGCTGCCAGTAACTAGACATTAGGAGAAACATTTCAATTTTTTCCTTGATATTTTGCAATTTCAAGCCATCTCTGACACAGGGCAGCTCTAATTTCTCTGTAGAATTTTCTTGGCTAGATTTCTTTAGACAAGGTTTGTCATTACCTTCCTCTAAAGCTGAGAGTGTTACCTGCCCAAAAATACCGAGTGAGATTCTTCAAATATTCAATTCCTTGTCCTCAGAGTTATAGTTCAATGCTCTAACCATTAGACACTGCTGGCTCTCACTTTTGGCCTTTTAGAATAAAAAAAAAACCCATACAAAAGCTGGAGACCACCAGGTGATGAGCCCATGAGAAAAAGGATGTGGTCATCTGGTAGTATGGTTCCCTACTTGTGAATATAATTGTATTGTACAGCTTCAGAACAGTAGCTGTTCTGGAAATGAAATAATAAGAATTATATAACAAGAGATGGTTGTTTTTCAGAGCAAGAGTACAGATTTTAATGTAAATAATTTGTGGCATAATGTAAAATAAATTACGTGTAGTTCTCGTTGGATCAGTCCGCACACTGTCTTACCAGAGGAAGAAAATATGCCACTCAATAAAGAACAAATAGTTTACTCTTCGTAATTCAGAACAACATATGTACAATCATGGGATCAGTTACATCGACTCACACCATGCCCTTTTGTGAGAGATTTAAAATGGATTTTCTTTGTTCATATGGAGAATCTTCCTCCAGCAGCTCATGAAGCAAGAGTACACTCCAAACTGTCTCTCTTTCTGCTTTTCTGCAAACACCTGCACAGCCCAGGCATAAATAATGTAATAGCATCCGAAAGTCTTGGGTTTGGCCAGCTCCCTGGGTGTTGTCCAGCCAATCAGCTTGGTGCATTTTATTTTACAGTTGATACACACACCAACTGATTTCTTGCATGCTCTAACATAATTTGCCTACGTTATTAGTCTGGTTATTCTTGGTGTTACATCTCATGGGGTCATCTGATTTAGGGTTGCTTGAATGGTCCATTAGTTACTGCATTGAACCAAAAAACTATCTGCCTTTTCCAGCAGATAGTTTTCCTTGTTTGGAATGACAACACTTCATAGCTCATGATGTGAGGCTCACACATTTTTATTATAATAAATACTCCTGATGCTTTGGAATATACATCTATCAGTGAAGGTTTTTAATGTCATTCAGTGTTTGTGTTTCTCCCATTTGGAGAATTTTATTTTAAAGTCTTAGAATTCTTCCCTTCCCCCAGCTCTTACTTAGGAGTTCCTGTTATTGCTTGATATCATCTCTGAATACTGAAGGTTTGCATTCCATATGAGAATAACTTGGGTTATATCTTTTCTCTATATTTATTCTAAAGATGGGCATCAAAATGCATAAAATTGGAGAGAAATGTGACCTGATCCAGGAAGGAGGAAGGATAACTGACCCCACCATAGATAAGCGGATGGACTTCCATTTCAATTCTATACTCGATGTTGTTGCTGATTGGCGAAAAGATAAAAACCAGCATCAGGATATTCCTCTTGGAGGTAATGGGGAAATAGGAAATTGGACTTCAGGGCTCATGCATTTCACTGGGGGAAAATGCCAACTCCTTCATATGCTCATATTGTTATTTGGAACACTTGAATCTTATTGGTATTATGGCCGCACTTTTTCCAGGGTTACCTTGAAATGATGAGGTTGCACTTGGCATGTTTATTATAACAGTGTATAGGGGAACTGGCTGCTTGTGTTAAAAATTGATGCCATAGGATGGGCACTCTTGAGGCCTATTTAATGGGAAAAATATTTAATATGTAGCTTGATCCTTATTGAACTTAATGGGATTTAAAAGTATGAAAGTTTGACTGTACTAAAAGACTAATACAGTTTGATCATCCGTTATCTGAAATTCTAAAATCCAAAATACTCTAAAATCTGAAATTGTCCACTTCAGCGGGTGTGATATTGGCACCTTTGCTTTTAGATGGGACATTTGATAAAAAATGTGCTTTATGCACCACATGTATAAAATTACTGTCAGAGTTTGTGTATAAGATAGATGTGAAACAAAGAATTTATTTTAAATTAATTCCATCTCCAAGGTATCTCCTTATCTATGTTTAAGGAAATATAGGTCATCCAAAGTATAAAAAAAAATCTTTATTCCAAAACACTTCTGGTCCCAAGCATTTTGACTATGGGATTCTCAACTTGTATTTATAAATATTGTGATCACAAAGACTTCAGTTTAGAACTAAGAATAGTACAGTGAAAGTTGCCTTTACTAATTGGGCTGTTGAAAAAGGAGGAATGTATAACCAAAGAGTAATTATTGCTGACCACTGAATATGTGTTTCACTTTCAGATAAAATCCAAGAGATCTATAAAGTTTTTATTCAGGAATCTGGTATCCAGTTCAGTGAACTTGAGGAAAAAGTCCTTCAATTTCATATTAGTAATCTTGAATATGCATGTGGCAGCAACCTCCATGAGGTGAGCATGAGATATTTTGTTTATAACATTTAGTTAATGTATACACACACAGAAAGAGATACTGCAAAATAGGGTCCAGACCAGCTGATTCCTTACTAAATGTAGATATGCTCTAGGTTAAAAATGCTTCTGGTATTTGATAAGTCTGGAAATCCTATCCAGTTGGCTTTGCATGTGCATCTGAGAAAATATAGAAGGGTTATAGAAGATGAGTTAGTGGCCTATCTTCCCATAGCTGATAAACAGAAGATATGTTAGCATCTTCATCTTATTAACATATGTAATACTATATGTGTTATATGGTAGCATATCTTAGCATTATTGGAAGATTTCTTGGAATCCAGTCAGATCAAACTGGAGAATAACTTTGTTGAAATATTTAATGCACTTAATAATAAACCACAGGAGGTCCCATGGCTGCAGTTGAAAATATGTAGCCACTACCTGTATGCCATTTAAGAGGGTTGAGTCTTGCTGGCATATACTGTATATACTCATGTATAAGCCTAGTTTTTCAGCCCTTTTTTAGGCTGAAAAGGCCCCCCTTGGCTTCTAGAAAGAAAGCCCTTCTTTCAGCCCCATGCCTTCCTGTCGGGACCCTCACCTCTTTGTACAGCAACCCAGCTCTCCTTCCTTTTCTCCTCTCTCAGTGTCAATCCTTCCCACTTTTCCTTATTCATATACACACAGCATTTTCCCTAAAACATATAATTAAAATAAACTATGGTGATTATTGGAAGGATACATAAGCACATTTACATTGAAGGTTAGAATAATGATTTAATTAGAATTGGACAGTCTTATCTTAAATTACAGTTTTATGTAAATATTCAAAAACATTTAACCAACTCATGCCTCAATTAATGTAATTTTGTTGGTATCTGTTTTTATTTTGAAATTTACCAGTAGCTGCTGCATTTCCCACCCGTGGTTTATACTTGAGTCAATACATTTTCCCAGTTTTTTGTGGTAAAATTAGGTGCTTCAGCTTATATTCGGGTCAGCTTATACTTGAGTATATATGGTATTTGAATTGAGACACACCACAGAGGGAGATGCTATTCAGGCTAGCTCACTCTCAAGCCTACCTTTTCAGCATACACTGAATTTTGTAATCAATAGATGAAGAAAATGATGCTTTTCTTGTAGGTTTCAGCACGTTCTTGGGATCACAATGAATTTTTTGCTCAGTTTGCTGGTGATCATACCCTCTTGAGCTCAGGATACTCTGCTATAATTGAAAAAATGGCTGAAGGCCTGGACATTCGATTAAAAGTTCCAGTAAGTACTGAAAAGCTGAAGTGTGACTAATGTGCTTTACTTTCAGTGTTTAAAATGTACTTTTCAAGCTTATTTCCGCTGGCATCCAATTTAATATCTGCAGTGGTATTATAGTATTACAAGTGAATGTTTCATAAGATTTTCTGCTTCTCTTTTGAAACAAGGTCCGCAGTATCAACTACTCAGGGGATGAGGTCCAAGTGACTTCAACAGATGGGACTTCGTGGACAGCGCAGAAGGTGACCTTTTTCTTCCTTCTCTTTGTTATATATTTTCAGAAAGTTAAAGTAAGGCCATATTTTGGGTCAGAGTGACTCATACAACATACAGCCTGAGTTTAAAGGGTTGCTTCTTGATGTTAGAGAGAGGTGAAATTAAAGGACTTAGTCAGAATGGAATTATTTACCTTTTTTCATCAGGTTACTGCCCCTCTCCCCAAACATCCCATTCTTCTATCCATCTTAGTATTCTGAATTCTTGACAAGTTCTTCATTATGTGCTGGGATATCATTGAGAAGGTCCTGAGTTTGAAATCTGGACAAGAGTATCAGGTTGTTAAAACTGCAAGAATCTGCAGCAACAGAAAATGCATTCTCTTAATGTGTCCCTCTTTTAGATATAAAAACATAAAGATATTCTATTGTAGTAAACACTACATTAGGGCATTGATTTTTTATAAGCAAACATCTAGTTTTGGGATGTGGAATTTACGGCCATTGGATCAAATTCAATCCCAAGGAGTTTCCCAAGACCATTCTCCCTTTCTTGGTAGCAGCTCTGATCACTTCTTGTTAATGTTGGCCTTTGCATAATACAAACTTGTGTGCCAACTGCATCCAATCCTTGAGAAGCCAGATCTGGCCATGTTGATCTATGCCTTAGTTGCATCCTGCATGGATTACTGTAACACGTTCTATGTGGGGCTGACTCTGAAGAGTGCTCGGAAACTCCAGCTGGTCCAGAGAGCTGCAGCCAGGTTACTCACTGGGGCTGGCTACAGGGAGCAGACAACGCCCCTCCTGCAGCAGCTCCATTTGCTGCCAGTCTGTTTCCGGGCACAATTCAAAATGCTGGTTATAATTCTTAAAGCCCTAGATGGCTCAGGTCAAGGCTACATGGTTGATCGCATCTCATGTACAAACCAGCCCAGGTCCTGAGATCATCATGAGAGGCCCCTCTCTTGGTCCCACCTCCATCTCAAGCTCGGTTGGTGGGAATGAGAGAGTGGGTCTTCTCAGTGACTGCCCCTCAACTCTGGAATTCCTTGCCCAGGGAAGCCAAAATGGTCTCCTTGCTGTCCGTCAGGTGGCCGTCTAAAACCTTTTTATTCAAACAGGCTTTCAAAGAACAAGGTTTTTAGGATCAATTTTGAATATGTTCTAATGGTTTATAAATGGGCAGTTTTTAATACTGTTTATATTTAACCCTGTTTTGGAATATTTGTATATTTTAAATTGTATGCTAATGCTTTTATGTTAAGACTCTTTGAGTCTCCTGTAGGAGAGATATAGTGGGGTATACGTAAATATAATAACAACTACAACAACAACAATGTTGTTGTGGGCCTTCAAGTCATTTCTGTCTTATAGCAGTCCTGGTTTCTTGGTAAGATTTGTTTGCCATTACCTCCCTTTGAGGTGGAAAAAGTGTAACCTACCCAAGGTTTTCCATGGTCAAGGAGGGATTCAAATCCTTGTCTCCTGTCATAGTCCAACACTTAAACTACTATTCCTGTACTGTCTTTACTGGTTTCTTGTGCAGCATTAAAAAGGCCTTTTATGGTTGAGTATACTTGGCAGTAGGTGGAATTTAATTTTGTCAACTGGATTAGGTCAAGAAGGTACCATCTTTCTCTCCCTCAACCTTCATTTATGGAGGCTAGTTGAAACTCTGTTCCTCTACCCAAACAGACTGAAGGGCTCAATGGAGAGCCAGTGTTTGGTAGTGTTTAAGCATTGGGCTATTAGTCTGGAGACAAAGCTTTGACCTCTTGGCCATGGAAGAAACCCACTCGTGACCTCTCAAAACAAATATTCCTAACAAAACTATGTGATAAGGTCACCTAAGGGGGCATTCTAAGTCAGAGTTTGGCCTACAACACAAAAGCTCTACCGGATTATAATTACAACAGGTTTTCCCTTCTGGATCTTCAGGTTTTAGTTGCTGTACCTCTGACTATTCTTCACAAAGGTGCTATTCAGTTTAACCCAGCCTTGTCTGAGAGGAAAATGAAAGCTATCAATAGCTTAGGAGCAGGAGTCATTGAAAAGGTGAGAGCTCCTCTTTTATATGGGTGTAAAGGCAACAATGAACTTTAGTATTCTATTGTACCTATAGCTAAAATCTTTTTGTTTATAGCCAATTATATTATAGCCCAAAGAAAAAGTTTTACCTTTGTTGGAAGTAGGAAAATTCAGAGTTAAGACTCAGACCTTTGGTTTCCTCTATCATATGGAGGAAATGCTTGTTGGTTACTTACATCAGATAGGTTAAAAAGCAGTGCTGTAGATGGATTGTCTCAGCAACTTAGCTGGGTTAGTTAGTGGTGAAGAATGCTGGGAGTTGTAATCCAACTGTATCTTGGGGCTGTATGGTTCCCTCATCTGGCCTATTAAGTTCAGAAGAGCTTACTCTATTGTAGGTGTGAATAGGATTGAAGCCTGAATCAAGAAAGATATAATTCCTGCCCTTTCTTCTCTAGATTGCATTACAGTTTCCTTATAGATTCTGGGACAGCAAGATTCAAGGAGCAGACTACTTTGGCCATATTCCGCCTAATTCCAACAAACGTGGACTCTTCAGTGTTTTCTACGACATGGATCCACAGGTATGTTAAATGTTGCACGAACGCAGTTCTTCCTGTTTTATTGAACTTCCATATTTAAAAAAAACTGATGAAATTTCACTTTTTATGTTGTAGGGGTTCTTAATAGAGAAATCAAAATTTGTCAGGCAGAATTGGGAAAGTTTGGTTATTTTTATTTTATAAAATTAGTTACTTTGTTATATGACAGATTTTTTAAAAAAATGAGAACTATTTTTCCACCCACACAATGTATAAATGAATACTATATACAACTCTCCCCATTCATTGGGGTTAGAGTGCAAGACCCATTACAAAAATGTAAAGACTATTTAAAAAAACCCACTTTTAACCTAAGATAAGACTTCTCTAGTACTCTCCAGATCCTTCACTGTAATTCTGTGGTTGTTTTGGAGTGAGACCATATCAATCAAATCTGCAAAAGTTAAACCTCCAGATGTGGAGGGCTGAATGTACTTAGAAGGGTAACAGTGGTTCTTCATATTTTATGAACTGACAAATATTAGTTTGAGAGGAGCATGGAAAACTAAATTTGTTGGAAGAACTATATATTTATTTTTCTGGAAATATTGTATACAAAATGTCCTTGTTTCTGTCTTATTTGCAGCGTAAATGTAGTGTTCTGATGTCTGTAATTACTGGTGATGCCGTTGCAACTATTAAGCAACTAGATGATAAACAAGTTGTACAGCAATGCATGGCTGTACTCCGAGAGCTATTTAAGGAACAGGTGAGTCTGGTTTGTTGGGCGAGTGGGCTTATTAACAAAAGACCCTCCCCATGAAGGCATAGCAGAGTAACTTATTAGCTGCATCAAAGGCCAATGTGTCAAAAAGCACAAAAACACACAGACCAATGTTATCTCTTCCATAGGATGCTTTTCTTTGTGGTAAAATAATATAGTTGCACTATTTACAGTAACAAGGTTTCCACAATGCAAATAAAGTCCTTTATACTTCCTTCTTTACTTCCATGCTGGGCTTCTTCCTCATGCAGATAAACATCTTCGCTCTCACAGAGCCTCCTCTTACACTGAAATTACACAGGAGCTTCACATAGTAGCTTTACACACGAGGCCTTTAACCTGGGAATTCTTTCACCGAATCTTCTCACACCAGGCCTTCTCATAGACCAGGAGTCCTCAAACTAGGGCCCGGGGCTGGATACGGCCCTCCAAGGTCATTTACCTGGCTCTCGCTCAGGGTCAGCCTAAGTCTGAAACGACTTGAAAGCACACAACAACAATCCTATCTCATCAGCCAAAAGCAGGCCCAGACTTCCTATTGAAATACGAATAAGTTTATATTTGTTAAAATTGTTCTTAATTTTAATTATTTTATTGTTTTAAAGTGTTTTTGCACTACAAATAAGATATGTACAGTGTGCATAGGAATTCATTCATTTTTTTCACATTATAATCTGGCCCTCCAACAGTTTGAAGGACTGTGACCTGGCCCTCTGTTTCAAAGGTTTGAGGACCCCTGTCATAGACTAAGGCCTAACTCACACTGTGAGGCTTGCCTCACAGACTGAGACCTTTTCCCCACTGAGGTTTACCTCAGATTGACGGCTACTAAGAAACAGGCACGCCTGCTTATATTGAACCGCAGCTTCTCTGAGTCACTGCATCCATTTAACCCTTTGAGTGCTTGACTCACATTTTTGTAACAAAAAAAATCCTAGTTAATTTTTAATATTTCTGACATGGTTCCCCTGGACTTTTGGCTTGATTCTAGTTGCATCATTAGCTACAGCACTATTCATTGTTATCCTTTACTGTATCCCAGTAGCTCATTGAATGCCATCTTTTGCGACTATCATTTATTTTATTTTGAAACCCTGTGGATGACTTCTCAGATCTTTATGCATCTATTTGTTCCATGAATGTGGAAAGCCATACTTTTCTGTGGATCAAGAAGCCCCTAGTGGTAATGACCAAATTAAGTCAGATCATTAAATGGCCATGTATCTTTAAAACACCACACCTTAATAAAGTGAGAGATTGTATGCTTACATGGACAAGCTGTAAATCATAAAGATGTCATTGGTTTTTTTCCTTTTGTTTCTCTAATGTAGGATGTTCCTGACCCAATCAAGTACTTTGTTACACGGTGGAACAAAGACCCTTGGATCCAAATGGCATATAGTTTTGTAAAGACAGGGGGAAGTGGTGAAGCTTATGACATCATTGCTGAGGACATACAAGGAAAGATCTTCTTTGCTGGCGAGGTGAAGTCTCGATAATGCATAGCATCTTGAATCAGTTCAGTCTAATAAGGCAGAAACTAGACTGGGATAGAAAGTATTAAAACTACAAGAAAATAGAGTTAATTAAATCTATGAGAGTGTGAGTGTTCTAGAATAGCGGTTCTCAACCTGTGAGTCTCCAGGTGTTTTGGCCTACAACACCCAGAAATCCTATGCAGTTTACCACCTGTTAGGATTTCTGGGTGTTGAAGGCCAAAACATCTGGGGACCCACAGGTTGAGAACCACTGTTCTAGACCTTACAAAAGCTTGTATAAAAACACAAAGCTGCTCTACCAGTGTGCCATCTAGTCCGAATCAAAGCAAATTTTTAACATCTGTCAGAAAAAATAAATGGTCTCTCTTATTTAGAATTCTCCAGTTAAAGAAGTCAGGCACTGTGTATATTATAATCACACTTCTGGTCTGTTATGTGGGGTTAGGTGAAATGCTTTGATTACACTGATATTTAGAAGAGATACATTGGAAGATATTCCTATTCTCCTAAAATTCTGTGGTAGAATTCAAAGATAGCAGGCTTAGTCTGGAATATCAGTATGTAGAGATCTTGTAGCACCTTTGAGACTAAGCTGAGGAAAAATGTTACAGTGTGAGCTTTCTAGTTGTTGTAGCATAAGCTTTAGTCTACTTTCATAGATGCATAGGGTGAGCTAGTACCCAGGAAAGGATCCTTATGGTCATACCTGGGAACTGGAGGCACTATTTTTCTAAAGCAAGAGGCTGCTCTTCCACCTGATGAGGAATGACCTGTGAGGTCACAGTGGCTAGAAACCCTTTTGTTACATATGCAATTAAGTTTAAAAAAAGAAATTGCACAATGGCCCTTGCATCAGTCATCAGCTCCTCGTTCTTGCCTTTGGCTCAGCTGTTGGAGTGTGCCTATGTTGGGTAGTACTAAAATATCAACACTACTGTACCTTCCAAGGTAGGACACGAAGCTAAGATGCCTGAAAATGAGCAGGAAGGTAAACAGACAACAAGCAATAACTTTATTGAAAGGATCTCGCAAGCCTCAGCACTGATTTCAGTCCAACAAAGTACTTGTCAAGATGGATAGTAGATTTCATGCATCAATATTTGATAGAACTTTAGTCAATTTCAAAGCTATTGTAAAAATGGGAGTAGATCAGGCTCACTAAAACAGACCGGCGTACAACTGAATCTTCCTTATTTTACGCCAATAACTATACCATCTTAATGTATTGTCGATGGCTTTCATGGCCGGAATCCATGGGTTCTTGTAGGTTTTTCCGGGCTACATGGCCATGTTCTGGAGGCAATTTTTCTCCTAACGTTTCGCCTGCATCTATGGCAAGCATCCTCAGAGGTAATGAGGTCTACCATCTTACTTGAACAATTGTTGAAGAGGTTACGGCCCTATATTGGGTGCAAGAATCCGCTTCATCTTCTATAGGTGTGTAAGTGCAACTGGAATGCCCAAAATTAATCGATAGCTAAGGAAAAAGTGCCTTATTGGTCTTTCCAGTTTTAAACTGCTTTGTGCATTTAAAAAGTAAAACCTCTTTTAAGATGCTTTTTGGGTAAACAACCTATTATTGTAAGTAGTGTACTTTTGTGAATTTACCACTTCACCAGACCTGTTTTAGACAGGATGGGTAGGAACATGAAATATAAATGATATATTTTGGATAGGTTGAGGATGTGTAGGCTATGCATATACTGTAGATGCATTTTGATCTAATCAAAACGAATAGTTGCCTAGATAGCTTGTGCTTGACCAATGTCTCTTTATTTTCTTGTTCTCTTTTAAAAACAGGCCACGAACAGACACTTTCCACAGACTGTTACTGGAGCGTATTTGAGTGGTGTTCGAGAAGCAAGCAAAATAACTGCATCTTGAATACTAATTCAGAGTTTACAGATTTTTTATTTTATTTTTGATGACAACTTGCTACTGTTCAGACCCAACTTTCAGGATTACTTTCCATGATGCAATTGGTGCTTAAATCTTTGCTACCTAAGAGACAATCTCTTGATGCTTTTGCGAGAAGTGGGTTTGTTATTTCCCTCTTTTTTTGTTTTAACTTTTGAGAGGATAATGCTGGTTAAAGATTGATCAGTGCAACATCTGAAGGAGCAAGTGCTTTTCAGCAGTGTTGGCCAACCACCTTCAGCTCTGGATTTTTCTTTTTGTGGTGCATTTGAGGAAGTTAAGTCTATACTATAAAAGACTGGGATATTGAATTTTGAAAGTTGTGGATTATGAATAGCACTTCTGTCATCGAGGACAGATGGATAGGAATTGTGCTGTGTGTTTCAGACCATATGTCTGAAACACAGCTGTTGGAGAAGCTGAAGTATCGTCCTAGGGCTTTCGATAGTATCTAATTTCTTTTAAACTTATAAATTCCTATTTTGGGAATTGTTCCTGTTGAATTCATCCACAGAAATGTCATAAAAGTCCTTCTTTTGCATATATTAGGATGTTTAGTATCTGCTGGACATCTGAATGGATTAGTAAAAATGTCAGATTTGAGACTTTCCATTTAGTGCAGTGAGATTTCTAAATTATGGAAACAAAGTTCATAGATCCATAATTGTCATTTGTGGAAGCATGAAGGTCAAGTTTTTAAACTGAAAAACAAGGTCAGAAGATAGCTTTTGTGGCAAATTAAAATGACATGGCATCATCCAGAGACAGTTAAGCATTGCTTTTAATGGTAGAAAATAGATGCTTTACAGCTTTTCTGCTGAAAATAATTGTACTTCAAAGTACTTCATTCCCAGTGGTACATTGGACTCTTAGTTGTAAAAACTAAGGACCACATCACACTAGAGAAGGAATCCACTTTAAATCCGGTTGCTCCCTCCTGCAGAATCCTGGGGTTTGTAGTTTAGGGAGGAGTCTTTAACAATCTCACTAAACTACAAACCCCAGAATTCTGCAGGAGGCAGAAACCGGATTTAAAGTGGATGTGATGAAATAGCAAGTCTCTGGTCAAAATCCAGTTAAACAGTGTACTGTTATTTAAACTTTACATGGTTAAAGATATTCATGTCTTCACACAGATCTTCTATTATTTTACTTTTTTTCTCTCCTGAAGAACAACTTGAGAATGGAAGCATGGGCAGCAATTCTGCATTCCTTTCCAAAGAAACCCTCAGAAAATCTTTAGTTTGAAAACTGTTCTCTTTTTTATGTTTTGCTATAAGAAACCAAATAGGTAATTTTTTAAAAAACATATAAAGCCCTAGTTGTTTTGTGTATATGAAAACTGTTTAGGAGAGGACAATTTGAAAAGAGAAGATGTGTTATGAAACCCTCCAGGTTCCCTTTAAGCTGAACTGCTGATATTTACGCAAATGTTGGATAAGTGGAGTGTGGTCACAAACACTTTTAGTAAGAAATGTGTACAATGTGAAAATGGGGCGGGTGGTGCTTATTTTTCTGTATTTCTTGTTGAATGTGTCAAATGAGAAAACAGTGAGAATACTTGGTTAGGACAGGCTTACTGTTCCATATCTAAAATTATTCCCCTTTACATTAAGCATTCCTGCCTGTATGTTGGCAAGCAAATAAAAATGAAACCAACCAATGGAGATTTCCACTAGAAATCAAGGGGCTGCACTTGAGCTGAGATTATGTTGGCATGGGTATGTAAGCATTTTTAGTCATTAGCATTAAGGCAACATTGGGAGTCATACTGTGAAACCTTTAAACTATAAATACCTGTAAATCATTGCATTGTAAACATGTTTAAATAACAAAAGTACCTATTGATAACAGAAAGAAAAATGTGTTCAATTATGGAAACTTCTTTTTTTACATTTATTTAAGACATCTAAACTGTCATTCAGGAATACAGTGGGTTCATTTTTAAGATTTGATCCCAAAGCAATTTTTTTTAAAAAGATTCTGAAACAAAGGTTTAAGATGCTCATTTTTCTATTATGTATATACAATGAATGCCTTTTAAATCTAGGAAAATATTTTTAAAAGGCTTTTTTTTTGCAGTGGAGCATGATATGTAAGGTGACTTAAAGACAATGCAATAAAAACTGGAACATGTTTCTTCAATGGTGTTTGATCCTTTCTAGGAAAACCTTTGTAGCCTCCATGATGTCATGATAAACATTTTTATCTCAACAGAAAATTACTTGCATTGAGCTAAAATCAAGGGCTGACTTCAATCCATGGCTGTAAAGTTGGCTCATCTCAACAAAACCATAGTTAATATGAATATTGATCGTAGTTTAGAATTATACCTGAACCGTAACTGAAATGAGGATTCAGACATAGTTTTAAATGAAAGAGAAGAAGACCCATGGGTTTCGTCCAACACATTCCTATCACAATAAATGATTGGCTGCTGATAACTTTCTGCCATGTCTTCTTCACACCTAAACCTAAAACTTTATCAAGTTTTTAAAAATATTACCCAGGGGTGGTGGGGTGGTTTTGCTTCATATTGTGTCCTCCAAGGTGTTGTTGTAACATCACAAATTAAGCCCCCCCCTTTCAGAAATTTTCTATTAATGTATTTTCTCTTCATTATCAATTTTTCTTTTTAACAATGAACTGTGCTGCTACTTCTGCTTCTACACTAATACACACAAGATGGCACAAGGCTAATGCCACCACCTTCATGGCATGCCTTCTTCTGTCATTATTAGTTAGAGGTGGGCAGAGCTGCAGTGGACATCTGCTAGCATCTGTTAATTCAGTGGAACATTGTTAACATATAATAAAGCTCCTTGGAATTACAGCCTGTATTCTCCATGCATATAGGCTGCAATTTTAAGCACCTTTTTTAAAGGACACCAATAAAAATGGGAAATGCCTCAAAATTTATTTCATTTCATTTATATACCGCTTTTCTCAGCCCTTGGGCGGAAAAGCACAAAAAGCACAGGATTTGACATGTTCAATACAACCTCTCCAATCTCTTGAATTATTTCAGAGGACAACAAACCTTTTTTGGAATACAAGCAATATGGAAACAGAAGATAGCAGCTTCAAAGCAACAATTGATTGTGGGCCATCAGATGCTTATGTCTTTGAATTAATAGAATCACAGAGTTCGAAGAGGCCACAAGGGCCATCCAGTTGAACTCCTTACCATGCAATTGTCTTCTAGTTTAAATCTATATAAAATATAGGTCTAGTTGATGTTTTGGGGCATTATCTAACAGAAAATTAGGCAACAGAAGAAATAATAAAGAGTACGAATAAGTTTCTGCATCTCAAAAAAGTTCAACGTTTCAGCAAACCTTTTATTGCAAATTAACAATATGCACATTGAAATGAAACAACCAGATCAAATAAATCTTGCTAAGTAATCATCATTAACCTTTTAGAAACCACTTGAAAACTTTATATAAAATGCATCCAGGATGCGTTTTACTTTCATCATCCTCCACTCATGACTTCCATGCTGGTTGTAGTTGAAGAAGCAGGCTTAAATGTCTTTCCACACCCCCCCCCCCCCCCCCCCCCCGTGATAAGATTAACTATGAGAGAATTCCATTCTTTCCCAACTCAAGCTTTATTACATTGTTTACTGTAGTTACGCTTCTACAAGGTTTTTCTCCATCTCTTCTTTGCTGAGACATAATTTCCAACTAGACGAAAGAAGTGGAATGAGAGGCCTGGGTGGATATAAGGAGTGTTGAAAATGGAGATCCTATGTCAGTCTTTGTGAACCAAGGTGCATAATGATTTTTTGGCAATGGTCATGATACAATATAGGCTCTCAGTGAAGTCTTCAATAATTTCTATTGAATTCTCTTTGTTCTTTTTATATTCTATATTATGTTACAGTCGGATACTATAGCAGTATAATAAGCAATTCAGAAAAGTTGATTTCATATGCAAAATGCCTAACATCTCATTTAAACAGAAGTGTAAGTATAAATTTATCCCTCTCTGCATCTCCAGTCTAGTATTTTTTATTTTCTTGAGGATAGACAATTTCAGTGAAGAGCAGGAACCAATTTTTGGCTGTCACATTTGAGTACTCTAATTATAACTGTTCCACTTTTGACCCAGTTGTTTGTTTAGCTCTTTTGAGTGGGAAAATTGTATTTCCAGCTGCTTTGGGGTATTTTAAATGAGAAAATTGCCCCCAAATCAGTGGAAAATATAAACATTTAGGAATTACGGAGCTTTGGAACCACAGGAGAGTGGGACACTGGGGTTGCACGAGGTCCACAGGCTGCATCTTCCCTTGTCCTGCTTTAAGTTCATATAATTGTCTATGTAATTGTAATGTAAATTGTTTCTTCAAGTGTCAGTCCATTCTATGAAAAACTTTTGTCGAGAATAAAAATAGTGTAACTGTGCTAGCATCTATTGGGGAAATGGCTGCTGCTTTCTATACTACACAAAGATACCCCCTTTCCTAAAATACAGTGGTCCACAACCCAATTCACATGGCTTTTCTACCTGATCCAACATGCAGGCTACTTTCTCTTTCACCTGAATATGGTTAGGCACAAGTTTCATCTATCTGATATACACAACATATATTGCTGAAAGAGATGTGATAGAGGAAGAAGTGCGAAAGGAATAATTTTAAGCTTCTCAAACAATAACATGCAGAGGAAGTGCAAGAATGGTGTCATATGGCCATCACAGCCATGGGCAGCTGTTCTATCTTCACACTGTCACTTTAGTGTGCGAGGTGACAACCAATGGTCTGTAAGTTCAGCCAAAGACACCTGTTACCTTCCACAAGCCCAGACTCCAATTATGCAGTAGTCAAGCATATGGACAAGCTTTCTTCATGTATTTGGGTATGAAGACATGAGCATGAAACCAGAAGTTATGGTACCACTTCCCTGCTATGCATTCACTCAATACAATGAACTGCTATCATTTTTCAAACTTTGTATTTTCCCCCAATGCCTTACAGCAACCTTTAAGCAGCCTAAAAGAACTTAGTTGTGATAGAACTGAATCTTACTACTGACAAGGTTAAAGGCCATGCCCTCCAGAATGAACTACAGGGTTAGTCAAAATGAATAGGCCAATAAGAAAATTAATTTTAGACGAATGTATGTTTACTGTAACCAAACCACAGCTACGTAGCGACAGATAAACTATCAAAGTTTTTTTTGAGCAACACACATGTACGTTAATGCCGCTAGGCGTCGCTAGGGGTCGCTGTTTTCAAAATGGCGGAATCAAGCAAAGAGAAGGCGTTTTGTGTGATGACATTTGCTAAAACAATGTCAGTAATTACGGTCCAGCGAGAATTTCAAGGGTTAGGGTTAGGGGGTTAGGGATAGGGTTAGGACCTCAACGAACACCTTCCCAGACGTTGCTGCATTCGATGCCATTACGTCGGATGTGCTGCAACGGATGTGGAATGAACTGGACTATCGCTTGGACATCTGCCGTGTCACACGGGGCGCCCATATCGAACATCTCTGAAGGTGAGACAAAAATTTGATAGTTTATCTGTCGCTACGTAGCTGTAGTTTGGTTACAATAAACATACATTCGTCTAAAATTAATTTTCTTATTGGCCTATTCATTTTGACTAACCCTGTATTTCTAAAATTAAATTCAGCATAAGGAAGGCTTCTAAATGTGGAGTTTGTTTCCAAAAAGTACCAAATGCTCAAATAATGAAACATGAGTTACAGGTGGCAGCACACTGTTGGCTCAGAGTAGACTGTAATACACAGATCAAAACTAACAAAACTTATCAAATCACTTCAGTACAGGGCTTGGAAAAATGCATTTTATAGCAAAAAATACACATTTCAGGAGGCATTTAGAATCCTCGGGCAGAGAGCTCTAGAATCTCAACGAAGTGCAAATCCCTGGATTCTGTTGGGTACAACCATGGCCGTTAAAGTACAGTGAGCCCTAAGTACCGCCTGCTGTTTGGTTTCAGGATCCACCATGGATTCCAAAATCCATGAATGCTCAAGTTTCATTATACACAACAGTGTAGTAAATTGGTATCCATTACATAAAATGGCAACACTAAAGTTTGCCTTTTCAATTTTTTTAAATTTCAAGGCATGTATGGTTGAAACTATAGATACAGAAGGCCAAGTGTAGTCTCAATGTATTAGAGTTCTGTAGTGTGGCATAGACCAAGCTCTCATATCACATGGTAAACTTTCCTTCTGAAAAACAGCACTGTACCCCTTCTGTAGTTGTTCTCACCTTATGCGCCCCTTTGTGTATTAGCTATTTATCTCTTTTAAATATTTGGTTAGAAAATTTAAAGGAAGAATTCTGCAGACTCCTCTATTGTCATATAGGAAACGAGTTTGACTCAGTTATTTAATAATGAGGTGGCAAAATGTACTCTACTTTCCACCTGAAAGCCCCAGAACACATTTTAAGTAGGGCAGAGATGCCGTGATTATTCACTTGCTGAAAAGAGAATAGGTCCAGATGTATTGAAGCAGTCATCTAAGCAACAAAGCAAAATACAGGTCAGGGGAAGGGTCAAAGTCACTTGTTTCTGCTGTGATAGTTCACAGCTTCTTGAGAATTTTAGTACATAGATTTTTGTTGTTATCTGGAGTCTAAACCCCCCTTTTCCAGAATGGCCTGAATCCAGCTGCTAGTCCCAATTATAATATATCCACTGAAGCAACTATTAAGCAGGTATTTCACTGGGTGTGCTCTAGCTGAGGCTACACTGGGTTTATGCTAATAACTGCTGCTATGAAAAACATTTTAAGGTACTTCACAGTCTGCTAAATTTCAAAGAAACTCTGATGTGCTGGGACTTTGAACAGTAAGTATTTGCTTCATCCTCTGAGTTTGCTTACTCTTGTACATTATAAAACAAAGAAAAGTTTGTGCAGATGACACACAACAAGCAACCTTTGGTTCTGTATTAATTTTACTGTACATGTATTAAAGTATCAAAATATACATTTTAAAAAAGACATTTATTGAATACAAAACTCAATTACACTCTGCCTTAATATAAAGTATTACATGCAAAGAAAGTGGTAAAAACAACAAAGATGGATCAGCTTACTAATTATCACATGTTTTTTAGAATATAGATTTATCATCTTTGATTCTTCAACCACACATTTCTATGATATTTTAAAACCTGCTGTGCTTGTCATCAATACAGTCATGGAGAAATGAATTGAACTTCACGTTATGACACATACTTATTTGGCATTTGTTCGTGGAGTTTTAACTCATGATCATACTTCTGTGGGCAGGTACTTATTTCTTGATCAATAAAATGCATTAATATTTGGGCCAAATGCAACATTATCCCTGCTCGGACCAGGCCTGCTGAAATGAATGGGACTTTTTTGCACAGAAAATAAATGAAATCTCATAATTTCAATAGGACTAATCTACACAGGGCCAAGACTGAATTTAGCCCTGTGGTGGAATTAGAAAATCTCCCACAGACGACAAGACTGTAAATCACACAGTCATAGTCATCACAGCCCATGGCTAACACTCATGACTTAACCTCTCAGGTTTTCATTCAGTCAGGTATTCCAGTTTACTAGGCCAAATCCAACTGCTAGTCACAACTAGAATGGACGTACTGATTCAATGGGATCTACTTATTCAGAGAGTGATTCAATGTGACATACACATTGGCAATTTAATCCTCTGGGATGAATTTAATATTGCTCCCCACTAGAACAAACAAACTGAAATTAATGAGAATTTCACAAATGATGATTAGCAATATACTTAACTATCATCCCATATTTGAATATAATTTCGTTACAGATACAGCCAAGCCACAATACTAAATTGGCCAGGATATACCACAAAAGTTATTTTCTTTATCTAAGGGACCACTTGGTTTCTTGGTCATGTATTGCCCAGGAACAGCTGGAAGAACATACAGTAAACATGGCCACTTAACAAAGGGAAGACATAGTTTGTAAGTCAATGCTCTACTTGTTCTTTTCTACACAGAAACCTCAGCTTAAAGATCATCAAGTAAAGCCTTTGGATTTCAGCCAGATCTCACTCTACCCTGTTAAACACTGAAAATGATTAGTGAATTAACTTTTTCTTTACAAAACAAACAAATGCCAGCTTTTTGCACAGGAGTTATACTTGCCTCTTAACTAAACCTAGCCTCATTCATGAACACTGACATTGGTTATAAATCCCTTAAAAACACAACGATTTTCTGTTTTTAGACCAAAAACATCTGAATTAAGCTTATATACAAACAGAAAGTTTTTTAAAAGTACAAAAATAACATTTATGAGTTATCATGCTTTGAAAATGTTCAGATGTATACACATGCAAGGTAGTATAAAATTATGGAATTTCTAGTTGGGACATCCGCCTTACTCCAGATTTTAGTAAATTGATACGTATTCTGTAATGTTTGATACTGTCGTTGTTAACAATTGCTGCATGTGTATGTACAGATACATCAGTTTTCATATTAATTGATCTTTTAAAAAAGATCTCTACAGTGCAATACACTAAAATCTATAACAGCTATAGTACATCTGCATGATGTACCAAGTATAAGCAGATAACACGTATTAACATGGAAAACTTAACTGCATCCAACACAATTTTTGAAAGATAAAGTAATTTCCATAAACACTCAGAGCATCAAGCTAGTAGAATCATCCCTGACTTAATACTACGCTGTACCAAATAGGCAAAACAAAAAATAAAAGGAGACAAAAATATTTTTGCTGGTGTTTGTAAAATATTTAAATCCATGGGAACTTCTCTGGAGACTTCTTTCCTTTTCATTAGATCACGAAATCAGCTAAAAAGAGAAAAGTTTGGATACTTTAAAATCTTTTGACTACTTTATAAATCCCTTTCCCACAAAACACATTACCAATACTGTAAACTCTACAAGATGACTTGGAAGGAAGTTCTAGAGAAATTAAAAGGATTTACTTCCCAGAAAATATTCAAGCTCAAGTTAAGCCTTTGAATGTCCATGGTTCATACACAACTAAGATTAAAATGGAACTAAGCAAAGCTATCTTACAATTACTAAATTACTAAGCATGCCAATGGATAAATTCAGAGATGATTCTAAAAATTCTGTTGGACATTTGATACTTTCTTACTACCCAATATCTCTAAATGTAAAAGGGAGCTTGTTTTTGCAACTGGATAACCAAATGATCAAGTATTTACCTCTGTCACTGTCTTTTTGATGAACTCTTTTCTGCCAGACAAATCATGGCAGGGATAGTTTTCATATACCTGAAACAACCAATTTAACAAAAAGGTTAAGTCAAACATTTTTCTGATGATTAATGATCCAATTAGAACCAATTCTCACATGTTTTAAGCTTCTTAATACGAAGTATTAGGATACAGAGTGGGGACTTATAATGGGACTACTGCACTAGGGGAATTAAAGTTAAAAACATGTCATTATCCTCTTCAGCTGCAATTCCACTACACAATGGAAAATCAGGAGTGATCTCAAGTTTCAGCTTTTCCCCTCGATAGTCGAATTCCCTGCTCCAGCTATTCTGCCAAGTAGGAATTAATAAATGCCCGAGCAGAAAGAAGTTGAACAAATCACCACTACTTTATTATGTATTGCAAAGGACAGAGGGGATGCAATATTCAATTAGAAACCAGACATTCCACACTAAAATTAGGAACACAAAGTTCAGATCTCTGTTCGGCAACTGCTCCGGGTTGTTATAAAAAGAAAAGAATGCAATAACTGGTCTGCCTCTGTACCACCATTTAACCTTGTCCTCATAAAATCATAAAGTTGGAAGAGACCCCAAGGACCATCAGGTCCAACCCCCTCCAAGCACTCCCGATAGATGGCCATCCAGCCTCTGCTTAAAGACCTCCAGAGAAGACGACTCCATCACACTCCGATGCAGCATATTCCACTGCCAAACAGCTCTTGCCATCAGGAAGTTCTTCCTAATGGAATCTTCTTTCCTCCATTTTGAATCCATTGCTCCATGACCTAGTCTCCAGAGCAACAGAAAACAAGCTTGCTCCCTCCTCAATGTGACCTCATTTCAAATATTTAAACATGGCTATCATATCCCTCTCAGCCTTCCTTTCTCCAAGCTAAACATACCCTGATGCTCCTCACAGGACTTGGTTTTCATTTTGGTCACCCTTCTCTGGAGACATTCAGCTTGCCAATATCCTTCTTGAATTGTGGTGCCCAGAACGGGACACTATGACATCCCTCCGTCTCAAACTGTACTTCTATTGATGCAGCCTAGAATCGCATTGGCTTTTTTAAGCTGCTCATCGCACTGTTGATTCCTGTTCAGCATGTGTTCTACAAAGACTCTGGGATCCCTTTCACATTGACTGTTTTCAAGCCAGGTGTTTCCTATCCTATATCTGTGCATTTCATTTTTATTGCTGAAGTGTAGCGCCGTAAATTTTTCCTTGTTGAAATTGATTTTGCTAGTTTCAGCCCAGCTCTCTGTTACAGTTATTTTGGATTCTGATCATGTCCCCTGGGGTATTAGCTATCCCTCCCAATTTGATGTCATTTGCAAATTTGATAAGCATGCCTTCTATTCCATCATCTAAGGAATTGATAAAGATGTTGAATAGCACTGGGCCTAGGAAGAGAACCCTGCAGCATCCCACTGGTCACTTTTCTCCATGATGAAGAAGAGCCATTGGTGAGCACCCTTTGGGTTCTTTGAGAATGTCCTGGGGAACCTTGTCACAGGCCTCAGTGTTGTTACAAAAAGAAAAGGGGGAGATGAAAAGACTACATTCCTGCCTTGAGCATCTTGGAAGAAGGGAAGGATCTGGAAAATGTAGGTAATGGATCTGGAACTTACAAACACAAGAAAGATAGCTTGTTCGTTATCTTTTGAGGTGCACCCTAATTACTGTATATACACACAATTTAGATGGCTGTTGACAAAAACAGAAGGGAAACACTGAATTCACTTCAATCTCTTCTTGCATGGAGGGAGTGTAAGCACGTATGAAACACACAATATAGCCAGAGTACTAAACACATAGGCCAAATACATACCTTTTTACAAATCTGTTTCATAGTAACTTCCTCTAGGTTTGCATTAGCTAACAGCTTCTTCACTGTTTCTTTCAGTTCTTCATCTGTAGGTGGCTTTTTCACCTTTTTAATTAAAGGCTCATCATCAGAACTATCCTCAGATTCACTTTCTAAAATAAAAATACTTGGTAATTGAAATACGGATGATGATGCGTCATTTTCTTTTCTCACAAATCAACATTTATGTATGGACCCAAAGAGCTGCAAATTCTAGTGAAAGTGCTTTTGAAGTAGCAACTTCTTAAATAACTTTTCTCACATATCAAATGGGAAATCACTTTACAAATTTCCAAAGCAAGGTTTCAAAATGGGTTTGTGAGGTCTAATTTCTTTTTTTCTCTATTCTCATCTGATCCTCCAACTGTACCCATCCTTAGCCAATGGTCTTCTGCTGCCTTGAACCCGATCATTCCTCCTGCTGCTCTTGTATACAGACGTGTACAAAAAAGTGTACTTCATTGCCACTTATACAAACCACTTGTCTACCTTTCAAAAAAAATTCCCCCATCTTTTCAATAAAGTCTCAATTTTCATATACCCCTGGAACTGTACCAGCATTTCTGCATGGTGTGGTGGTTTGAGCGCTGGACTGTCTCTGAAGTCCAGGATTCAAAGCTTGGTAATTTTGGGCAAGTCACATTCTCTCAGAGGAAGGCTAACACAAAAACCCTTTGATAGGTTTGGTAACAACTTGACAGTATACAACAAGATTTTTTCTCTAATTATCTTTGCTTCTTATCATAATTACTTTAGTTCTGTTTTGGATGTGTTGTGTATATATTGATAGCAATATAATAGAACTAATCTATTTCTTCGTCTGCAGCTACAATGAACAGCATAGACAATCATAGCAGAAAATTGACATTCTGACTGCATTTATTATAGAATCTGTCCCCAGGAGCTTTAATGTATTTCCTGGGAAGCGGTTCTACTAACCTGAATCAATGAAGGAAAGCAGACTTCTCTGTAGTCATAGTGGCCTCTGGATTGTTGATGCAACCAACCCATTATTGGAGCAGGATAAACACAATAGGTGTAGAAAATGTCTTCAAGAGTAATGGGACATCTACTCAATTGGTATAATGTTTGAACTCTACTCTGATCAGCTTTTAAAAATAATGGTCACTTCTATCTTCCACTGTAATATAGCGTAACATTACTGAAAGATTAAGGACTGAAACTTAGATGAGTCCTAGCAAGCTTCAACTGTGGAGTCATGAGCACTTCATACAAGTTTAGCTCAACCATTATTCTTTCAGGGAATCCGTTTCCAGCTGGATAAGATGAAGTTTCTGCTGCTATACTGGCAAACTCAGAGATGAACGTGGAAAAACAGAAACACTAGATAACAGTACTAAGGATTTGTGAAGTTAGTTACTATGTTACGTTAAATGTTGCTTCTTATTTAAGGAGATCCTAGTTCTGTTGCAGGACCTTAGAATCATATATTAATAGAGTTGGAAGAAACCACATGGGCCTTCCAGTCCAACCCCCTCAGATGCACATTCTGAAATAGAGATTTACCTTTTTTGGAATTGTTCTGATTCTTCTTGGTTGTGCTGCTATCTGCTTTCTTGACATAAGCAGTCTTTGTGCCCTTTTTGCTTTTTGAAGGTGTCTTCGGTTTGGGTTTTTCTTTTTTCGATGACTTTTTAGGTTGCTGTAGGAGAAATCAAGAACTTTAAAAATTACTACTATTACTACTGACAAAAAGGTATTCGCTTTTACACTGTCAGTGATCAGAAAGGTATTTTTCTGCAGGAAAAGCTCACATACTTTCCAGTCAGAAAAGTGGCAACTACATTGCACTATGTCACACGATTTTTGTTCCTGGTTATAAAGGTTATTTCCTAATTGGTTCTATCATAAAAACATGGGAAGAGTTTATTAAACTGCGGTCTGCACAAAAGGTTAAAAATGGCACAAGAAAGGTTAAAAATGACACATTGAAAGGTTAGAAATGGCAGATACAGAAGTTTCTGGAGTTTTTTTCTCAAAAAAATCATGTCAGAACCGATGTGGGAACTTACTGTAAGTCGCTTTCTGGTGTGAGAGAATTGGCAATCTACAAAGACATTCTGGTGTGAGAGAATTGGCAATCTACAAAGACGCCCCACATGTGTTACCATCCTGTGGGAGGCTTCTCTCATGTCCCCACATGGGAAGCTGACAGACAGGAGCTCACCCCATCTTGCGGATATGCACTGCCGACCTTCAGGTCAGCAGTTCAGCCAGCACAAGGGTTTAACCGATTGCCCCGCTGCGGCTCCTTTGTTTCTGGAGTATAACAACTACTTTCAAAGTAAGTACAGCATAATTAAAATTAGGACCAGATTTTTTTTCCAAATTTTGTTACATAGTGTTATCTATATCCAGTTCTACCTACCCTCCCACTTTGCTAGAGAATACAGCTTTTAATTTTTTTTGCATCAACCTTGTATGATGTAACAAAGAGAGCCTGAGATTTGTGATAAGCACTTTATTCCTAAATTTACAGGCTACAATTACTTGAGATCCACTGAACTCATGGGAAATTCCTAAAAGAAACGTGTTACAGAGCTTGTCATAATGTAAACCATTTTAATAATTCAGGGAGTGCTTCCAAATATCCAACTCCTAGTATTTCCAGCCATCACTTTGTTGCTATGTTTTGTGTGGAATTACCAGACACTAACCATATTGTTAGAGCAAAGATGCAGTTACAGATACAGATTGGTGGAGGCAAGGAGGACAAGTAAGGGAGAGTGATAGAGTTAAACCCTGACTAGAATCCCATCTTTCCTTCCCCCTCCACTAGACAGAATATAGTATTCTCTAAGTACACTTCTTCCTGGCAAAGTGGACAGTACATAGTAATCTTGTTCGTAGCTTACAGCAATGTGCTTTTCCTACTTAACAGGTTTTTGGTGATGATGAGACAGATATGCAAGGAATGTGAAACACAGGCATACAAGTAAGCGATATCTGGAATTTCTAAATTTGCCATGCACCACCTGGGAGAACCAAGTATCTCTTCTACTATGAATATTTTAGAAATATTATTATTATGGAATTACAGCTTTTACTCTGTCACCATGGCACAATAATCACTCAAGAGAAGCAAAGACTTCCAATAAAATCCGAAGTTGTGTTTCAAGGTGCTTAACTGATGAATGCTTTGTTGGTTAAAAATAAAGTCCAATACACTACACCCCACTGAACAAATTAGAGACTACTATAACCTGGTTACAATACAGGTAATCACAATAGTTTTACCTCTTCTTCACTCTCTTTATCTTCTTCAGATGATTCATCTTTCTCTTTCTTTTCATCTTCTTCACTGCTAGATTCATCTGACAGGATCTCTGGATCTTTGGTCTTTTTGGCTTTTCGCGCTGTTCCAGAACTACCACGTTCTTTCTTGCCACCTTTGCTAGGTGTTCTCTTGGATTTTGGCAATTGCTATTAAATATAAATAAAATAAAGATGCTAGTTTTATGGCTCTTTCTCGACAGATCACACCAAGTGTTGTCATCTACCTTTTAACCTTCTTCAAAGTGTCACACCACATATTATTTGGAACATGTAAGATTGTAGCAAAACCACAGCCATTTTGACATAAAATCAGATAAAGGAATCTGTAAGCATTTTTCAGACTAAAAATAAATTCATAAGATGCATTGTTTGTACCATTTTACTGTGTATATCGATCTGTCTACTGTTGAGCATAAGGATACAAAAGAAATGAGGAGTGATTTCACTATCATATAGCACAAAAAACTGAAAATTTGGCAAGGGTAAGGTTGTAATTTTTAAAAAGAGAACTAGCAAAACTTTCTTTTATAATAAATGAGTTGCTATATCTTCCTCATGTGGGATCATACAGATCTACCATAGTAAAGCAGGGATAGGGGTTATCAAGCTCTTTGATTTCTCCCTTTGATTGCTACATTTATTGGTTTGAGTGCTCTCCTTGTTTTGATGTTCTTTGAATGAAATGTTAAATCTCAAAATGACAGTACCTGAAAGCACAGTAGAAATAGCGCTTTAAAATATTCTGTTACAGCAAGTGTTCAGTTGCTGAATTCGGTATAAAATAACCAAAGGAAGATACAAATGTGCCACCCAGTGCTAATGCTACAGTCATTCATAGAAGAACACTGCCTTTACATTTTCCTCCTGGTCTCTACTGTTCTTCAGTGCTTTTTATTTTCCATAAATGCCAATGTTTTTCAGGCTATCTGATGTGGGGACTAATATTTTTTCTTTTTAATATGCAGACTACATTTGTGCTTTATGGCATGGACTTGCTGATAATGGCTTATAGACCTGCACTAGTCCAGGGACCATGGGTTGGAGCACACTGTCCATTTTAACTTGTGAATTTTAACCTGTATTTTATCTGTTTATATTTGTTCTGTGTGTTTCAATAGTGTTTTTTTATCTTGCTGTTTTATCTTGCCTCGAGCCACAAGGAGAGATGAGTAAGAAATAAATAAATAAATTATTATTATTATTATTATGTGGCACAGCATACAGAAGGGATGGGCAAAGAAACCAAACACTTTAGGTTTTAATTCCCACTCTCTATAACTCACTCCTGGGACTAGTTCAGTCCATGGTGTCCTAGGGGACTAAATACTGCTTCTAAGATTTTCCGGGATTTCTGACTGTAGTATATATAATATTTGTACAACAAACAAAACATTCATGGAAAATTATTCTGCTTCATAACGAACAAAATATGCAGTTTATAATATCTTCTCACCTTGCCAGAAGGTTTTGGATGCATCAAGAAGTTTAAGATTCGTTTCACCAATTCACTGTTAACTCCTGATCTTTCCAAATCAAGAACTTCACAAATACTTTTCAGCACTGCATTTCTGTATCTATAGAGAGATACACTTATTTAATATGGGTAGGTACATTTAATGTCTCCTTAGTCTATTTGAGTATCCCCATCCAGAATTACACAGCAACTTAAGTTGTTAAACACTCATATGTTAATATATTGCTAAATAAACAAATTATCTGATAGCATCTGCAGTTCCTACTATTTTACAATTTTACCACTGAATATTGTGTCTGTTTGTTGTTATCCCTTCAAAACATAGGCCATAAAAATTATGCAAAGCAGTCAAACTAGAAAAAGTGATCTGTCATGCAATTTAACTGTTTATTCCAACGGCTATGCACATAATCCCTAAAATAAAATTATATACCATTGTTGACAAAAGCAGTTATTCTAATCTTGACTATAGATATTGATGTGAAAAATTTAAAGTATCCTTAAGTACAGTTAGTAAGTGGCTAGAAATACATTGCTAGTGCATCTACGTTATGTACTGAATTACACTGTTGAAGAGAACACTGGGTTTCAAGAAGTTGCACTGCTTAACATTAAATTGTATACATTAACATAAATTATACCAGTTGAATTTGCCAAGAAGTTTTAAAAGTTTACTTTTTCAACATTTCTTCCTTTTTCTTATACTGGTCACTTCCTTTTTCAAAGGGGAACCCACTGAATTGGCCAACATTCTTCTTTAGCGAAGCAACCTACAATGAATGGTAAGATACATGCATTTTAGAAATAGCAGAATCCTTATTTTTAGTTTGACTCTTTTCCAAATCAAATGCAGTTTAGTAGAGAAAGACATTACTGCTGGGGTTCAAGAGTTCATATTATATTCACTCAAGCCCTTCTACACTGCCGTATAAAATCCAGATTATTTGCTTTAAACTGAATTATATGGCAGTGTGGACTCATATAATCGAGTTCAAACCAGATAATGTGGATTATATGGCTGTGTAGAAGGGGCCTCAGTAGAAAAATCAGGAGAGCAATGAGAGGTGAGTACTTTACAAAGAAACTTAGTTAACCCTTACAATTTCCTTAACCTGGAAGAAATACATTTCTTCCATGGCACTATCTGTACATAATAAGGTGTGATAAAATCTGCAAAACTATAAAATCATCTTTAGTGTCTCAAGAGAAAAAAACTTGCCTAATAGAAGAAAGGTTACTTTCTTCTATTAGGCCCTGGAACTGTACAGCCATAGACTCTACCTAATTTTCCGGGCCTTCTAAAATTGCACTAGCCCGGCCCAGTCTTTTAAATTGCCTTGAACAGGCAGGATTATTTTAAATATATATGTGCTATTGTGGTTTTTAATGCTTATAATGTCTTGTTAATTTTATGTTTATACTTTTTTCCTTGTATGTATTGATTATGTTATTTGGAAACTGCTCTGAGTCCCCTCGGGGAGATAGAGCGGTATATAAATAAAGTTTTGTTGTTGTTAATAGCCAGGAGGTGCTGACTGTATGAAGTGGGAGATAGAAAAAATAACAGAGGGGTATATGGTGGAAAAGTTATTACTTGATGGCAAGACAGTTATGGCTGGACAGCAAGAATTCTAAATTAAAACATTCTATTGAAAAGTTTAAAAATCCCAACAGCAGGATCAATGAGGAAAAGCTAGACACTTGAAACTAGATGTATCTACAGGCTTCTTTATAAAGAAGAGTTACCAAGTACCAAACATTTTATTGCAGCAATCCACACTTGAGAATCTGTTTGGGAAATGGAAGGGATCTGGGAGCCAAGTATTCAAAACAAATCCAAGCATAGCTGTGGTTACAATATCTGCTTGGATGCAGGACATTTATCTGGACATCACTGCCACTGATTTCAGAAAGTTAGAAACGTACAGGTTTGCTGCTTTCAAAATCAAATCTATTCTATATCCTGGGTCAATTTCAAACCAACTTGAATGAATACATTATTTGAGACTTCTTACTGTTCCTGGTCTGTTGTAAAGAAGCTTGTGCAGGTTTCGAAGTTCATCTGTTTTTTTCTTGCTTAAAAAGTATTGTATCCTTTCAATCTCACAAAGTTTTTGTCCCTTTCCTAAAAAGAAAAGAAAAAATGTGCTATATTAGGTATCTATATGCAAAACTGTTTAAATAATTTCCGGATCAAACTTATGAGGAAGTGAGAGAACACCTACTTATTGCAGCTATAAGTCACAAACTAATCATATATAAGAAACAGTATGTGGCCCAAAAGCATTTTCCATGCAAATATCTCCTCTTAGACCCCCATCACATGCTCCAGTTTGACAGCCAAGTAATAAATTTCAGTCTATGTCTATGGTGTATTGACTACTAGCAAATGTTATTTATTATTGAATACAAACAGTAGTACATCTATTGTATGCAGGAGCTAGAATAACTGTCCTATTTCCTTTTAGTTTGGGTGTGATTTGGTATTTCCTATTCCATAGCTGCAGTTGATCTCTGGCACTTATACGATGAAATACGTTGTTCATAATACCAGTAAAGACAGTTCTCTTTTACAAACTACACGCCTGTACAGAAAGGCAGAAGAGTCAGGCGAATACAAGTTTGGCATGAAAAAGAAAGAGAGCAGTATTCTACAAAACAAAGCAGGAGTAACTCACTGAGCAACACTTCCTTTCAGCCTCTAGATTACTTCGCTGTCTGCAAAGCCAACTGTTGTTTACTCCCATAAAATGTAAAGTTATTCAAAGAAACAAATAAAGGGTGCACCTACACTGCAGTTTAACACCACTTTTATTGCCATAGACCAACACGATGGAATCATGGAAGCTGTAGTTTTATGACTTTAGCTTTCACTGCCAAATAGTGCTGGTGCCTCACCAAGCTACAACTCCCATGATTACACAGCACTAAGTCATGGCAGTTAAAATGTCAAACAACACTAATTCTACAGTGTAGGAGCAGACAAATGATCAGACCTACTAAAATTCATTGTTGATCCTTTCCTTTCTTAGGAACAACATTATAATTTAACATTAGATAAAGATTTCACATAAAAGATAATTCACCCTTAAAATATAATACATTTAAAACAACTTGCCTGGTGTAATTGTAAAGGGTTCCTTCTGCAATGAGGACACTTGCATGGTCAATCTGTCTACTTTTTTCTTTTCCCTTTTCCCTTCTACAATGAGACTTTTTTCTGAAATAGAAAGTCAATTAAGTTTAATTATTTCATAAAATGAAGTTTTTGAATTAACATACAGAATAAAAAGAAGACCAGTAAGATCAAAGTGTTGCCACCATCTTCAGGAAAGTATCCGTACAATTTTGACACATACATCGATTACCAAAATAAATTTAGGAAATGGCATCATTAATTTTTTTCTGGTTTTTATCCTTCAACATTAGTTTCAATCTAATGTAAAATTAACACCACAGACATGTAAAATATGGTAGCAAAAATTTAAGACAACTTTTAAAAAAGCAGCAGACAATTCACAACCAGCAGCTTCACAGTAACCACCCCACCAATATTTAATCAGTATGTCAAATCAGTGACAAATTCACAAATGTTGAAAAAGAAAAGAAAATATTTTCACATATAACCTTCTGTACATGTATATTTCAGCACACGGTCAGATTTGTCATTAATTTTTCTGTTTGAACTTTAAATTCAGAAACAGCAATACATCTTTTTTACTTATAGGATGTAATCTAGGAAGCCGACTATTGGAAGAGAATATCTGATAGCATTACCCTTGGGCCACTGACTGCTAGCACATTCAAGCCTTACAAACCCCCTTTAAACATCAATTTCCTAAATCTTGCCATCAGTTTAAGCTCTGTATCACATTTCAGAATTTAAAAAAAAACAAAAACAAAAAAAACCCAAAACAATTAATGCCTCAGACTGATACAAAATTGCAGCCAAAATGGAGGTCACAATGGAAAGTCAGCAATCCTATTATTTTGTCTTTCTTTTTGAGTGACAGCAAAAGCTTATTCCTTCTATACTTATTTCAAGCCAACTTGGGTTGGTGTGCAAAAATGAATCCTTTCTAAAACAAGTGGAGCTCTAACTAGAAGTATATGAAAATGTAGACTCTAACTAAGAGAAACACAAGCATTTAATGACAGAGGAAACATCAAAAAACTGTTACACATCTAGAAACATTTTTAAAGTTTAGATACCAGACAAAAGCAGTCATATTGCTCTCCCAAAACTGTTATGCAATGTCTCAAGCAAAGGTACTATGTCTGTTGATTTATATACCCGCAAATGTATATATGAAAGGACTAATCTCAAACTGCTATCTGATACTAACCTAATCCCAGTAAGTGCATAAAAGGCTTTTAAAACAAAGTTTTAAAATAATGTGCTTGGCACTGTATTGTAACTGAAGTTTTTTTAAAAAAACCTTATACTATTTTAAATTGCGTTATAGTTGCATTAGACTAGTTTTACTATTGCATTTGTTTAATTCTACTCTGATGTTAACTTTTTGTAAATTTAGTTAAAGTATATTGTTCTTTTAAACTATGAGTCAATCCGAGTACGGATCCCGAGAAGGGAGGCAAGGGATTATAACTGTAATAATAATGATAATAACTACAGCTGTCTGAGAATACCCAAATCCCAGAAAGTGTATAAAAGGCTTTTAAAACATTTTTTTAAAAGAATGGCATAGGTGCTGAAGTGTAAATAAGAGCGATAAATCTTTCAAATTGCATGATATCCTTTATCTGATCTGAACTGCTTCAATATCGCTATTTGTTTACTGTAATTCTAATTCAGCATTTACTTTTTGTATGTTGTTAATTGCATTGTTTTTTGAACTGTGAACCACCTGGAGTCCCAATCCTGGGGGAAAAGCAAGTCAATAGCAATAATGATGATGGGAATCATATTTGCACAGACTGAAAAAACCACCATGCATTAGAAAAAAAGTCATTTTATTTTAATATAAACTTTCCAACTTTGATATTAATGTTTTGAATTGTATCGTTCTTTTAAAAATGTGAATTCTGGGGGGGGGGGAGCAAGATAATAATGATAATAATAATAATGGTATTTGCATAGGCTACATACAATCATGCATGAGAAGGAAGCAATCTTTCTTTCTAATAACTTTCTCTATTTTAATACAAACTTTTCTACTATAACATTAACGTTCTGTATGTTTTGAATTGTATTGTTCTTTTAACTTGTGAATCATTTGGGAGTCTCAATCCTGGGGAATGCACAATATTACTACTACTACTACTACTACTACTACTACTACTAACAACAACACTATGCAACAAAATTTGCAATATTTTCTGTTCCTGGTTTGACAGTGTTATTCCTATTTAATTGCGCAGAACTTTAAAAGTAGTTGTTATGCTCCAAAACTTTGTTTTTGTGTCTGCCACAAACTATGTTGAATTGGTCAAGACTCTATAAGACATTTCTTGAAAAACCAGATGTGCCGCAAAAACAAAGTACTTGCATTTTAATAAACTGTTTACATGTTTTTATGATAGAACCAATTAGGAAATGGCATTTATAACCCAGGAATAAAAATCATGTTACATAGTGTAATATTATTACTATTAATAATAATAATGGTGAAGATATGTGCATACTCAATACAACCAGGCCCAAGAAGAGAGTGATTTTCTTTTCTTTCCCACAAATTTGCCTACTCAATACCACAGGGAAGTAGCAGCCAGCAATGAAAGGACCAAGGCATTGACATCTCCGGCCCATCCTCTGTTCGGGTATCAGCCAGCATGCTAACGACTTAAATCAAGATACAGCTTCCTAAGATCTACAGAGATATTTGAGGGAACATCTCAGCAAGTGAGAGCCCAAAAGTGATAGGTAAAAACCCAGAATATCAATCAGTGGGTGATACCAGATAAGAAACTCCCTCATGGGCACACGGAAGACTGTGCAATTTGGAAGGCGCTGAACAAACTGCGCTCTGGCGACCTGAGCTGCAGAGGCAATCATAGAGTTTGAAGAGACCTTGTGGGCCATCCAGCCCAACACCCTGGAAATCGCATTCAAAGCACCCCTGACAGGTGGCCATCCAGTTTCTGCTTTAAAAACAGGAGAAAACAAGCCTGCTCCCTCCCATGACTTCCCCACAAATATTTATATATGGCCATCATGCTTCTTTTCAGCCTTCCCTTCTGCAGTTTAAATATGCCCATCTCTTTAAGCAGCTTCTCACAGGGCTTGTTCTCCAGACCCTTGATCATTTTAGTTGCCCTTCTCTGGGCACATTTCAGCCTGTCAATATCTCCCTTAAATTGCAGTGGCCAGAACTGGACACAGTATTCCAGCTGTGGTCTGACCAAGACAGACTAGAGGGGTAGCATGTCTTCCCTGAATCTAGACACTATACTCCTATTTATGCAGGCCAAAATCCCTATGACTTTTTAAGATGTTGCTTCACATTGTTTGCTAATGTTTAACTTGTCCATGAGGACTACAAGATTTTACACGTACTGCTATCGGGCCAGGCGTCCCCCATTCTGTATCTTTGCATTTCATTTTTTTTTGTCTAAGTGGAGTATCTTGTTAGTTCATTTTGTTAATTCATCTTAAGAAATGGAGCTACAAAGTGGAGCCCATAACATGAGAGTGTGGAGAAGAGCAAACCACAGACCACTTAATACAGTGGTTCTCAACCCTGTGAATCCCCAGGTGTTTTGCCTACAACTCCCAGAAATCCCAGCCTGTTAGGATTTCTGAGAGCTGAAGGCCAAAACATCTGGGGACCCACAGGTTGAGAACGACTGACTTACTACGATGCAGTCTGCGCCCTGCCACATGCACAATGGAGGACCTCCTTACAGCAACAACAGAGGCACTCAAAGTGGCCAGCTTCTGCTCAAAGAAAATGTAGCATAATGCCAAGTTTTTAACTTTGTTTGTGGGTTTTTTTTTAATACAACTATATTCTAAATTTGCTTCTGACATGATAAATAAATAACATTTTGTATGTTTCGTACTGTTCTTTCAAATAGAGGACCACTTCCCTGGGCAGGATTATAATAATATTTGCACAGGTTGGGCAAACTTGGGCCCTCCAGGTGTTTTGGACTTCAACTCCCACAATTCCTAACAGCCTGTTAGGAATTGTGGGAGTTGAAGTCCAAAACACCTGGCGGGCCCAAGTTTGCCCAGGCCTGAGATAAAGGCTTTCTGTGGAAGTGGGATATAAATGATTATGATAATGATGTTTGCACAGGTTGGGCAAACTTGGGCCCTCCAGGAGTTTTGACTTCAACTCCCACAATTCCTAACAGCCTACGGCTGTTAGGAATTGTGGGAGTTAAAGTCCAAACTCCTGGAGGGCCAGTTTGCCCAGGCCTGAGCTAAAGGCTTTCTCTTTTCCTGCCTTGAAGTCCTTTCCAGTCCTATTTGTTTGGATGGAGACAAAGGGCAGCTGTCTTGAGGTGGTCTCCCTGCACACATGGCCCTCTATTTACATGGCACACCCCGCTGCTTTGGATGTGGCCACGTACTCACCTTTCTCTTCCCCCTCTTCCTCGCTCTCTCCCACTTTGTTTTCGGCTTCTGAGCCCATTTCTTCCCCCTCCTCCGCGGCTTGGGAGCCGTCTTTTTCGGAAACAGACGTCATGGCTGGTTCTCCTGCAGGGAGACACAAGCAGGGAGGCGTCAACGCAGCCTCGGCCTTGAAAACGCCACGGGGTTCGACCTCTATTTGACAGAAAGGGCGCCCGGGCGGGCTTCGGCCTCCGTATCAGGGCCTACTTCGCGGTCTGGGTTGAGCGGGAAGAAGAGCCCGCCATTATTTTGAGCAGGGAAGCGGCCTACCCGACGGCGGAGGCCCGGCCCCTCCTCCTCTTCCTCTCCCGCCTTCTTTCTCTTCTCCTCAGACGAACAGCGCGCCTACTGAAACCTCTTCGCTCGAGATGGCGTCTAGTATAGCATCGCGAGATTTCCGCTGTCCCGCGACGGCTGACATCTCACGGGATCCCCTAGTTCTGTTCTCATTCTCTCGCGAGACTCGAGAGGCTTTCTATAAGCCTGCCTCCAGAGGTTGTGAGCTCGGTTGGAAACTAAGCAAGTGGGGTTTACATATCTGGAATGTCCAGGGTGGGGGAAAAAAAACTCTGTCAGCTTGAGGTAAATGTGAATGTTTGCAATTTTGTGTTTTGTCTGTTTGTCTGTCTGTCTGTTTGTTTTGTTCTGTTAGAAATGTAATACAATTGACTGGTTGCCCTGACACGACAAATAAATAAATAAATGCAATTGGCCGCCTTGATTAACATTGAATAGCCTTGCAGCTTCAAAGACTGGCTGATTCCTGCCTGGGAGGATGCTGGACCACACTAACCACCACCATGTCAGACTACACAGAGAACTCTTAACTACACAGATCATAGAATCAAAGAGATGGAAGAGACCTCATGGGCCATCCAGTCCAACCCCCTGCTAAGAAGCAGGAATATTGCATTCAAATCAGCCCTGACAGATGGCCATCCAGCCTCTGTTTAAAAGCTTCCAAAGATTTAAAATTATTTTGTCCTGTTGCTGTAAACTTCAGTCAAAGTATCAGTTCAATTGATCATGAGAATACTCAATTCGTATAGTACACAAGCATAGGGAGCTATTTACAATGGTGTAACAAACCTAATATTCATGAAAATGAACAAAATCTGGCTACCAGTATTTTTTAAAAAACTCTAAAATCAGGACAGTAAGTAAAGACTCAAAAAGCCAGGGAAGTCCAGACAATCCAATCAGGGCCAGCTAACACCTCATAGAATCAAAGAGTTGGAAGAGACCTCATGGGCCATCCAGTCCAACCCCCTGCCAAGAAGCACGAATATTGCATTCAAATCACCCCTGACAGATGGCCATCCAGCCTTTGTTTAAAAGCTTCCAAAGAAGGAACCTCCACCACACTCCGGGGCAGAGAGTTCCACTGCTGAACGGCTCTCACAGTCAGGAAGTTCTTCCTCATGTTCAGATGAAATCTCCTTTCTTGTAGTTCTTGTCCTAATCCCCATGGAAGCAGTAAACAAGCTTGCTCCCTCCTCCCTGTGGCTTCCTCTCACATATTTATACATGGCTATCATATCTCCTCTCATCCTTCTCTTCTTCAGGCTACACATGCCCAGCTCCTTAAGATACTCCTCATAGGGCTTGTTCTCCAGACCCTTGATCATTTTAGTCGCCCTCCTCTGGACACATTCCAGCTTGTCAATATCTCTCTTGAATTGTGCCCAGAATTGGACACAATATTCCAGGTGTGGTCTAACCAAAGCAGAATATCTATAAGTACAATGTAAATACACAAATGTCCCCAGAGTGACTCATGCTCCCACCTCCTTCGCAGGCGCTATTGGTGGGGACAAGGGAGAGTGCCTTCTCGGTGGTGGCCCCCCAACTCTGGAACTCACTTCCCAGGCACATCAGACATGCCCCAACTCTGGCAGTCTTTAGGAGGAGCCTGAAAACGTGGTTGTTCCAGTGTGCCTTCCCAGAATAATGAAAACTCTCAGCAATATGCCCTCAAAACGCACTTTACCACTGATTTAGGACTGACTGCATGCCCTCATTTCTCTCTGAAAATCCTATCCCAGTTATATCCTACCTTGTTCATGTCAGCATTAATTTTTTAATTTTAATCTATTACATTTGGCCCGGCCATTGGTTTTAAATGCTTGTATGTCACTGTTGATTGTTTATTGCTTATTTTTGTTTATGTGATTTATATGAATTGTATTGTATTGATTGTTTTATTGATGTTTTGTTTATTGATGTATTGTGGGCTTGGCCTCATGTAAGCTGCACCGAGTCCCTTGGGGAGATGGTAGCGGGGTACAAATAAAGCTTTTTAAAAAATTATTATTATTATTATGTCCTGTTGCTGTAAACTTCAGCAAAAGTATCAGTTCAATTGATCATGAGAATACTCAGTTCGTATAGTACACAAGCACAGGGAGCTATTTACAATGGTGTAACAAACCTAATATTCATAAAAATGAACAAAATCTGGCTACTAGTACTAAAAAAAACCCCTCTAAAATCACGACAGAAAGTAAAGACTCAAAAAGCCAGGGAAGCCCAGACAATCCAATCAGGGCCAGCTAACACCTCCCAACAAAGGATCCCCCAGGCAGCAACCAGTCAGGCATTGAAGCGACAAGACCATTAAATGCTAATCAAGGTGGCCAATTGCAACATTCACACCTTCCTCAAGCAGACAAGAGTTCTTTCTCCTACCCTGGACATTCCACAGATACGTAAACATCCTTTGGCAACAGACCTCACCATCTTTGAGGATGCCTGCCATAAATGCAAGTGAAATGTCAGGAGATCCCAATTCCCTGAGAAATTTCTTTCTACTCATCTTCCCCCCTCTAAACCAACTAACCCCCAAAAGTCTCAGTGAAAAATATTTTGTCCCAGTTTTAGTGGTGGGGGAGGATCTATGTTCCAAATTTCGTCCAAATCCATCAATGATGAGGCTCACAGTGGTCTCTGGATGTGTGTGAAGGTACTGCAACTCCCATCAGTGCCATTATATTTCTAATTTCTATGTATGGTTCTGAAAGTAGACAGTTAATTTTTTGTGCCCATTTTTACTTTCAGTATTGTTACGATAGGGCGAAGACCAACTTTTTAATGATGTTTGTAGATTGGTCTATATAGCTTTGCATTCTGTTTTGACCAGAGTCCCCAGTGTGACTCACAAAATAAAAACAATTTCATTAAAGATTAAAGATGATTACAGTTGTTCATTTGTTCAGTCATTTCCGACTCTTCGTGACCTCATGGACCAGCCCATGACAGAGCTCTCTGTCGGCTGTCACCACCCCCAGCTCCTTCATGGTCAATCTAGTCACTTCAAGGATGCCATCCATCCATCTTGCCCTTGGCCGGCCTCTCTTCCTTTTTCCTTCAATTTTCCCCAGCATCATTGTCTTCTCTAAGCTTTTCTTTCTTCTCATGATCTGGCCAAAGTACTTCATCTTTGCCTCTACTATCCTTCCCTCCAGTGAGCAGTCGGGCTTTATTTCCTGAAGTATGGACTGATTGGATCTTCTTGGGGTCCAAGGCACTCTCAGAATTTTCCTCCAGCACTACAGCTCAAAAGTGTTTATCTTCCTTCGCTCAGCCTTCTTTATGGTCCAGCTTGCACACCCATACATTACTATGGGGAATACCATTGCTTTAACTATGCGGATCTTCATTGCCAGTGTAATGTTTCTTCACTATTTTATTGAGATTGCCCATTGCTCTCCTCCCAAGAAGTAAACGTCTTCTGATTTCCTTGATGCAGTCTCTGTCTGCAGTAATCTTTGCTCCTAGAAATACTAAGTCTGTCACTGCCTACACATTTTCTCCTTCTATTTGCCAGTTATCCATCAGTCTGGTCGCCATAATCTTGGTTTTTTGATGTTTAACTGCAATCCACACTTTCTTCTTTCACCTTGGTTAGAAGGCTCCTCAATACTGTGTTAAACAATATAATGTATTATGAAATAATACCTGAGAAAAATAAATTAAGCACGAGCTCTGATCTGTAAAATGATCAGATAATAGAAAAGGACTGTAGTGCCAAAAGGATCTTCAGAGGACTTTCAAAGTTAAGAGAAAGTTTTTTCTTTCAGACATGCATAATACACTTTCCCCAAAACAAATGGGAAGAGATGCCTTTTGAAATATTGGGAACCATGCTGTTTAGAATTTTACAAATAAGCACCAGTACCTTGAGCTGGACTTGGGGGAGCCTTATAGTGCATTCTAACTTGATGTACTGTGTCATGAATGCATCAGAATAAACCAGCCTGAGGTACAATGCTTTTGAATTCTTTTCATGGATGGTGTGATGTAATACAATAAATCAAAATTAATGAAAATAAATATTATTGTATAACGATTGACTGATCAGGAACCGCCATGCGGCTCTAGTTCAAGGATAACAAAAGAGGCAGAAACACACTACCACTTCAGGATAATTATGTTGAAAACACAACTGAAACAGAATGCTATAAAGAAATGCAGATTCTGGCAAGTGGTTGTCTTGAAAGACAACCCTCTGCTCTGTAAACAGAGCTCTGTCATTAGTCTTGACAAAAATAAGACTATAGATAGTACTCTGATGTACAATGGGCTCCTATGGCTAAGAAGCTAAATTAGTAATTAGGTTGTTACATACTTTTGAAAGAATGGAGAGTACTGTGAAAGTCCAAAATTTAATATAATTACCACGTAACTGAGTTTTTGTACCTGCATAATGGTTCTCTCTGCAGGTAAAAAACAGAAACGACCTTCTGTATATATGGTAAACATGATCTGCCCGTAGTTTGCAGTGGGTAACTCTACTGGCTGGCATCCAATTTTGATCTTTTGGATTGAAGGGAAAATAATTAAGTACTTCATAAATCATCATAACTGCATCACCAAGAGAAATGTTAAATGATTTTTTTTGATAGTTCGTATTTCAGATACTATTACTATTATAGGTGGTCTAATGTTTTTTATTCTAAGAATTCGCCTACTTAAAATTAATGCATAACTCTTGACTTCTGTGTTCTGGTTTTGTCTATCACATTGGGAAGATGGGTTTTTTGTTTTATTATCATATATTCTTATTATGTCAGAATTAGGACCACAGTATTTGGTTATAATTATGGTTGATTAACATATTCAGACAGGAGTCAGTATGATGTATACTTTAGAGCAAATTAAAATCACAACACCTTTGTACTTTAGTTCTTTCAGCAATGATAACTCCAGGGGTGTGCTGCTCAGGGCCCTTCCACACAGTCATGTAACCCAGAATATCAAGGCAGAAAATTCCATAATAATTGCTTTGAAGTGGGCTATCATATTCCCCACCATTGGCTATGCAGTCCAACATTTAGAAAGCCTCATGATTTCTGTCCCTGGTGCAACCAGTAACATGTTGTACTGACTTTTACTTACTTTT